GGCGTTCAGTCACAGCATCCTCACCGTGCAGCAGTTTAACCTCTTTTATAGTTATAAAGTATTAAAAAAGCATTTCTTTAGATTTCACTTATTTTCAGATCTATATCACTTTTAACACGAATACGGAACTAAACATATAGGTACATAAAAAATTCAGCCTAATATGTTACCTTTCAAATTTATGTTCATTTGACATAATCGGATTAGTGTTGCCAGATATATGGACACCAAGATCATAGAGTGACGAAAAACTGTGGATACTTTTAAATTGAGTAAAAAATATTGATGAAAAATTAAGAGAAACAAATTATTTCTACACCGTGCTACAGATCCCATCCTCTACTGTGAAAAGGGGATTTCAGAAGATGTGTAAAACTAAATATTTACGTATAAAGGTGAACATTAATAATGACTTTAAAAGACATAGTTGTAGTAATAACTTCACAGATCTATTAAGTATCCTGTAGTATATGAATAATGCATACAGTATTACTTTTTTCACACACAGAATGAACTGACTTAGCTTAATTAAGATCTTGATATAGCCACATAGTAAACACTTACTTGTAATGCAAAAATACGGTCGACAAGCGCATACACTAGTTCGAGGTCTATTGATTTATGGTTCTAGCCCATTGAGATGGCAATTGTCTTCCCTACAAAATACCTCGTCATATCCTTGGTTATTAGGTTCCTATTGACTACAACGACAAAATATCGTTAGCGTTGAATGCAAAAGTGTAAACACAAATATGAAAACATAATTTTCTATACATACATTCTTAATGTGTTGCTATATGGGTCTAAGACTCGGCTACTTACAACTAAAATAAAGTTAAAATTATAAATATAAGCAGAGGTTTACCGAAGTGGTGTGTTAACAAATAAATCAGAAAAATCTATGGGAAAATACGCAACAAAAATATGATACATCAATGATTTCACCACGTACGAGATACAAGGGAAGACCGTAAATTACGATAAAAAAAAGCCAGTCGATTTAAATCCATAGCACTTGACTGAGATGATCAAAAATCCTTTGGTTTCAACTTTTATATTGATTTAAATATAATAGTTATAATCTATAATTTAGTTTGCAACAACATTCCAGCTTTCGACCACTTAAACAACTCGTGTTGATTTTTTAGTATTTGTTCTAAGTTATACACTTTTAATAGAAAGAATTTACTTTTAAATTATTTACTTCAAGTTAAAAAACGCATAAATAATTTTAAACTAAACAATTTAGCTATTCTTTATTAAAATAATTATTTATTTTCTTATAATTGTTTCTCCTCATTTTTATAGTTGTAACTGATTTTTAGGATTATATGTATTTATGCTAAATATATATGTATATACTTTTCTATATTGCTTATAAACTAACATATGCAACATTAAGCACATACACGCACATACGCTATTTCACATTCATACAAAATTAAATTTATGTATTAAAAGGAATTTTATATTTAAAAATATAATTAATATGTAAAACATGTGATTACTTTATAAAAAGTATTATATATGTCCTTACAAGTTTTATAATTGCAAATTAAAATCTATTTATACATAATTTTTTTTTTCTCACATTTAAGAAAAACTTAAGACTATATTGAAATTCTATAATATTTATAAATTTCTCAAAGCACGTACTTATTACATTTTTATATTTATTTTACAAGTTCAATACGTTTTGATTGTTTTTAAGTAAAATCATCAGGTTTTTTTATGTATAATAAATTTTTTTATAGGATTTTAAATTTGTTTTTAATTCACATATGCAGTTTATTTTACATATGCAGTTTTTTTATTTAAAAAAAAAAAACAAAAAATAAGGAGTGAAATTTAGTAATATTAATATAAAATTTTGTATATGATTCGTAATTCTTTTTTAATTTACATATGCAATTTACTATATTTTTATTAAAAAATAAAAAACAAAAAATAAAGAGTGTAATAAAGTAACAAGTTCCGGTACTCATTGACTAATATAATATAAATTTTTCATTGTTGAGCAACGAACACAAAGTATTCTTTTATTGTTTTATTTATTTTTAATTTCAATAAAATATTTAAAAAAAAAATTATAAATATATTAAACATATTTATTAGTCATTTTTTTTAAATCAAAGTAAGTATGTATATAAGTTTTTGGACTTTGTTGTAAGTTGCAAAGCATGGCTTTATTAAAACAGCTAAATAAGCACTCACCGGAAGCATTTTGTATACTTAATAAACTATTTTTTTTTCAAATGATATGTTTTAATAGCAACAACAAATAGTAATAAACTTAGTTTAAATTTAATATTATTTATAGTAGTATATACGCTGCCTTAAAATATTTATATAAATATGTATATAAATATATACTACGCAAAAAGATTAGTAATTAGTTTGTTATTTACATTTTTAAAAAAAACTTTTGAAACTGACTTTTTATGGAAGCAAGATTTTCAATAAGTACAATTGATACAATATAAAGAAATGATTAACTAGTAAATAACATTCAAAATCAATGATATCAGACGATATCACTATCTTTATTATTCAAACCTTATATGAACCGATGCTTTCGATGTTAATACTAAACTTATCACATTTGTTGTGCTAGAAATTGTATACATACATATATTATAGTGTAAGGCATAACATACGTCCATGTAAATAAATACTTTAGTTTCTCTTTTGATAAGTACAATTTTGCTTAGCAAATGATTCGGTTTAACTATAAATATACAATTACACATATTTGTACATGAAATTAGTTGAAATTTTTGAAAATTTATTCATTTTTAAAGAAGTACATTCATGTCAACTGATTAATCAAAAAGTGGTTTAGTAACATATCTTTTTTTTCTATAAATTAACATTATTCGTTGTACTATGTATAGTATTTTGAACATGTTTAAGTTATTTTATTTATTTTAATATTGTTATCCAATGTTGTTTATGCTTGCATTTTATGATTTATCTATATCGCAACCAATTGTTTTTGGTTTAATATAAATTTAAATTCTTCACATTAAGTTGAAATTCTTCACATTTAATTAATTTAACTGTGTTTAGTAATTCATACTAATATAAATTTAATAAATATACAAATATATCTATATATATATAAATCCACACTTATTATCCAAAAAGCATTAATTTAATATATGACAACAATATAGCTAACAATATTATTTGTTAATGAATACATTAAAGTAAAAAAGGGGAATGGTTGTTACATGGGGATACCATACATTTATAAAAAAATAACCAACAAAAAAAAAAAATATATATATATATGTATATTGTTTATATAAAATCAAACTAATGATTTTAAAATAAACAAACAAAAAAGCATTGAATTTAAAAAAATTGACTTTAAAAAAAAAAAAATAAAATTGAAGGGAAAACACTTTTGTTGCTAAAGTAGGTAATGACATTGATTTATAGTTTTTCTATTTTAACAATATTAAAGTATTTTACAAACATTTATTTCGATGAAGGTTATCATTTTTGAAATTCGTTTTATTTGTTACAAATTATAAAATTAGTACAAAAAAGACGGTTAGTAACAAATTAATAGTAAAAATATAAAAGTTTTTGTTTTTTTTATTTACTAGGTTACAAAAAATATTTTTATAACTATTTGGTACAATTATTAAATGTAATGTCATTATATTAAGCACTCTACTTTATGCATAAAATTTTTGTTGTTTACAAATTAATAAAACAAATTAATAAAATAAACTAAGAAATACTACATAAGGCATTAGTTTGACTGATGTTTTCCTTGCTGTGCTTATTGTATCTTTATTTATGTATATATATGTATAGCATTTAAAAAAATCATTTTAAAATATATGTATAACAATACGAATATTGTATATGTTAAACGATACATTCAATAAATGGGTTATTATATTATTTTTTATATTATAATTGATAACTTTATTATTATGATTATAAAAAGAGTTTTAAACGAAAAATTTTGATTTGTCCTCAAATAATTTTAAAAGATCAGTAATGATGAATATTGATTTCATACTTCTTAATGGAACCAATTGATATATAATGGAGATTTGACAGTATTTGAAACGACTGTATAGTAAATTAATTATTGCATTTAACTAATATGTGTTATTCAACTTTTTTCGCGTAAATCTCTTCTACTTTTTTATTCATAATATAGAATATTTATTTATTATTGCTATAATCATTATAATTATCATTGTACATATGATTATTATCATACACAGTTTTTATTTATATATTAAAAATATTCTTTATTTAATTAATATTAGAATTCATGGTCTCGAGTTACAAGCTCGGTAAACGAGTTACATAGTAACACTGCAAAGCAGAAATAAAAATATACATTTACTCGAAACATATTTTGTTGTTGCCGTTTTGCACTGTGAATGTAACGAGTTCAGTTGTTACTTTGATTTATAAATACCACTTCTGTTGTATGTTTATTCACAATACATATTATTTTCTAAAATTAATTAATGTTAGACTATAATTGTCAATTTATTTTATGAAAGTTAGTTGTTTTAAATAATTACAGATTATTTATTATGTCATAATTATGAGCTATTATTCTTATATTAATATGTTTATATGATTTTTATTATAGTTCTTTTGATATACATAAACATTATAATTATTAATTTATTATTTTCATGTATAATTGTTTTAAAATATATTATTATAACCATTTATTTTCATTATTATAAAAATTATTTATTTATTTAAAATTTCTATATATAATACTTATTAAAATTAGTATTATTTACAATTTATATACTATTGTTACTATACATTTTTAATTTATAAATCAATTTTAAAAATAACAGCAAAAGTTTTAATTTACTTTCATTATTACAGTTTCTATGAGAATATATTTATTATAAATATAAAACTATATAATATTATATTATTATTATTTGAAATGTAACATATATTTCTAAATTTTTTTTTTATAATAACTTAAAATAATTACAGTATTTATCATTTTTTCAAGCAATTAAAAAATAAATAGATAACAGTATAAATGTTTGCAGTAGGAAAGAGAAACGAAAACGTAACAACATTAGTCACTACAATTCTTTATCGGGCTTAGACTCCTTATCTTCTTGTGTTGAATCAGCTTTTTCAGCGCTTTGAGGAGGCGTCGCTGTTGAAGCCACAATAGTTGCTTTAGTCGTTGATATCGTTTCGTTGAGTCTTGATTCTCTAGCCAATTGCCAACGCTTAAATTCAACCATTTGCATAATGCGCACATTTAATTGCTTTTTACGCTCCAACACTGTTGATAATTTGCTAAATTCTTGAGAGTACATAAAAACAACTGGAATAGTAACATCATCAATGCCATCACCTGACATGGCAAACATCGGTAATGTTTCACCGGAAGACCCAGGTATATTATCACAGACAATTAAAGCTTTTGCACCAGATGCTTGTGCAAGTCGTGCTTTACTAACAAACGTACAATCTCCACGTTCTGCCACAAGTATTTTATTATGTATTAATTTTGTATTACTTAACTCGGTACATGCGCGAAATGGCGTAGCCATTATAATTTCACCTTCAACAAAATTTTCACCAGTTAATTCTGGACTGAAGTGCGATGGACCCGCCATTATTGCTGTCCAATCGTTGGAATTATCATCAACTGTATATGCGACGGCCTGTTGATTAGGAAAATAAATACATCAATTTTGGAAAGAATATTAATATATATTACATATATATATTATTAGCTAGAATAATAGTGGCATATATACTGGTAAACTAATATAACATATTCCCTACATGTGTTCTATAAAAACTTGTAATCGTAAATTAGTTTTATTAACGCCAGTTATAATTCATCAACTTTATTATTTTCTATTATTAATAAACATTGGTTTTCTTCAGTCGTTCAAAATATATATTCAGTTCTATCGTCTTTATTGTTTAAGTTTCTTTTTCTAATTTCTGTTTCTATTTAACATTATACAACATATTTTTAGATTTGTATTGTACAATATCATCCATTAATTATATAGAACATAAAGCTATAATCTAATATCAGAATTTAAAAAAAATATAATTTTTTTCTTGAACTTTTTTAAAATCATTATAAAATTTGAAATAATATAGTGCAATTTTTATTGCTAAAAATTAAAACCTGAAACTTGTGTTATTAAAAAGTTAAAATAAAGAGCATGCACTTTAAAACTTAATTTAATTTTCAAAATGCTTTAAGCAAATTGTAAATTGTGTGAAAGATGGTTTTAAAAAAAAACTTCATGCCAATTTTTTCGGCTCAAACCTAATGTAAAGTAACTAAAACGTGTTGTCTACAGTCTAACTGTAGTACAATTGAAAAACTTACTTATTACTTATACTTAATTTTGCTTACTTGTAATTGTGCTAATTGATCAATACTTTGCAACTTAGTTATTTCCAACATTTCTTGCATAAATACTAAGCCCATCTCACCATCCTCAGGACTTTTAGCCTGTAACAAATAAAAACTTAAAATATAACAGTTTCATATTATGTGTAGGAATATGTGTATTGGTGAGCAACATTTTTTTTATAAATAACCCATTATATTTTAATGCCAATGAGAGTTTCTGAATTTTAACTATTTAATAAATAATAAATAAAATTTAAGCAAACCTTAACTTTTTGTTTTGTTTTTTAAAAATTTACTAGAAAAATGTTAGAAACTTAAATTTAAGAGCAGTAATTTTATACATTTTAAAAAAGCAACATATTAAAATATGTTTAAAAAGTTGTTCTTTTTAAGTGCACTCACACTTACATTGTAAAAACTGTGAAACAATCTCACTTTTCCATCACCTAAAGAAACCATTGTAATACCCATGTCGTAAACAGCTCGTAAATGATCAGCATTATTTGCTTGAAAATCCAAGGCACGTAATCGTTTTCCTGTGGGCGTACGCGGACAAGAGCCCGTAATGAAATTACGCAATGGTTTTCGCACTTGTTCAGGAAAAAGCTTATTCGAACTGGGACAAGTCCGCATGAAATCTAACACATTATGTTCATCCGCTTGACGAAAACCTGTGAATTATATATTTTATTTATAAGAAATTTAATTGATATAGATATTTTGTTAAACTTACTGAATGTAGAATTTCCTAGTTGCGCTATAGAAAGTGGTAGTAAATGTGCTTCAGTGGTAAAAACAAATTCATCAATATCTATGATTAAATCTTGTGGATCCGAAAAAAGTAAAAATAAATATTTAAATGTTTCCGATAATACAAAAGAGTCCATGCGATCCTCATGCTTGCCTGTGCGTACATCATTAACTGCCGCATAACCACAAGCGACTTTTGCGTATTTTTGTAAAGTTTTTAAAGCCTTTTTCCCAACCTGCAAATAGTGATGATCGCCTGTTGCACGATATAAAAAGTAAGTAGATTCAATGAATTCTGGTCGTAGATGATGTTGACCCCAATGTATTTGAAAGTCAATAGTAAAAGCTTCAGGTATAAATGTATGCATTTGCATAACTTGATAAAGCATTTCGTGCGTTTGTACAGCTGGTTTTAAATCGCCAGAAAGTACTTGTAAGCCTGGCCAAAATGCAAGTAATGCATCCATAAAATTTCTTGATTTTGCATGCGGTCGATGCATTAAAACATCTAGTAACATTGGACCTTCACTGACATACTTCATTACAGCATTATAATGACGATTAAAACGAGCTAAATATTTATCATCGCCCAGAAGCATATAAGACTTAAATAGGTACTCATAATAGGAATCGATACCGGCACCCACACCCGAATCTCGTCTTACCCAATCACCTGAATGCACGTTAAGCACAGTACCCATTAAATCAGACCCCCGGTGTCGTATTTTCCACAATGCATCCATAGCAGCATGTGCACGTGCTTCAAAAATTGGATCACCTGTAATGTAAGTTTATTGTTAATATAATTGTGCGTCACTGATATTCAACAATTTAATTTACCTGTTAAACGCGAAAGTGCAGCAAATTCTAATAGAATAGTACCCGCACAAGCTGTACATGTTTCTCGTGACTTTTTTAAATGTTCATCTTTCATGCCAAGACGTAGATTAACACGTGCATGCGGTATACCAGTAGAAGTATTAAATGCAGGCAATAGGCGATAACCCAAATCACGTGCCATTTCCAGCATCTCACCTCTATACCAAGGCATAACATTTGCATTCTTTTGTATATACTCGGCTAATATATGTGCGGACAGCAGACCTCCGACCATACGTATATTCGTTTCGAATACAGACACAATTATATCATTATCGAACTGTACATCACTTATGACTAATTTTACCGCCCTTTCGAATTCAGCAAAATCACCAAATAGCACCAAAGTATCTAAAGTATCAACAAGGGTCATGGAAAAACTGAAAATAGGATAAAACGTTATTAAATTAGTTATTTTATTAAATTATTAAATTAAATTAAACTATAAACTTAGTTTTAGAAAGAAATACAACGATAATAAGATAATAATGTATTGTTATTATTATCTGCTATATAACATATTAAAATTAAAATCGTAATATACTGTTAAGAACGAGTTTAGAGAAAAATGGGATCATCTATAATTCTATAATAAGAAGAACATTATGTTATTGTTATAACAATTCCACTTCCAATCCACTCGTTGTTTATAATTTGAACATAGTAAATTGATTATGTGGTGATTATTTGCAATAATGTTCACAGTACCACAATACACACATTTATATATATATATTTGTTATTAGTGCAAAACAGTTACAATGCATCCATGTCTCGGAATACAACAGTGTGATATAATTTCTATCAAAAGCATGATTTTTTCTGGAACTAGACAATTAATAAGCTAAATTATAACGTGTAAACTCAGAGTACACTTAAAGAAATTGTTAAGTTTCTTGAAACCATTGTTCATTCCATGTAGAAAATAACATGGAAATACTTAATATCAAAACGCTATACGTAAAATTATTGATACAAAAGGAAATAATAAAAAACCTTTCCTATTATATAGGTATATTAATATTTGCAGATTTTCTATAGTTTAATGATAGTTAAATATAGATAATGATTCAATTAAGAACCTAGTTTTGAAAGCATAGATAGTTACAAAACGAGTAAAACAATATTTACCATACTTTTTATACTTATTCTTATTCTTATATAACAATTTTCATTCCCATTCATTTCTTTTAATTCATTCCCTAATATATCAATATCTTAACTTAAAACGTATATTAAAAACGTTTCCAAATCGTTTTGTTCGAGGGACACTAAAAAGACAACTACGTTCGGGAAAAGAACACTAAAAAGAGCACTATCTTCGTGAAAAGATCATTTAAAAGACCACTATCTTCGGGAAAAGAACACAAACAGTAAAGTAAATTTTTTGAATTGTTTCAGACTTTTTTTAATGCACTGTTCGTTTAGTGTTTTTTTTATTAAAGATGACAAACGGTACACTATGTTCGGTACTTCAGTGTTTGTTTTCATTCACTGCTGTCAATTGAATCATAAAAAGTAAATGTTTTATTTGATATGCAATAGCAATACTACGGGAATAATGCGTTATGATAATACAACACAGTCGTGAAGCCATATATTTCAATAACAGTTCTAAAGTCTAAAGTGAATACTACATAAATCAGGACACCCTTTAATAGAAAATATTTATTTTATAATATAAAAGAAATCAATAAAAAAAACTTTCAAATACTTCACTTCAATATTATCAGTTAATCAGTTAATTTTTTTTAATAAATAACCCAATAATATGAATTAAGGTAAAATTTAACTTTTGCTATATGTAATTTATATAAATATATCAGCCTTTACCCTGTATTTTAAGAGCGCCGAATATATTATATCATAAATTGTCATCTAAAAATATTAATGAATCACAAAATGTATGACTCCTCTGTGATTTCTGAAGAAGAAGTTATAGCAATTTAAAATTGTAAAAGGGTCGATAAACTTATTAAAAATATATTCTTTAAAATACAGTTTTTTTTAATTATATTTATATTTTTAAAGCAAATAAGGACATATATTTCGTATACATACATACACATTTTTCAATGCATTCAGCAAAGAAGTAATCAGTGAAATCTTTTTCGTTATTTATTCAAAATTTATAATTACAAAATAATTTCTAACATTACTACAAATCGACGGATAACCACTTCTATTTTTATAGCTGCTTTATATACATTGACGAAACTAAATTATAATCAATTTTTATAATATACGAGTATCTATGTATGTCTATTTAATCAACGATCAGATCAAAGAAGTTACAGGAGAACACATATGTCATCAACATAAATTCTACAGCAGCCAACTTTATATTGTGTATGAGAATATATGATGAAAACATTAAATACATTAATGTATTTAGCTACTCTGACGCTCTGGCGTATTGTGGTCACTAACGTTAAATCTGTACTCTTAAATTGATGCAAGACATAGAAAGACATAAGCGCATTTGCCGAGTAATTACAAAACGATTCTGCAATCTGCCAAATCATCAACTAGTCATTAAAATAATATGTAATTGCGTTGAATTGGATATATCCCCCAGAACCATCTTAAAAATATTGCCCGACAAGCGCTCAGGATGAAAAAAATAATAATTATTTAATGCAGAGTTCCACAGGTGGAGTGACATCACCCGAGAGATGTAAAACAGAATTCAATATTAGAAGATGGAATATACTTTGTGCTCTACTGGGAATAAATGATGTCAGATGAAGGTGACGACACAAGAATATGTATTAAAAATTTCAAAGACAATTTAATTCTATAATATATTACTCCTATTTGTTTTCAAATATGTTAACTTTATAATAGTTTAAGTTAAAAAAAATCGTGCTAATAGGAAACACAGAAATCCAAATTACAATATTTTTATTATTATATATATTCTATACATTAAGTCCTAAGTTTTTGGATTTGTGATGTCATAAGCTTAAAAAAAAATGTGCTAATAGGAAACACAGAAATCCAAATTGCAATAATAGCAATGCTACATAAACTAGTTAAATATATGTATCGACATCTTATGTTAAATTAATAACTAAGTAAGATATTAACTCAGTTAAATGGCTTCAAGGTTATAAATATGTTTTCTTAGATGACATCTCAGAATTATCATTCAGACAATCATAAATTTAATTACAATAAATTATAATATTCAATAGATTTAGATTATAACTACAGTCAAACTACAATAACTCAAATTTTCTATAACTCGGAACTAAGGTTTTAGAGAGCAAATTACATACAATTCTGCTTCCATAACTCGAACTTCTTTTACTCAAATTTCTCTATAACTAGAAGAAAAATTTTGTTCTGTGCCGATAGGAATATGGGAAAGTGCATTCTTCTTTGTGCAAATTCTTCTTTGTGCAAATGCCAGTCGCTGGCAACTTGGTTTAAAGTAAGTAATATAACTTCCAATGCTTCTCTTAACGATTATATTTAGCTTGACAATAAAATTTGTACATCAAGTTTTCCTACAGATAACGATATTATTGAGTACTACACCTCTAAATTACGGGATCCAATTCTAAGCGCAACGGAAAGTGATGATGAGAGTTCGGTGGATGTAATTGTTTATCAGCCTTCCAAAAACGAAGTAGAAGATATTCAAAATTCTGAATTTATATTTGTAAATGAATGATACTACAAGTGATGATCATTATAAGAGTATGAATAAAATGGAATCTCTTTTTACTGAAAATAAGAAAAAAATTAAAGTTCCAAACCCTAATTTCTGAATATTTTACTTTACTATAACTTCTGTGCTTTGATTGCAAATAAATAAATATCTTAAAATGTAATTCTAGTTTCTTTAAAAAATAAAAAAAAAACAAAAAAATAAAAAAAAACAAAAAAAATAAAAAAAAATAAAAAAAAATGAAAAAAATTCTCTAACTCGAAGTCTCCACAAGTAGAACCTTTTGTTTGCAAAATTGGATTTCGAATTATAGAAGTTTGACTAGATTTATAAAACAAAACATAAGTAAAAATGTATGAGCACCTATCTATTATTCTACGGGTATTGCGTATTGTTAGGGTTAGGTTAATGCTGGCAGTTTTAATTACTGTCCCGGAGAACTACCTTTCTGATAGATATTCCGAAGATTTTGGTTGCATGCAAAGTAAGGGTATTATGTCATGAATGCGTAAGCGCCTTGGCATAAAATATTACCCATGTCACACACAAAAAAACCTGATACATGTTAAGATTATATAGAATAATTGACTATTTACGTAGATAAATGGATTGTAAATATTAAATAAAAAAAAGGTAAAAGGGATAAAAAAAACAACGAAAAAATAATGTAATAATTTCATAACAATATTCGAAAATCTATTAATGAAATAATTGCAAAAAAATCTGCAACACGCTTTACTAAATTATGACAGATAAAAATAAAGTCTTCAATACAAAATCAAAGTTTGGTTGTCTGCAAATGTACTTTAAAAACATTACAATAAACTCGTTGAGTCTTGTTGAGAAATATTCCCGAGATACATATGAATTCCAGGATTAGTTAAACAACTTATATAAAAACCAAATATCTGCAATTTGTCTAAAATATACTGACAAATATATGCCAGGCGCGGTCAGATTCATGTTCCTAGACCGCTAGTGTTTTCAGATGAATAATTAACGCTTGCTTCTGCGATGTGTGTCAGAACCAAGGCGAACAAAAATATGCAAAAAAAAATTAGTTTTAAGTTTTTTAAATATATTTTAAAAAATTCTAAAATACATAAAAAAATATAATCTATAAAGTTAAAACAAACACTAAAATTATATATTTAGGGGATATAATTTTGTAATAAATTAAATGGAATTTAATTGTTAATTTAAATATTTTTAATAAAAAGTTAAAATTGTTTTTATAATTCATTACAATTGAAAATTAAATATTAATAATTAATATAACATTGTATTTAGGTTAGGTTAGGTTATACCGGCGATTCCAAAGGATCCACTTAGGCCTATAGGTCTATTGTGCTTTCGTATTATTAAAAACCCAAGAGTTAAAACCACTTAGAACCTTTGGCAAAGCTTTTAATGCTATTAAGAGAGTGATCCAGAAGTTCGCCTAGATCCTCAAAAAAGAAAGTTCCTAAAGTGTTAAGGCGGCGCAGCGCATGTGCTGGACAGAAGCGAAGTAGGTGGGAGGCACTTTAATCGTCCTATTCGCAACTACGGCGGGTATAGTTGATAGGAAGATTTAGTCTTCAGCATGGTTACTTAAAATACAATGACCTGTAAGTAAACCTACTACAAAATTGATATCTCTACGGGGCATCTCAATGAGAGAATTTGATTTTCTTTTATTAGAACATGGCCAAATTGCATACAGATGCCTAATCATCGTTGAGTTTTATTTTGTTGCATGATATCTACAATATACCTAGATTGTTTAGGTGATCTGAGTGATTTCCTGAAAGACCCCGTCTGGCTAACTCGTCTGCTTTGCAATTGTCGAAAATATCCCGTCGATATATTATTTAGAAATGTATAGCAGTCAAAAACTGTCCGAAAGGTAAACTGGACTGAACTCAAGTTTTTTAAAGCAGCTTGAGTATCTGATAGTATGTATATATTCCTTTTACATATTTTATCTATTTCTAGACAAGCTAAAGCTTTCTTTATGGCAGCTATTTCTGCCTGAAAAACACTATAGTGATCTGGAAGCTTACAATAAGAGGATATATTCAGCCGTCCTGAAAAAATTCCACTTCCTATGCCACTCCTAGTTAATGAGTCGTCGGTAAAAATAGTTAAACCCTCACCCAAGGAGGGGACCCTGAAAGCCAAACATCTTTGGATGGGAAATTAACAATAAATTAATTTCCTATCAAAATCAAGAATGGAAGAGGTGCTGTCAATGTTATTTGGAGTAGGACTGAAAACTTTTAGAATGGAACTATGTCCATGGTCACCAACCCTCCATTGTGATTTAGCTTTGAACCTTAGAGCAGATGATGTTGCCAAATGTGTACTGATGATGTCAAGTGGCATTAAATCTACAAATAGTATAGATTATAAGAAAAGTATTTTATTATTTATTTACTATTTTGTTATACAATTCTATATCATTGTGAACATATTCACTTTTTCTTTTGATTTTTAAAAGGATTAAAGTAACAAATATATGTAAAACGGATATCTAACTATTTAAGTTAATTTTATCGAGTACATCATAATAGTCCACATTGATTTGTTTGTAGCCTTCTCCAAAATAATGTTTAAGCACATTGATACCATCCCGTTTACCACAAACCAATTGCTTATTGGTATCATATTGTAGCCATTGATCTGCCACTTTAAGCTTATCATTACGCACAACAATCCATTGAGAGTTATTGACAGCTAAGATATTTCTTTTAATTGCCATGAGTACACGTTTAGTTTGCAATCTGTCACTGTTCAGATCTTGCTCCACTGTTATGCTTGTTCCAACCAGATTCTTAGTATGTTTGAAGACTTCATTTACCATTTGTTCAAATTTAAATTCCGCAATAATACACAATCTGCCATTTTTTTCATTAATTTTTCTTGCAGATATTATTTCAATGGGTGCTGTTATTTTTAGATTTTCCTTGCAAGTTTTTATGATGGAATTAATCAAGGTGCCTTGCAGTTTAATGCCTCTAAACACCAAATTCTTCCTTTTCAATTGATTTTCTAGTTCTATAATATGTTTGTGGTTTTTCTGTTTTTCATCTCTTAAAGATTTCAGATCTTTTTTGAGCCATTGATTTTCCGCACAAATTGTGGTCAACTCCGCTGAGACATTAGTCAACAATGTTCTTAAATTTTGATTCAAATCCGTTGGAATGGTATCAACTTGCTGAATAATATTAACAGTTTTTTTTAATTCAGGTTTCATTGTTATTAAATCGCTTGTAGTACATGTAATTTCACTACAAAAATTTATTTTAAATTATATAAAAGCACAATATAGTTTATAGTTGCATATGTGCATGGAAACGCAGATCTCAAAAGACTATGGCTCATTTTCATTTTACGCAAACCTTTTATTGATGACTGAGACGTGCGACTAATAGTACACGCTAACTCGTTACGATAAGAATATAGCCCGAGACTTAAAAAAATATTATTGAAATTAATATCGAAAACTTAAAACCAGCTGTTTTATCGAAACTTCACTTACTTTAAAGAAAAAAAACATTGTATAAAAGTTGTATAAATCTATATCGTCCATATATATATATATATATATATATATATATATATATATATATAGAATAGAATGAAGTAGACAATTTTTAAAATCTACAACATAAGCTATATATCATAGCACAAATATGAGGATAGATTAAAAGTAGTAATACTATAGTTCATATAAAAGCAGATAGAACAAATATTTATCAAGACCTTAAACCGTATGAACAAATAAAGGAATTTTATACTGTAGACTATATGTAAACTTAGTACTTTAAATCAATCTATGAAAACAACTGAAACAATTAAAAAAATGCCGAGAGTATTTCGAGTTTGAAAGGTATTACTTTTACTTATTGTTTATTATTATTTATTAGCGAAGTTTCAGCGCGCTATAGTTGACATGTAAAGAGATATATGTTAGCTAAATTAATACATTTCGTTATGCAGATTTAGAATATACATATGTATGTATATAGATCATAAAGTCTCCAGTGTTACACATATCTTAATAATGGGATTCTTATATTCCATTTGATCACAATATTAGCAAAAGGTTAGCAAGTCGTCTATTTATCAATGACAGAATTAAGACATCGACATTATTTTATTATATCATCATTTATAAGAAACGCAACCACAATTTCTATTAAGTTTAGGTATCCAAAATCTGTGTGCATTAAAATTGGCGCATTTGCTAACAATCCAACGAAAATACATTTGAATGACATTTCATCAGCAATAGCTGGAGCCCTTTGTAAAGAATAAAAAGTCTTTATACGCCGTTTCCTTACTATAAATGAAACGAGACCTCCACCAAGATTCTGAATCAACACAAAAGGTTAAAAAGCGGTATGCACCCAGTCTATACCAGAAATCAGACAAGAAGATATTAGTCAGTTTTTTTAAATGTAAAAGGAAATCGATTTCGTTTCAGCGAAATTAAGTTGTTTTTTCCATACAAAATTTAGTTTTAAGGTTAGAACAAAATTAAGAAAAATTGCCTTAAGTTCGTTGAAACGAAGGCTGAGATTATGGAACTTTTCAAATGCAACTATGCATAAGATAAATTTTAAGTAAAAGATAAAAATGAGATAACGAAAAAGTGACACTTTTTTACAATAATGTCAATGACAGTTGATTTTAATAAAACCGGAAATATATTTTGAATGTAGTGCTAATTTTTAAATTAAATATAGAGAAAAAACTGTAATTGTTATTAATTTAAAATAGAGTAAAAATAATAATTCACATACCTAAAATGCACTAAAGCTAATAAAACTACTGAATGTCATCCTTTATAGTTGTAACATGCGTTCGGAGCATGTAATGTTTAACATTCGATTTGTAAACAAAAAACATATGATTTCCTTAATTTGGGGCAGTATGCACACTTTAGAAATTAACTTAATTCCATTTTACGAAATTAAGGAAAGGTTGTCAGAACATAGTAATAGATTATTATTGCAAGCTTTGAGACCAATTTAGCGCAAAGATACGTGAAAAAAGACTTGGTTTCCACAAGAAAAAAATTATTTTCATAAATTGACTTTGTTTTAATTTTCAGTAAACTTAATTCCCTCTGACTTCTTTCTGTATAAAGCTTTTTAATTTTCACTTATTCAAATTGTATTATAATTATAAAATACATTTATTCCCAGATTCACATGATTTCTTATTTGGAAGATATCGCTTTTCTCGGTTTTTAACAACCAGAATTTGTGCTTATGTGATTTTTACATTTTTAGAGACACATTTTTAGCAGAAGCAAGATGTACAGCTTTGGTTTTTTATTATAAATTAGTAAAAATTTTATAGTCGACAAAAAGGCAACTCTCCTAACTGTTCCCACATTATCCCCAACATATGGAAGACTTGCAGAATACTCCCTCTGTTGAAACCAGGTAAACCCGCTGATTTATGTAAATCATATAGGCCGAGCGGTCCCAGCGGGTTACAACAACAACAACAACGGAGAAAATGAAAAAAAATCTAGAAAACAAAATTCAATGGGGCATTTTAAATGAAACCAATATTATTATAAAGAAAGCTTTAAAGACAGTCAGTTTCAATGTATTTTCTATTGAGTTCAATTTCTGTTAAATTTATGTTAGTTTTTTAAAGATTTTTAATAAAAACACTATTTGTAGTTTTTATATATAAGAACTCATTTATATAGTGCTTTCCTATATAAAATTGTCAACGTTTCCAAAATTTTTCCTCCAACGTTTCCAAGTTTCATCAGGGCGACTTCAACACAATTATGGTACTGTTCCACTATGAATAATTCTAATTCATTTATTGTAAAATTAGTTGTTGTAACATCCTACCCTGATAAAAAAGTCAAAAACTTTGAAACGTTGGAAATTTTATATAGGAAAATAATTTCAGATCAAATATGTATACAAAAAACTAAAAAAAAATTTTATAAAAAAATTTATAAAAGCCTTTAAAAAAACGAACATAAAACTTTAATTGCCTATTGCTCACAAATGATGGTGTGATCATAAGGCAGTCAAGAAGTTTCTCTCTTATTATATCGCCAACAAGAAAATCACACCACATAATCATTTTTGATATTATGCATAATTTACCACTAAAATCAGATTACTTTAGATTTTTAATCAACCTCTAGTGTAACACTCTTCAACTACTCCAGTGTTTATTAAACAAAACTACGGTTTATACTCGGTAACTCTTATATTAAATTTACCGAACATAATTGACATAAATAATTTTGTGCAATACCGTCAATGCTAGATTAGTTATTTATATTTATTATTTTATATTTGAAAAGTTAATCATTTACTTACTTTCCAAGTATATCGTCCATATCTCCGCGAGAAGGCGTTACACCACGATAGCGACCTTTACATGATAACGGCATTAACTCATCTGCAGGATATGCGTTCTTCATATAAGCATTATATGCATGATAAAACATTTCACGAGCTTCATCCCTAAATAAAGATTATAGTTATAATTTTGTCAATACAATTAAAAATCAAAAATTAAAAATAGAATTATAAAACAAAATTTTAATCTAGATAAATATAACTTTTGAATTACAAACCACATCGAGCACATCGTATTCCAGAATATAGTAAGTACAACTTTTAAGCTAAGCATCGTAAATATGAGATATTGATATATGCGAAGCTATAAAATATGAATTAAAATACAACCTTATCTATTATCTACTATTTGAGATATCAGATATTTTGTATTTCGTATATTTAATGTATCATATTTCACAAATAGTTGTTATAGTAAAAATACTTTTTTAAACAAAAATATTTTGAAAAGTATTAACCTTCATTAGATGTTTTAAATTTTGATGGCCTTCTGTTCACCAATACGATGCTTTCTAGTATTTCACATGGGACTTGCACAAAAATGAAAACGTATATTTTACCGAAATAATACTGTAGTTATTGCATTGTTATTAGGAAGCACATTTTTTTAGAGTAAGACTCTGATGCATACTCTGATTTAAGAAGTATAACCCTAGTGTATCACCAGGTAGTGCCTTCGGCAACATTTTGTATTTATTGCATACGTCGTGCGACTTGACATCTAATAATCAATATATCACGCATCATTCGCAGATGATACTACTTTGAATATACCATATACAAACGAAGCAAAATACAATATCTACCTTGATGTGATAATATCAATACAAAACAAACTCCTGTTATATAGACGAATTCAAAAACCCATTTATACAGCAGACAGATGTGGAAATATGTTCACGAATATATTATTATAATAATTTGACTCTCACAAAACAATATCTTACAACTTATAGTTACGCTTCATTTTACATTAGAAATTGTGATCGTTCCCGCTATCTTAATATTCCAACCGTGACCAATGTGGCAAAAGAATTAGCCCAAGAACATAAACAAAGTCTTTCCCATTGTTCATGATAAAGCATCTGCTCTACTCGAGTAAAATGCTTAACGGCGTTGGCTCAAACGAACAATTGCACTTAATCTTATGAAATACTAAAATCGGGACCTGTTAAGAATGTATATGTTATATACATACAGTGTATTCAAGGAATAAATAAAGTATCTGGCAAGGCTATAACTTCAACTTTATAACTCATTAAAACTGCTTATATTTACCATGAAACAGTACACGCTATCATAAATTGTTTTAATGCAACCAGGATTGAACTTTATATCACTTTTTCCAAAACTAAATCAATGAGAGTCAAGGCAATTAATAGATCAACCTTCTATCTAAAGAGCCAGGATATTGAAGATGTTCAGCAGTTTGAATATTTGGGAAGTGTGGGAAAGCAGCGATGGTAAAACTATGATTAACATAAACAGCCGTTTAAAGAAAGCAAAATGCACCTTCGCAATGTTAAGCGAAAGCTAAGGTTTGGAAAGCTAATAACGTGCATGTCAAAACTAAGGTCAGAATCTCCAATGCATGTGTAAAACCTACTTTGCCATATGGCTGTGAGACATGGTCGGTAACTAGTTCGTTAGTTCATAAGATCTAAACTTTTATTAATAGGGACCTGCGATGTATTATCGGTGTATGGTGGCCTGCTAGAATTTCAAATGAAGACTTTTCGCGTCGTACCAATCAGAAATCGATAGAGAAAGAAATTTTACAATAAAAATACGGATGGCTAGGTGACACATTGAGAAAATCAACGGATGCAATTGCTTATGCTGTCATGGAATGGATCTCTCAAGAAGTGAGAACACCTGCTCGACCGAAATCTACTTGGCGTAGGACAGTAGCGAATGAAATTCAAAAAACGAATGGAAACAATTTATTCGAACTGTTTGTGAAAAGAGTAATATTTATTTATAAGATTTATTTTATAAATTGAGAATAATAATAATAATTCTATGCATAAAAATTTAGATTTATTTCCATATAAAATACAAGTAACACAATTTCGAAAAATTTCGAACTTTGTGGCAATGTCAACATGCAAAATTGTAGAATTTTTGATTGTATTTGTGACTTGCATTTGTGGGGTTATTTGAAATGGGAAGTCCATAAGAGCAGTCGACGAACACAATATACGACATAAAATACGCAAAATATCGACACTTGAAATGTCATGATAAACGTCGAAAAGAGAGCATATTTGGCCATTAAGGAAAAAGAGCGGTCGTTTAAAAAATGTTATTGTTCATAACTAACTAAATCGTATTTTCACAAACCAACATATTATAAATGTTTTCTTAGTATTATATAAGTTGTTATTGTATAAACGATCCTGTTAAGATCAGTTATAAATAGCAGCCACAAAAAATTTTTATCATTAATTAATAATTTATGGCTTTATTTGTAATATAACTTTCAAAAAGAGTAGATAAAGAGTTTCGTCTAATATATGACTCTCAATTGCATATACACTGATAAGACAGTTAGATCTCTATGTTATTTAACGTAGCATTCTATGTCATGGTGGCCTAACATTACTGTGTTCAAAAACACATGTAAATTTCCGTCAGTACCAATGAAGAAATGTGTGCAAGACATAACTTCCATCCGCTAATCCTTGGGTCACAGCACCCGGTGGTGATTACGCAATTCGACATCGAATGAATGATAAACAAATACCCGAACATTCTTCCCGCGTAAGTTTAAGTATTAACCACAGCCACCACGTAGTGGAGTAGATCACTTACTACCATGCACACTCCTGCACAAGTGTCGGAGTTGTACCGGGATTTTAGTCGCCTCTTACGACAGGCATGCCTACCGCACCTGGCCAAAATATTTGTCATTTTTAGGTATTGACCAGGACGAACTTATCAAAAATTTTAGTGAGTTGAACTAGATAAAACTGATTTAATATAAGAACGAACACAAACTGTAGAGAAAGCAGCAGAAAAACTTTTTGTAGAAAATATTAAATTATTTTGACTGTGACAAACTTTTTAAAATTTGATTGATGTAAACGATTTTATAAATTAACGAAGCCTTGCACTATAAAAACATATAGAAAAATTTTTTTTTAATTAGTAAAATATTTAAAAAACTGTTGAATCTTATAGCACTCCGTCATAGGTTAAGCAATAATATGATCTAATAACATATATAATTGAATAAAATTTTTCTACAATCATGCCAAAATAAACAGAAACACAACAACAAGTTGTTATATAATTTTAATATGGTTTTATATTGATTACATGAGTTAAATTAGAGTGAAACTCTATCTTTTGTATTTTATTATTGTAAGAAAAGTGAAGAAGTTTTTGCTATCAATGGAAAGAAACATTTACTTCAATATGAAGTTGTTTAAGCATTTTAAGTAGGATGCTGTAACATCACAAGGGATTAATACAGCTTATGCTGTTAACTTAGCAACTCATATTCCAATTATCTACATATCTACCTTAATATGTTGAATTTCCACACATACATCCTGTCATCGTAAATCGTAAATTGTAAAAAATAAATTTTAAATTAATTTGAAAAAAAATAAAAGTTGATTCTAATCGTAATTAGTTATGTATAGTTCTCATCATATATCATGTTTTGAATATATAACAGATTTAATACACTTCGGATAGACAGAATTTAAACCGCACTAAATGTTCATGATAATCCTTTTTATTTTATAAATATAATTAAGAATTCATTTGATAGTGATACTAGCAGAGTGCTACATGCTGACCCCACTCCAAACTTTGTCAGTCATTAAAAATGACACTACAGTCTCCCCGTTTTTGTTTATTACCACAAGAAATGTCAATTAGACCCTTGATAGAATTGATTTTAGCAAATGTGGATACTGTTGACACATTGTTGAATTAATAAAGTTACTTAATTCAAGCATACGAATGACATTGTTCTACTTTTTTCTAAAAACTATATTTCTTGATTCTAGATATAGCATATATAGAATACATTTTGTTGTCACTACTTGTCTTGACATTGACCTTAGTAATAATACAAATAAATCGAACAAAATATAGTCATCGACACTGATTATTTTGCAGATGTAAATAAATTCTAGTACTTTGGGTTCAAATTTACCCCTGAAGTCGGTACTATGACTGAGGTAAAAAATACTCCGACTACCTATCAAAAAATATTCAACACTAATGTGAAAGTGATATTACTTTACTTTAATACGTTAATTATGTTTTGTTAACCCCTGGTTATAAAAAACAATAACTATAGTTTGATCAGGACCTACAAAGTATAAGTGCATTAGCCACACATTACAGGAAGATGCGAATTATTTTACTTATTAGCTAAAAAGTTGAAACAGATTGTGGTGCTGGAAAAAATGTGATCAACAAGAATAAAGTGGAAGCGAATAATTAACAATAAAACCTCCAAATTGTTTTACATATGAATATGACTCTTATGAACTAAATTCTATTTATTACAATTTTAAATTTTGTAAGCATTATTCAAAGCATTAAACTTATCGCCAGAAATGGTAAAATATATAATTTTATTTTTACAAACATTTTAATTAATTGGTACACATACATACCATTCTTATCAATAAAAAATAAAATTAAAATTTCAAATCACATTTCCAAATATAATCGGCTCTATAGTTATACTCTTGCTATGGCTTTATACCATTTACTGTATCAAAAATGTATATTTCTATGTAAAAAAACACATGACTAATTCATACTGAAGTTTCTACTTCTTAATAAATTAATAGACATACACATATATTGCATATTGTACATACATTATGATTAATAATCTATAAAAACGTCCTTATTTACATTTACATTGGCAAGCTAAGATTTTTCCTATTATTAATACAAATATTTGTGAACACCATAATTTTAATAGCGAATTACAGAGCTGTATCCCATTCCGTCTTAACACAATATGAAATGCTATTAAACAATGCTATTAAACCGTTCAACAATAAATGTATGCTAATATCAATTTTAAACCATTTCTAAATACAAATATGATCCATAATACTATTGAAATTAAATGAGATGCCAGATTTGTCCAGACATCATAGCTCATCATAACTCAATCATCCTATGAGATGTTGGATCTTATATGGTTTTCAATTGGTAAATCTTAGGCAAAATCTATAACAATCGAGATTAATTTATAACACTCTATTGCAATGATTGGTAAATCTGTATAGCACTCGAGATTAATTTATAACACTCTGGATATTTTGCCAGAGTAACAAGATAACCCTGAAATTAACAGCTGTTTCATATGATTTGACAGATAAAAAACATTGATTTGTTTTAAAATGTATAAAATCAAAATAAAAACACATTTGGCTGCAAATACAGATGCAGATGCAGATATATTTCTCAACTTGCAAAAACGGAAAAAAGTAGAGTTGAAGATTTTGTGATGAATGTTGTATGCAACTACTCAGAAAAGAGGCCAATGTGAACATTTTATTTCAATTAATTTATTTACTAAACAACTAGAAAAACTTTAGATTACTCTAAAAATGTTCGATTGGACAACAAAATGTAAATCTAGATTGAATCCAGATTTACCAATCGAAAGCGCCATATGGCGCAATTACCACTCGTTTAAGTTATTGGTAAATTGGTAAAATATACAACGTAAAATATATCACAACGTAACAAATGCATCTACATTAAAAATACAAGTATGTAAATCATTAGAAGTTTTATTTTTGCAGAGAGGAATAAACAAATAATGTAGTTATGTCTAGAAAATCATATTACCAAAATGCTTTGAAACTTAGAGAGAGAGAGAGACTCGTTCTAATACGAAAATACTTTTAATTGCTTAATGTTTTGATATGATATTCATCAATCAAAACTAACAAAATAACAAATATATATATTTATTTATTACAAAAAAAATACATGTATTTATTTATTTATTGCAGAATAAATAAATTCAATATTATTTGTTATAAAATAAATACATCTACAATCTCTCGTTATAATGAAACCATTAATAATTACTTGGACTACGTCCGAAATATGCACTGACACTGACCAGTGAAAGTAGCTAGTTTAAACCATTTACAATTATGCTGAATTAAATTGCCAGCTTGGAAATTCATCCATAATGTTGGTGCTCTGAGTTTAAGATACAGATATTTAAGTCTATTTATACACAATTCTAACAATTCACAACCTAAATACACTTCTAGTATACAAATACAAATTGAGAAATGCAGTATCTCTAAAACCAATGTCTAAAAAAAATTTAAATTTAAAATTATGGTTGTTTGAATTTGAAGTCACTCAGCACTAACCTTAAAGCTTCACGCTCCTTGCGTGACATATTCTGCGTTGGTATTAAATCACCAACGACAAATGCCATTAACAGCATCAATGCAAATAATGTCATCAGCAAAATTCGTGGTAAACTTACGGCATTTGTGTAATTTGCTAAAGAAGAGCAGCATTTATACGTACAGATGTTTAAAGTGACAGCGGAATGTCTATTTGGTATTGTAGCTGAAGCGGGTAATTTATCTGTAACAGCAGCGGAACAATAGTGCATGCTTTGACGCGTTCTTGACGAGGTCATTTTTGTCAGTTTAGTGTTGTTTATTTGTGTACTACTGGCTGTATATAAATTTCTTTTAAACTGGTTGGTGATGTGTCGTTGCTTTTTCTTTTTTGTGTCACTGCTTTAAAAGCGGCGTTTTTTGTAAAATTTAAATATGTTGATTGAGTTTCGGTTTTGTTATTGTAGTAGTTTCAGAAGTTGACCTTCACTTTGAACGTGATATTTTTTTATTTTCTTTTGTTTTAAATTATAATTAAACAAATTTAAATTATTTGAAGGGAATTAAAACAAAATTTGTTTGACCTTTTTTTAAATGTTATTAAATTATATAAATGCGAAAAAATGAAAACCAAACTAAATATAAAATTTGCCTCTGTCAGCAAGCAATACAATTTGATAGCGTACGAAATTAAAGATAAAAATATACAACAAAAATATTAAAATTTTTGTTTAATTAGTTTAATTTTTTCTATTCTCATATTTGTTCCATATGACAATATGTGTTTGTATTTGTCCCACTTTGTATTGCTGCTGCTGCTGCTGCCACTACTGGTGCTTCTACTATTGTTGAGGTAGTTTTTTGCTCGGTTAATTTTGTTGCAAATTGATGCAACATTGTTTAATTAGTTATATCATTTAATGAGCTAACAAATATATATTGTTTTTGTTATTTTTGCTGGCAATTTCCTGACCAATCTTAAAACAACACGACAACCTCCTTATTTTATTATGTCGTTGTCCGTCCTTTGCTTCTTATCAAGTTTGTTTGCTTTATCTTTCGAGTTTTATAATTGTTTTTCACTACTGTTTCTTGATCTATTATTTTAATAAGAGTATTATTAATTCAAAATATTTCACAGTTGCATAAATGTGTTTTTAAATTGTGTTATAATTTTATATCACTCACTTTTACATGAATTATTTTTACAATATTTTTATGATTTCTTACACTTTTTTTTTAATCTTTATATGACAATTTAAATGACTCTCTTTCTACGTAAATGTCAAAATCAGTGAGTTTGTTCACAACGTCATAGAGTTACCAAGTGTTCAATATTTTCATAAGGTTATTTTGGTTTGTATATGTAATATATACTATGGCCGCGTGCGAGTTCCAATAAATTGAGAAAAAGTAAATTAAAATTTCCAAGGGATTTTTTGCACTGTACTTATGTTAATATTTATTTATTTATTTATTGCACTTATTTGTTTTTTTGGTTATAAGTTTTCAAATTTATTTATTTATTTATTAAACACCTTATAACATTTTCACAATGGTAACATCTATTTTACCTAATTTACCCTAGTCGAAATTCTGGTAAATATCCACATTCGCTGCCATACCGACATAATTTACTACTTCCCTCAATTTACTCGAACTCCCACACTGCTTACATATATAAATACGTATGTTTAACATCACATAATAGTGTAGTTAATGTACATGAGTTAAAAATCGATTCTTTTAATTTTCGGTAATTTCTTTTGTCATCTCCTGATCTCTTTAATCTAAATCTAAATTGAGTTGTAGCCTAATAAGTATGCGCCATTAAATGAAATTTATTACATTTTTTCGACTAAATGGCATTAATTTAAATTAATGAAATGGCGATAAAAGGCATGAAATTGTTATTGAAGATTTATAGCAGTATAGCAGTATTAGATTCATTGACAGGTGTATTCTTTTGATATGATTGCTTCAGTAGAACAGCTTTTGGTGCTTAAACATATGACAAGAAAGAAAATTTCAAATAAATTTACGATTAAATTTTATAAAAAAGTTTTTTATATAAATATACACACATATACCCAGAAATTAAAAATTCATTAATAAATAATTGGCTTCTTCACAATTACTAACCTGTTAGTCATCTTCATAGATTTTTTTAATAAAATTACTTTTTAAAATATTCAAATTTATTCATTAACAATCGAAACAGTTGTAAATAATAAATAGCTGACTGAAGTTTTCCATTTTCTTCCAAAAATCAGTCACAATAGATTAATTATAAGATTTGGCATCTTTGTAGTGGGAGAGGCACTACATATATTTATAATTGGTTAATTGCAATTAAATAAAATAGCCAGATCGATCAACTATTTTGTTTAATGGAATACTTTCATTTGTTCAAATAACAATAGATTATAGTCCCTTTAAGCAGAACAATTGTAATTAATAGATGTATTACAATTTTTTGAAAGCAGGTTTTTAAATTGGCGTTAATTATTTTGATTACCATAATTGCAATAAAGGACACATAGTAAGGTTTTTCTTCTCTTAATATCATTCACTGTACTAACCAATCATGCTAATTAATTCTTTTATTTCAAGTTTTAGAACTAATTTATTAAAATAAATTGCAATGCTCATAGTGCACATCATTAAATATGTTGTAAAATCGAAAGTTAAAATTTTAAACATTTGATAAAACAAATATATATAAAATTATATAAGTCCAAATATACAAATGTCACAAAGAATTCTAAATAAAGAACACAACTGAATAACAAATTATTTACGCTTTATTAATAATTAAATAATACACAATATAATACATCAGTCAATAAGTCGGACGACTGACACGCAGATGACGCTGTCATTGTCAAATCTATATGACGTTTATGAAATACCAAGGTTATGGCTTCAGTATTTTGGGATGCACATGATATAATCTTCATTGACTATCTCGAAAAGGGAAAAACCATCAATAGGAACTATTACAGGACATTACTGGATCGTTTGAAAGCAGAAATTATAAAAAAACTTTAAGGACCGCATATGGCGAAGAAAAAAATTTTGTTTCACCATGTCAATGCACCATATCACAAGTCAATAAAAACGATGGCAAAATTACACGAATTACACTTCGAATTGCTTCCTCATCCACCATATAGTCCAGATCTGGCCCCCAGCGACTACTGGCTATTCGCTGATCTCAAAAAAATGCTTACTTCTTCATCTCTCAAATGAAGAAGTAATTGCTGCAACTGAAACCTATTGAAGAATGAAGAAATAATTGCTGCAACTGAAGCCTATTTTGAGGTAAAAGACAAATCCTTCTACAACCACAGCATCGAGAAGTTAGAGAAGCGTTGGAATGATTGTATTGCTCTTGAAGAAGATTATATTGATGAGTAAAATCGATTTTTGGCAGAAAAAATTTATTTTTCTTAGTTAGTCACGCGTCTTATTGACTGATGTGTTATATAACAAAAATCCAACTCGAATTTTTTATTTATATTAAAAAAATTTGTTTATGTTTGAAATTTGTTTCTCAATGTGATTTAACATTACATCTTCTATTTCTTTTTATCAACAATCGCGCAAGTAGTCACGATTACTTAATAATTGAGTTAATATATAGCGAACAATTTTATATGTAAAATACGAATAATTATAACATAATTATTGAGTTAATTACTTAAATGAGTTGAATGGTAATGTAATGTTATATATAATCTTATATTTTTTCTACCTGTTCTAAATTTATGGTTTTAAAATACCACTTTAAGATACAAAAGAAAATTATTTTTGATAGTTGTTTATAATACAGTTCATAAATCCATACTATGTGAATGTCCTTTAAGGCGGCATATTAATATGACCCCGTTTACACTACACAGTGGAACAAGTGAAGTGGTAATGTAGTGTGAAATCAGATATATATATTAAAAACGCAATGAAATTTTATAAAATCAAATACAAACTATTAACATTACCAATAAATGCTAACAAAACATACAAAAAGTTTATTTTTATAAAATCATTTGTTCAGATATATGTCAACTCCCCTGTACACATAATAAAAAATATTTGTGCTGGCACCACTACAAGTCCAACAACATTAAATGTCAACTAATTGTAAATAAATGTTTCCTAATTAAATTTAAGTTAAAAGTCTTATATTTTTAGAATTACATTTGTGAATCAAAATTATTAATTTAAATAAAATTTGAGAAGCTATTTAAGTTCAATTAAAGTTAAAGTTATTATTTTAAAAAAACTCGCCTAACTCACAACGAAAATTTTGGGAAGTTTATACTTTTTGCAAACAAAGCAGAATTAAGATCAGTTTTAATATAAAGACCAAATACTACTGAAGTACTTCACGGTCAGCAAAAATTTGACAGTGGCAGATATCTACAAAGGACACAGATTAACAATGTGTCGAATCAGTATATAGTATAAAATATGAACATGTCATTTCACCAAACAAAACGAAACGGCTTAAAAATGTGCTAACGCTGGGATTTTATCATTTGATTTCAAACAGTCTTACTTGTAAGAAGGAAAAGATCTATTGTATCTAGAATGTCGCAAGAAAGTGAAAGCGAGGTTGCTACTATTAAGGGACTGCCAATAACATTACCACAATCGCGTGGAGTGTGGGTAGTTGCATTAGCAGCACTACTCCTTTGTATTATTTTTTATATTTTTTATGGAGGTATATTAACTTTAGCAGCATTTTTCGCTTTTATATTAGGTAAGTATTACATTTCAAAATAATAAATTCACATATAACTGGACAACAAATCCCAGGTATGCTATACTATGCCCAGGATATACTTTTGTATCATCCAGATATGCCAGCCAATTCGCGAATATACATTCCGATACCAACAATGCATAATTTACCACATGAAAGCGTTAATATACGTACTCCGGACAAAGTGTTGTTGCACGCTTTCTGGATTTCTCAACCCGAGGAACGTTCCAAAATGGTACCTACTTTTGTATTTTTTCATGGTAATGCCGGCAATATGGGCCATCGTATGCAAAATGTTTGGGGAATTTTTTACAATTTAAATTGTAATATTTTGATGCTTGAATATCGCGGTTATGGTTTGTCGACTGGTGCTCCATCCGAACATGGGCTTACAGTAGATGCACGCGCTGCTATCGATTATTTATATACACGTCATGATTTGGATCATAAGCAAATAGTAGTTTTTGGACGTTCGTTAGGCGGAGCTGTAGCTATTGACGTAGCATCTGATACCGTATATGGGCAGAAAATAATGTGTGCTATAGTAGAGAATACATTTACTAGTATTCCAGAAATGGCTGTGGAATTAGTGCATCCAACAATTAGATTTATACCAAATTTTTGTTATAAAAATAAGGTAAGTACCCATCAATTAAGTATTAAGATACATAAGACAATATTAAAGTTACATAAGTTACATCAGCAAAGTTGTGATTATATAAAAACTTTATCTTCAAGTTGCAGTCAATCAGTTTTTATAGTAACATTTAAATGCATTGGTTGTTGTTTAATTAAATGTATATTTTTAACAGGGTCAGAAGTCAAGCCATTGACGTTAGAATATAAGTATATAAGAATGAATGTATTACATATACACACATATATATATGTATATGTATATATATATTCTTTCATTAAATTGATACAATGCAACTTTATGCATTTTTTTTAAAAAATGGTGATAACATTGAATACTTAGTCATACATTTTCAAAATCAATTAATTGTGTTTCAGAAACTCTTTTTTATTATTATTGCTTTAATATCTAACATCCTTAATTAAACTTAAATTTTATTAGGTATAAAATTTCTTCAAACTCTTACATTACTTTAATACATTGTTAACGTTTACATAGTTTGATATATAAGACAATTATTTGTATTCGTTCTCTATAAACTCTATTAATTGCACAATTGCTATAGGTAACTGTTTTAATGTTTATTTTTCATTTAAATTGTTTTGAAAAGTCATCATAATCATAAAATGTTATTAACGAAAGCATGGAAAAGTGAAGTTAGTTTTGGCTACACCGAATGTTCAGTACCTTTCGCAGTGCTAATATGTTATATACATCACTGTGTTTTACTTGAAGAGCACACTCCACATTATTAATTTTTTTCTCTTTAAAAAGAACTATTGGTTTCTAGTTTGTATTTATAGTAGGATTAATATTTTTTATTATAAAAATAAAAAAAATTTATTTGTTGAACAATTATTAAATTCGGAGCTGAAAAATTAAAAAAGTGTAAAAATGACACATAAATTTTGTTTCATTTGAATAGCACATTTTTTTTTAAATATATTTAACAACTTCATGCTCTAAGAAAAGCACACGCTTACTTAATAGCTTCAACTAGTCTAGTTTTAGTTGAAAATTGTTCTTCAAACTCGTAAACTTTTCTGGCCAGCCATGCCTAAACATTTTCTATTATATTGATATCCGGAGAGTATGGTAGCCAGTTCAGAATGGCAATATTTCTAGACTCAATGTAACATAGGATTTTACAACACGAGTAGTGTGTATTTGGGCGTTGTCGTGTTGGCAAGTCCAGAGCAAATGATTAAACAAATTTTCCAAAGGAGGAAAAGCCTTTTCTTGAACTCTTAGGTATGATTGTGCGTTCATATTTGCATTTGAGAATTGGAGTTCGCAAGTATCATAGTAAGATATGACTCTTCAAACCATAACTTCGTACACTTGACTGTGCAAACGATTCGACTGTAATGTCTCTTTCCTCAAAGCATGAAAATATTAGTTATAACTATCTGGTCCTTTCAAATTATACTGTTTTTCATCTGAGAAAACAACATGATATCACTCCCTGATCCATGACATTTTGAGACGAAAAAAAGTCTATTGAGTCTCTCTATGTATAGGGTTAAATGATGGCTTTTTTTAATTTCAATTGTTTTACATGTTCGTCTTTCGAAATAACGCGCCATACGATAGATTTGTTCGTTTTGACACCAGCTTTTGACCTAATTTTCTCAACCGAATCATGTGAATTTAAAGATTGCCGCAAAATCACTTTCATATCTGTATCGCTAGGAATGCTATTTACACGACCTATCATATTTTTCCATAATTTGGATCATTTTGAATAAAATTGTGTATAATTTTTCTACTTCTTCCAATTTTGTATGATATTTCCTGTCCAGGTCCAGTTGTACCATATATTGCTAAATGCTGTTTCAAGTTTTTTTATTACATTAAATGGTTAAACAATATTTAAAATACACATATCTATTGAAAAAAATGATTATTGTAATGATTTTCGCCGCTTAAACGAGACTGAAACCAAGATGTGCTGTACAAATTTTTTTTTTCTTTTTTATAATCCATTTATTTTATTACAATCTGTCAGGTATGAATGACAATAAGTAATATATATTGACATGAATCGTAATAATAGTTATTACGATCTAAAAAAGAAAGGCACGTATGGACTATATCCAGTGACATATCCATATATAATTAAAGTAGAAGTGCGTGACCTACATATACATATTTAAAACGTCCCTCGATGTTTTTCTTTTTAGCTTTGTAAAAGTATTGGAGAGGGACATCAGGTGTGTAACCAGCGGGTTTGGATGCATATATATGCGATGAGCGTAATTCTTTGTAATTCGAGATTCTTCTTTGATTGTCGGAACACGTAGTTGTTTATGCAGCTGTTCATTCGTTACATACCAAGGTGCATTTGTGATCGAACATTCGTAGTGTTTTAGATTGAAAACGCTGGATAATTGCCAAGTTTGAGTCTGCTGCAGTACCTCATTATTGGGTTCCATAACTCCATATAGGTTTTAGTACAGTTTTGTATATAAGCAACTTATTGTCTAGTGACAGTTTGGAATTTCCGCTGAGGAACCAAAATAAGTTTCGCAATTTGAGACCTAAGGCTTTACGCTTATTAAGTATGTGTGGTTTCCAGGTTAGTTTATTATCCACATGTGCTATTCAAATGAAATGCAATTTGGTATTTCTATACTTTTTTAGATTTCCAGCTCTAAATTTAATAATTATTCAACAAATTTAAGTTTTTTTATTGTTATATAAATAATTATAATTTAAGAATATGGTAATTATATATTATTATATGAACTAAAAACCGATAGTTTTCTTTTATTTGTTTGAAAGATAAAAAGACAAGAAATTGAATATATTGAGTGTGCTACTTAGGTAAAATGCAGTGTATGTATATATATATTTATAGCGTATATTTCTGTGTTTAAACGAAATAATTAACACAGAGACTATATTAAAATTTTTATATTTATTCAATTGTGTTACTGTAAATTTCTAAACTTATTGTTAGAAGAGAATCTTCTTGATTCTTCTTCTTGAGATAGTGCTATTACGCAATTTTACTCTATAATGGCTGGGGGGCTTATCTTTACCCCATACTAGGCTTTAACTAGGCTAAGAAATCATATCATTTATTTGTCTTTTAGTTGATGACGGACCTTAAATCAGCATATCTTTCTGATATGCAGTAAGCTGCAGTAGTGCAGCTTACTATGATTATTGAAAAATGGAACTTAATTCTTGGTATTTATTATGTGCGGCTATTATATGATATAGACTGGTAATTGTCAGCTTCATCTGTTTGGATATACAAAAAGTCTGTGTGTATAGTTTTTGTCCCTACTAATTGCAGATATATAGACCTCGATAAAATAATTCGTCTCATGTTGATTGAAAATATATATAGTTTGTATGACTTATTTAGCATCCAACAACTTCTTTACCGCGTTAGCAATATTACATCTTCATAAACTAAATGTTACTCTTATTTACAATAGTGTGAAGGGTACAAAAATCTACACATTTTAATATTTCTTCAGTTCAATGAATTTAAACAATTATTCAAACCATCCATACCATGTAGCGCAAAATACAGCAAAAAATATAATAAAAAGAGCTCTACATCTAACCGATCCAACATTCCATAATGATTTACAAAAAGAATTTCGCAGAATTTTAAAGAGAAATGATTTCTCCTCTTCCAATGTGGAAAAGATTATCAAAAATATTATTTACACTGTAACAAATTTCAGAATGACACTAGGAATAAGGATAATAAAATACAAAAGCATTATACATATTCCTAAACTCTGTAACGAAATATTGACATCTGATGTTCATGATAAATCAAATTATAATATCACACTAAGATCTGGAAATACACTGTATTCCAACTTAAAAACAAAAATAATGTGAAAATTCTACACCAAGAAAATAATCATCGTAAACGATACTTCTTGGAGGTGCTCTAGTCCACCACTATGTATTAATATGTTGATTAGTATTTGAATATAATGTTTAGTTTCCTGATGATGACTTTAGACTAAAGTCGAAATATCGTAATATAAAAATTATTGCAAAATTAAATTGTGATTTCTTTTTTCTTAATTTTTATTTATATTTTTAACAACAATATAAAAAAAAATTTGACCATTAGCCTGAAAAAAACACCATTGAAATTGTTTAGTCACAAATAATTAACATATGCATTTAAATAGATAATATTATTGATTTGTAATATTAACTGAGCGTAAGCAGTAAATATATATATACATATGTATATGATACATATATATATTTTATAAAGAAATCGTTATTACAGATCGAATAAAAAAAGTGGATTCTAGTGAATTTCATAATTAAACAAACATTGTGTTTTTTAGCAAGAAACTTTAATTGTACCTATAATGGATAAAAAACTGTACAAATGCATATGGCAGCTAAAATAAAAAGATCGGTGTTACTAAAAGTGTTAAAAAAAAACTAAACAATATAACATCAATTGACATATCGTATTTTTTAGGAAATTTGAATAATTTAATATCCGCCTTACTAGAATGTATTGAGTTAAGTTAATGTGTCAGTCAAGAGGTAATACTTTTAGGTTCCAAAGGTGTTAACACATTTTTTTATAGAGCTTAGTTTTTATTTATTATTTGGGTTGTCATTAAAACAAAATTAGTTATATTTTATTTATTTGGATTTGTATTTATTTATTAAGACATAATGTTATTAACGTTCGTATATTTATTCTTGCTTTTTTTGAATTAAACCGTCGACTTTTGAAACTTTGAAAGCTAGTTATAACTTACTTATCTACTTAGTTGACCATTACAGAAGTGGGTCAGTCTTGGCCATGTCCAGTTGACTCACCAGCCAGCCCGAATAGTGGCTTGCTGTCGCCAGTTGGTAGGCACTCTGACCTTCCAATCGTTCTACCGTATTTCACAAACCGGAACTGAATCATACAAGGTTTTCTGGCCGAAACAATTTTTCCATTCTCACGAGAAGACCAAGCCAGTGAAGCCGCTGAGTTTTTATGTGTTTAACTATGTCAATGTCGCGGTATAGCTCATACAGCTTTTCATACTTTTTAATTTAATATTCGTTGCTAACGCGTAAAAGACCTTAGATCTTGCGACGAACTTTTCTTTTAAGTGATCCTACCGCCTTTTTATCATTGTTGATTATTGTATGAGCTTCTGCACCATACAGCAGGACAGACATAATAAGAGATTTGTGGAGCGTGCTTTTTTTTGTCGAGAGACAGCTTTATTTCTCAATTACGTTCTTAGCTCGAATCTCTAAATTGAAGTCAGTTTGGTGTTTACGGTGGTTTTAAAGTAAACAAAGTTTTTCATAACTTTGAATTCATAATTTTCAACAGTGGCGTGGTTCTCAAGTCGCTGAAGATATTTGTTTGTTGACAGAAAGTACTTTGTTTTGTCCTTATTTACCATTAGACCAAGAGTGCTTCTAGTCGTAGTATTAAAAGCGGTTTTGAAATCGACAAGTAGATGGTGTGTGTCTATTTCTTTTTCTTGGGTCTTTCCTAAGACTTGGCGCCCTGTGAATGTTGGATCTATTGTGAATTTGCCAGGTCTACAGCCACACTTATAAGGTCCAATCAGTTGGTTGACGATTAACTTCAATCTTTCTATATGAAATACAGAACCTTTTGTACGTTTGACAGAAATAATGTTCTGTGCGATATTTAAACGACTGTTCACGCGATAATTGGCGCAGTTTCCAGTACTGCTTTTTTGTGTATTGGGCTGGTTATAACATTATCTATTCAATTTTTTAAGCTAAATGTTAATAAAAAACTTAAAGACAAGTTAATAACAAATTCAAAAAAGTATAAGAAATACATTCATCAAAGGCAGGAAAAACAAATTTAATTAACATATCTAAAATGACATAACTTTATTTTAATTATACTGTGCAATATATTACTCTAATTGCTTTTCATATTTTTTTTTTTTCAGTTTAATTCAATTGGTAAAATAGGCAATAGTTCGGTGCCATTTTTGTTTCTATCGGGTATGGCTGATACCTTAGTTCCGCCTCGTATGATGCGTTCATTATACACAGAATGTGGCAGTAAAAAAAAATACGTTTTGGAGTTTATTGGGGGTTCACATAACGATACATGGATTGTAGATGGGTAAGATTGATTTGAGACATATATATATATATTTTAGCACGTCTAACATATTTTTTATATCACCTATTAAAAACATGTTGTTGTTAATGTTATAGACCAAGTTAAGCTGGATTACAAGTACTTAAGGATGACAAAACTTGTCAATTGGAATATAAGAGGAAAAATAAAAATTTATAATATAGGAGTTAGGAGTTGGGAAAGGGATGAGTGGCGAGTGTTAAAAACTTCCAGTATTGATATTACCGATATACTACTAATAACATAATTTAAAAGACTGGTACAAACATTTTAAGAAAGTTTATGATTGTAGCAATACAAATAAAATATTTTTTTATAATACTTATTTATTTTAATAAGTTTTAACAAAAATCCTCAACAGTATTAAAAGTTTGAACCATAAAATAAAAATAAATTATATTTTTTTCAAATATTAAAATTAGATTAATACAAAAGTTACTTAATTTTTTGAGTTTTTTCTTTTGAAAAAACTTTGAGTTTTTTCTTTTGTAAACCTCAAACTATATATATGCAACGTAGTTTAAAGTTTTTTAACATAATGCATTAAACTCGAAATCATAAAAATAACCCCTTTTTATTTATATGTAGACATATTCTCCCATACGAAGCATATATAAGTTATAAAAAATTTTAAATAATTTTTAATTAAGCATTTTTCTGTCTTTGAATATAAATGAATTCATATTCGTACTTTATAAATTAATTCTGATCGATTCTGATTTATATATGAATTATTAATTTTAACTCAAAAGCAACAATAATAATATTTTTTAACAATTATTTATAATTTTGTAGTGCCCTCTTCGCCCTAATAACACTTTGGATTCTGTTGGGCATGGTATTAAATAAAGTGCCATTAATATTCTGCTGTAACGTTTTAGTGCAAATTTTTAATTGTTTTCTTTAGTTCTATTAAAGCCCAAATATTTTTAATTGGATTGAGATTGAGACAGTTTCCTGACTATTCCAATGAAACAATGTGCCGGTCATCCTTTAATTGTCCCGGTCTGTGACTAGTTTCCCGGTATTTTTTCAGAAAAAGACGCATTCAATTTTCATTAAAGTGTATTTTATCCGTTATCTGACGAGTCGGTATATTTTCATCAGTTAGATCAATAACGCTTTTCTGAAATAAACACAAATGTGCTCATTTCAGAATAGTTAATGATGTATACACAATCATTAATCTAAATTTCTTTTAAAATTATAAGTAAATTAATGATTTCTTAATTTTTAATATAGAAAAAACTCACAGCTAGAAATTGTTCGAACTTTTTGTATATGATTGTATATGGTTATAAAGAGCTAAAATCAAAGCACGGGTATTTAAATATGCGAATACAATAAACGAATACAATAAGATCAAGATAATCGGCAAAGAAACAATATGAAATATCATTAATTTCAATATCGTAACGATAAAATTGCTTAGAATCATATGATATGCAAAATAACAATACAAAATGAACAAAGGATATAGGTACTTTTAAAGTAAATATCACTTTTTTGTATATATTCTAAAAAACTTTAAAACGAATGTTTATATACGTTAAAATTAAAGTTGCTTTGTCATGCATTTAAAACTAACTATATTTGAAAAGTTAAATCTACTATATTTTCTATTTTATTTTCAGTTATTATCAGGGTATAAAAAACTTTCTAAACGAATGCCAAAATATGTCACTACCCTTAGTAAAACCCCCATTGAAAACAAATCTATGGAAAGAGATTCAAAATATTTAATCGTCAAGACAACGAAGAATTTTAATACTGCTGCCTACATTAATAGAATTTATTATTAAGTCAAATGGTTGTTGTTACTATTATTACTATGTTTTGTTCGTGAACAAAATTCTTAAGTGAGAGAGGCTGTGGAAAAACAGTTTTACGCGATTAAAATTATTAATATAATTATTAATTTTTAAACTTAAATTAACATTATTTTTGTTAACATTATTTTTAAACTATAATTTTTTTATTTTATTATTCATTTCTTCAAATAATAAGAAAAACACATGTACATAATAAGTTAAATAAGTGAAGCTTTAAATAAGTTTAAATGTATATATGCAGCATGTAAGGTAAAAACTGAAATGTAAGGTAAAAAACAGAAATTGCATATATTTTATAAAATTTTAGATGATAACTGTAAAATTGTTTTAAATGTTTATTTCAAAATTTTTAAAATGTTTTTGTTTTTATAAATGTTGTACAAAAATGTATAAATCAAATACCAAACATGCTGTACAAAAACATACAAGAAACAACAAGAAGATATTACAAGTATATAATATATTTGACATAAATGAAACAAATCAGCTTTAAATGCTATCAGAAACAAAAAGCAATTAATTACTTATATAATAAATCATTTGATTCAAGCGAAAACCAAGTTCAATTAAATAAATATATTGTTGAAAAATCTAAATGTGGTAATTCTTTATAAAAATATATAATATATATATTTTTTGTATAGTGTCGAAATAATTTATCAATTGCAAAATCATGCAATTCAATACCTTAAATTTATTATATTGAATCCCCTGATGATATATGATGATATTTGTAAATTATGTCAATCGACAATAATCAAGTATTGTCCCTGAAGATGTTAGCAAAAAGTAACGAAACATTAGGTTAATATGAGAATATATAATCTGTTTTTATGTTTCTTTATAATATACAAAAGTCCAGCACAGTTGCGATAACACCGAAATGAGAAACGTGCTTATTAATTAGAAAAGTAATTGTGATTCGTTGAAATGGAACAATGGCGAAAACATTGTTGTAAAAAGTTGTAGTATACTTCTACTAGGTTCATTGTTACTGCAACTACTAACATTTTATCATTCTTACGAACGGCGAAACTCCAACTTGGGTGATAAGTGGTACTTGGTTATAGTATACGTGTGGCTTTGAAACGTGTATCCTACTAGAACTAAATTCAATCCGTTAATAAACAAGACAATTAAGTAAATAGGCATTGGGGTATCAAACTAAGTTAAAATTTGTGCTTATATTAAAATTAGACTTGGGATTATCTTATTACTACTTGGGCATTAATTATAATGACACGAATTGATTGTTTCTATCTGATTAAGAGACTAAACTCTAACTTTTTTGTATTTTTGAATAACCACTTAACAACTGACACAGTAGTTAGGAACTTTTCTTACTTTAGCATAAATTATAATGACGAATTCACTGTTTTTATTTGTTGAGGTATTATCCAGTAGTTAGCTCAGGTCATTCAACTACTTCCTACGATTAAGAGACCAAACCTTACCTTTTTTGTGTTTTTATAAGTAACAATTTAACTACTAACACAGTAACTAGGAACTTCAAAGACGGGAATCTATCCAAGTGGGATTTTAATTAATAAAAATTTTGGAGCTGAAATCGTACATTCTAGTTGTTGGTTTATTAATATGAATTTGAAAGCCGGAAAAATTAAGTTGTTAATTGCTTCAAAAAGTACTTACTGATATAGCCCTTTTAATGACAGAAATAAAACATACGGATGTGACAGATATGATGTACAACCTAAAGTGGTAAGTTGAGCTAATTAGTGGTAAACGGCACTTCATCATCTTATTTAGAATATAGCTTTTGGATAGAATATAGCTTTTGGATATATGATTCTCAAATAGTTTGAGAATCATATATCCAACAATTTAATAAATATTGTCAATATATGTGTCAAAAAGTTGCAGATAATTATATAAAACATAATGATTTTAGCTTTGAGAAGAAAGAATTAGGAGCTTTATTGAAATTTCAAAGTTTTACATTCTTAATTTGTACATAAACAAATTAGAAAATATATAGATAATATATTATATAGATATACTTTTATATATATATATTATATAAATATATTTATATATATATATATATATATATATATATATACATATATAGCAAAATGCTTTAATTCAGATTTATACTTATTTATTGAAATATTTATATATATCCCTAATAGATAAAGCATTTCATCATGTAAAAAAGAAAAATTGATGAATGCAATTTTATTCGATTCCAGAAAGGATTTATATAAGTTTATCAATTTTGGCTTGGACGTTATAATAGCAATTTTATATAAAAAATTAATATTTTATATATTTTATTTGCTGGTATAAAACAAATTTTATCAATATATGATAAAATTTCAAACCGTGCTTAAAAACAAAAGGACGGTTTTTAGTTTTATAAAACATTATTTTTTTTAATATATGTATATATAAGTTTATTATTGTTTAAACAATCTTATATATTTCACTTTTTAACAATCACAAGCGATGACTGATAAGTATCAAATTCATTTTTAAGCAAATGTTTAAATCTGTTTATTTCAACAACATATATATTTTTCCAGCTGTCCAACTTTATTGTTTTATTGTGTTTTTATATAATTTAGTTTTAAAAATTATTTTTTTAGTTTATAATAATATTACTATGTTGTCTTCTTACAGTATTAATTTTAAATATTTTAATAGTTTTTTAATCAATCTTTTTTTATTTGACTTTTTTATTTAAACATTTTGTTATAAAATATTTTATTTTTTAATTTTTTAGGATGTTTCATCAGGTAATACTTATATGTTTTTATAGGAAGAAAATTTTAGAAAAATAAAAAATATAGTATGAAAATTTTTTGAGGTAATATACATATATGTGTATATTTAACTAATGCAAATTTAAAATTTTTTCTAAAAAATAAAAATCAAATATATAATAAATACATTTGTATATTTGTAAAGTTGTATATATATTTTTATATTCTTAACATTTAATTAAAAACATCTAAACACTTACTTATCGTTTAAACAGTTTTTATTAATAGTTTATTATAAAAAGATAAAATATATTTTTTTTGTTTTTTTTTGTTTTTTGTTAATATTATTAAAAAATATTTAAGTCATGTTTTTCTCTGTGAAACAGCAATTTGTGCGCTTAATAACAATTAAATGGTTTCTGAAAATATATTACTCGTGCAAACAGTTGTAATAAAATCATCATTTATATACTATTAGTTATAAATAGTAACTATTGTTAAATAAAAAAATTTCGTTAAAATAATTAATTTTCTTCAATAAATTTATAGAAAAATTATATATAAATAATTTATTTGAAAGTACAGTTTTTATTTATATTTTTAAAAATATTAATTTAATTCATTCATTTATAGATGATGCGCACAGTTAGCTTAAAATGTCTGTTTATATTTTTATTTAACGTTACAACAATGATGACATTTACATTTTTTTCATTAAACTCTTTTGTCAATATAAAACATTTAGTAATAATAATAAGGTGGAATATAAGGATTTCAATATTTTAATTTTTCTTCTTTTCTTTAATTAACAATATGTAAACTAATATTTTAAGACTCATGTTTTTAAAACTAAATAATTCTTAAATCATCACTAAACAATAAAATTAATTTAACTTAAATAATAAATTACATTTTTAAAATAAAAAAAAAATTAAAATAAAATTTTTTGAATTAAATGCGTCTACATAAAGTCGAAATTTAAAATATGTAAACTTATTAATATATAATATAGAAAAATTTCAGCTTAAATTTTTTTATTCCTGGAATAGAGATATAATTATTGTATATTTTTTTAAATAAAAAAACTTTTTATTGAAAACCTTCACCTATTCACACTTTTAAATGTGGAAATATCTTATATCTAATAAACTTTTTTTCAAAGTTACTTAAAAAAAGCGTAGCTTTTTATAACTTTAGTTTTTTTTTGCATTTTAATACAACAATAAGAAAACACCAATTGACATTAATCTATAACAACAACACAACATATATGCAGAAAACAAACATATCAGTGTTGTATATGTTTTTTAATATAAATAACAAAATTTAATTTAAATTTATAAATTCGAAATCTATTACTATCGTAAATTCACTCGTTATAATTATTCCATTTTAAGTTTATTTTTTAAATGTAAATTTTGTCTGTTTTTTATTTAATAGTTATTAGACAATGATTTAAAAATATCACTGCCAAAAATGGATTGTAAATTTTTTTAATTATTTGTTTAATATTTAAGAAACCTTTAATGCTTTAAAATTTAAACATTATCGATTTAAAAAAAAATAAATTATTCTGTGTTAGTTTTTTTTCTCTTCGTTTTAGAAACAATTTATCGTTACTATCAATATACTAAAAACAAATTTGCTGCATGTTTGTATAGTTATGATTTAAAAAATTATCAATTAAATAATAATATATATGTTATTTAACTATAACTGAATATTTGTATTGTATATAAGTGTTTAAATTTTGAAAAAATACCAATTACTTTTAATTGATGTTCGGTAAGATTTCATGTCCATGTAGCTTTATACATCAAAAGCTTGCAACCATTTTATATTCCATTGATTATATTCCATTCATTTCTTAGATTACTTAATTGCTAAAATAGCATAAAAATACGACTCAATATCATGTTCTGGTGATTTACACAACTGGGTACGAAATTCTCCAATAGTTGCAATTGTCGTTCCTCAATTCTTAATTCTCTTATAGACGCAGCAAGTTGTTGTCGCATTAATTGATTACGGCGAAAAACTACTTCATAGGGTGATAAAATATTTTGCTGTTCATTAAATGTTGATGTCGAACTTGCTATTCGACGCTGTCGTTTACGAGGTTGTGGCCCATATGTGGTATTATTATTGTAATATTCATAATTACTATATGAGTAATTGTTTGAAGAATTGTCATGGCTTATAAAATCAAACGAATGTTGCCGTGATGTATATTCGGATGCGTATTCTACAGGTGTCGACATTGGTTGATTGGTAGTATTTAACAACATAGAAGTTGTTGGTGGAATATATGTTTCATATGAAGAATTTACTGTTGAATCCGCATATGTAGAATTTGATGATGGAGTAGAAGTTCCAAATGTAGAAGTTGTTCTTACAATGTCATTACCATAGCTAGACATTTCCATTGGATTTTCATATGTAGAAGTTGCTGATGGAATCTCATTACCATATGCAGTTGTTGTTGTTGGATTACAATTTCCATATGTAGAAGTTACTGGTAAAGTACAACTTTCATATGCAGAAGTTGCAAATTCGGTATAATTTCCATAAGTAGAAGTTGAAGTTGGAATATAATTTGGATATGTAGAAGTTACAGTTGGAGTATGACTTGCATACGAACCGTAATTTGGTTGCAATGTAGTGGGTACCTTTAATTTTACTTATTAATATTTGTTTTGTTTTGTGTATTCATTAAAATACCTCATAGCATCCACTTGCTGTGTCAGCTGAGTTCCATGTTAACGGATTTGTTTGCATTTGCTGTTGGTTTGCTTCTTGTAAATGATTGAATCGTGGATCTGGTTCTGCATTATGGTGTACAATTTGCTCATTATATTGAATGCGATAACTTTTATCACCTTGCATGCAAAAGCTTTCGTAATTGAAATTGTAGTTCTGGCTTTTAGACTCTTCGTTATGGACACTACTATTTGAGCCTATATTTGTCTGGCCTTGACTCAAGAAGTTATTCCAATAGGAATCCTGGTTATTGTTGCCGGTAAACATAGTCAATACTGTTTATATATTTATGGATATGACTAAAAAATATAAATTTATTTATAATTGAATATTATTACAGTTTGTTTTAAGTTAAAATTCAAACCTAAGGATATTAAATATTATAAAGAACTAGAAAATTTTTTAAACAAGCTTTATATTTATTATATTATTTTAATATATAAATTTACTTTGAAATAACGAATAGTCGATTGTTTTGAGGATACTTTTTTATTAAGTTTATTTACATATAACCAAAATATAATCAATAACGTTATACTTTATTAAAAAACATTATTTGTTTCTTATTTATATCTTAATTCTTACTATACTAATACTTTTTGCATTAATCGCTATAATTTCCATCGTTCGTATAGTCCTCATCAGAATCGCTTTCGCTCATTGCGCTTTTACGTTTTTTACTCTTCAAATTTTCTTTATTTTTTTCATGCGAATCTTCTATTATTTTTGAACATGCTTCGCCTTGTGAACGATGATGAAATACAAAGGAAACGCATTTACTAATCAACCAAGCTTGCGATAATGTACTATCAGGTAAGCCTTTATTATTTGAACAATGAAACCATTGCGATAAATGTGATGTACAATCCGAGTCATCTGGTGGTGGAGTTATTTGTATATTATTCAAACAGCGCTTACATTTAAGTCTAAATTAAAAAAAAAAGATATGAAATTGTTATACTTAAATATATATAGCATATTTTCGTATTACTTATTATGTGTATCAGATAAAACATCCGATTCGTAACGGAATAGATCCTTAAGATCATCGCGTGTAAAATGTTTTTCGTCACTTTCATTATTATCAATAATTGTACTAGACAATGATTTTTTATGTGTTTGTCTTTGCAATATTTTCTCTTCAATAGAACCCGTCTACAATTTAGATACGTTTTATGTTACATTATATACAATTAAAACATAGTACAGAATTGTCTTACAGCAACCAAACGATATATGAAACAAGGTTTCTTTTGTCCATCTCGCCAAACACGTGCCATGGCTTGCTCGTCATTGGCAGGATTCCAATCGGGATCAAACATAAATAAACGATTTGCTCCAATTAAATTTAAGCCACAGCCACCTGCTTTTGAACTTAACATAAAAAGGAAGCAATCTGAGGTAGGGTCATTGAATTTATCCACGACTTTACTACGCTTTTTAATGGTCATGGAACCATCAAGTCGTACATATGTATATTTTCTAAAATTTAGTCTTGTGAACAAGTCATATTGAAGAACTAAAGATATTTACCTTTTACGCGCCAATTGCTCAAAAAGATCTAAGGTTTGGGTATAATTCGATATAAGCACTACCTTGTCGTCGGAATTAGCCCGAATGGTTGCTAACATGAAATCGAGCAGCATAAATTTTCCACTGAGTTCAGGATTTATTTCTCTATTTTAAATTTTAATTATTTTGTAAAACGTAAATTATAAGATACATGAAATCGTAGCTTTGAAGTCCATTTGGTGTTAGTATTACTAATTTATTTTTTCAGTGAGTGTTATGTTAAATAGATGTCATTTAAACTTACTTACTTAGTACTATAATTTGGTGGCAAAACATGTGCAGAACTTTCAAAACCATTTTCTCTTGCCGCTATTTTATCGTATATCAAATCTGGATGATTGCATAATTTCTTTAAAGTTGTTATATCGGCCAATGCAGTCAATGAAGCCTTTTCACTACAGTCTAATATTTATTGCATTACTTAACAATATCCAAAATTTTATTTCAAAATTTTCACAAAGAGAAAACGTACCTTGTAAACTTTTTCGAATTTTATCAGATTTTAAAAAGTTAGTATACAATTCCATTTGCACAGGTGTGAGCTTAGCACATATAACCATTTCAAATTTGACAGGCAAATATTTGGTTAAAATTTGATTCGTTCTGCGTATGATACATTGATTCACGATACTTATTAATTGCTGAGTTTTTTCTACAGCTCGCTCGCGTTCCTTATCGCTTGAGTCAGCATTTTGGCCACGTAAAATTGCATTTTCGTAGTTTCTTTTAAATTCAGTTGCTGTACCTAACATTTCAGGATTAACAAAATTAACTAAACTAAAATACTCAGTAAGATCATTTTGAATAGGTGTGCCTGAAAGTAGCACTCGTTTTTTAGTTTTTAGTCCCATTAATGCTTGGTAAGTTAAATTGTCACTATTTTTTAAACGATGTCCCTGTAAACAAAGAGAATATAATTCTAATTGAATTGAATGTATTTTTGTACTAACTTCGTCACAGATAACCATGCCTACTTCAGTCCTACATAATATGTTTGCATATATGCGAAATGTTTCATAACTTATTAACAACACAGGTGTACCGCAACGTTGATTGCTATTCAGAGCAAATTGCTCAAGAGCTCTTATTGTATCCTCTTTTGCTCCACCCTCTATAGCCAAACAGTGAATACGACCTTGCAACCACTTAGCAAACTCTTTTTCCCAATTTTTAACTAAAGACGACGGTGACACAATTATAGCTTTAGTTATAGTTGAACGACAATCTGGACTTTGACGTAATAACGTCCACACTAGTGTTACGCACTGTAAGGTTTTTCCAAGACCCATTTCATCAGCCATAATACAGCCATTAAATTCTCCACGGCGGCCAACAACACATTCATACATAAAACGTACGCCTTCTCTTTGGTGCGGACGTAATATGTTACTAAGCAATGGATCTACAACAACGTGCACCAGTATTTTTACAGGATCTAGTGTCAAGCGTTCATGTTCTGTATACTCAGGCGGCGTATATAAAACAAGAGAATTACATGCTTGTGGATCATGTAATGCTTTGCGTATCGACAGTCGTCGCATACCCAAGCAGCGTCCACCATTGTTGAAATCAGGTATATAATTGGCAATTGGAATTTTAAAAGGCCGTGATAAGACTTTTGCAATTGTTTTTTCATATTCACTAAGTGGCAGCAAAGATATCAAATTTGTATTGTTCTGCTGTTTCTGCAGCTTTTCTTGACACGCACGTTTACGTTTGTTTTGAAGAGGTGGCGTAAAAGCTGATTTTGTGCTTCCTGTCGCATTTTGACTTGGTGCTAAACTGCGCAGCTAGATACATTTAATATATTTTCAATGATTTTTTTCTAAAACCATAAAATGTTAAATCATACACCTACCATTATTCAGCAACTAGGCATTAATTTAATCTCAACGTTCTCTTTAAACTACGCGCTTGATATTTACATGTTTTTTTGACAGAAAACATGTAAACAAAGAAATAACTTAAAATGATCAGTTGACAGGGTTGCTTTTGAAAATATCATGAAGATTACTTAATAAATTTTACTTGACTATAACTGATGGAAGATCAATTTATTACGGCCCTGTGAGAGTTCGAGTAAATTGAGGTAAAATGAATTAAAATTTTCTAGGAATTTTTTGCACCACACTTATTTATTGCACTTATTTATTATTTTTGGTTAAAAGTTTTCAAATTTATTTATTAAGGACGTGTGCGAGTTAGGCTAATTAACAGGCTTATTAACACTTATCGACACATCACTACATTATCGGCACAACTTAGAATTTCCCTTATTTAGAACGCAACTTAGCCTAACTCGCACACGTCCTAAACATCTTAAAAATTTTTTACAATGATAACACTTAATTTACCCTACTCGAATTTCTTATAAATACTAACGTTCACTGCCATACCGACCGACATTATTTACTATTTCCCTCAATTTACCATCAATTTACTTGAACTTGCACACGGTCTAAGTATGATATAGACGATGCTACATGTATGCAAACCAAGTATGCCTTGCTACCAAATCAAACTGTGTATATTCAAGTATGCACACCAAATTTCGGACTGCCGAGTTATACTCTATCGAGTATAAACTTATCGAGTATAAACTACTCAGCTATTAGCTTACCGAATACAAATTTAATATAGGTGTATTCGGCAACTCCGAAGTGCGACAAAAAAAAAAATAATAATTCTATTGCTAAAGTCTCTAATTTGTACGCAAAAGAGCCACAAGTATTTACTTTAAATTAAATTATATTTTAAATTAAAGCGAACTTATTTTATTTTTTCTTAAAATGGTTTTTAATAAAAATACGCTTTACAAAATCTGTCGGTAGTTAAAGTAGGCGGTACAATCTAGTAGTAGTTTTAATGTTATTTTACGTAGCGTTCTATGCCGTGGCGGCCTAACACTATGGTGTCCAAAAACACGCGTATTAATACAAGGCGTCAATCAACACCCCATTGAAATTTTAAGAATGAAATTTTCAGGGATTTCAAGGATTTTTTATTTCAGAGTTATAAAAAAACAACATTAAGTCTGGTTGAAACAAATTGGCATTACTTTTAAAATATGTTAAATGCTTATTTTTGACATATTTTTTTGTTGTATTGTGTACAATATGAAATATAAAATTTGAAAGATTAAATATTAATAAAAGAGAAGAGAATAAAAAAGAGAATAATAGAAGAGCAAAGGTAAGCATTTTTATCTTATATATTTAAATTAATTTATTTATTTATGTATTTGAATTTATATATTGTATATTAGTAAATGTATTGCTCATATGATTTTAATGGATGACTGGAATCTTGCAACATATTTCCAGTGAACATTTACAATAGACTGATTTTTGAATTTGGATGCCTTAAAACTTAAGGCGTAAAAATTTTTGCGAGTAAAACCTAACTGAATTTTTAAGAGCATTGTTATTGCTTTAATGTTGTCTTTTGTACGATTCGAGTATTTTTTGCTACTTTGAAAGAAAAAATTACGGCTATATATGTATGTATATATATAGCAAAAAAAGTATTACTTTTTACACCTACGACATATTTAAAAATAATTACAGATACTTGAAATACAATATTTTTTGTATATATAATATAGTATTAAATTGAAAATATATATTTTTATTAAAATTAAAAGGGCTAATTATACCATCAGGGGGATGAAGTGTCAAAAAAAACTACAAAACATCAAATTAAAAAACAGTTTTTATTTCATAATAAAAATATTATAAATAATTTATAATTATTTTTAATTAATAAAGAAATAAAAAAAAGCAAACTTTTTTATTTTTATTTTATATGAGTATAGGCAAAAATTCGTACCTATTAATATCTTCCAACTATCAATTTTATATATAATAATAACACTTACGAATTTATTAAAAAACTATTTGAATGTCATGCAAACTTTTTAATAGGTATTTATTTATAATTAAGAAACCGTAAAATTCATCTCAAAAGAGCTTTATTATAAATAAAAACAGGTGTTATTGTATTATTCGGTTGTATATTGTAATTATTATAAGTTATTAATACTTTTTTTTTATAGCACTATAACTTTTGTTATTTTCACTATCAGTTTTTTGCTACACATATAGTTCTTGTAGTTAGTCATATATTAAAAGACATTTTTCAGCCATCACCTGCACTTACACAAATACATACAGTTATGTATGCAAAATATAGTTTTGAGCTAAAATGCATACATAAAATCCAGGCACCAGCACGTCATTTGTGGGCGGAATAATTTCACCCGATGTGCAGTTTAAATTTTACCTACCTATTTTACCTACCATTAAATTAACACTTCATTTAGCTTTAAAGAAATTCAAATTTAATAAAAACTAATAAATAATTTGAAATTAAATTGAATTTTTAATATGTTTAATGACTTAGCGGTGTGCAAAGACACCTGAGATGGGCATCCTTGCATTTAGTTATAGAACCTTCGTAAGTTTTGTGCAATATGTGTGTTAAATTAATATAAAAATAATTATAAAAGTTAAATACTTACAGTTAAAAGTAATTTTTTTGGCGCTATACCAATTCAAATATTTATTATTTTATTTTATTGTATTTTATTTTATTTTCCAATTTAATAAAATTCTAAAATATGTTCATATATAGAACCGAAGAAAGTATTAAATAAATTGTATAATTCAGTTATTATATTAATTTTTAATTAATTTGAAGCTGTATGAAACTCAAATGAATTTATTTTTAAATAATTGCAATCACTGGACTAACAATAATTAAATTTACTGATTTGTACTAATTTCTGCAGATGCAAAAAATTAACTGTGAAATCTCAAACACATATATTTTAATCGAACTCTAAATGCATACTGAATTTTTATTCAACATCAGCTTTCAGCTTTCGTGAGTTGTGATATGCACTCTGCAATCAAATTCAATTAACTGCAATAGATACATAAATATCCCCTAAAATGAATTGTCTTAAAAACTTTAAACTTCAATATTTTAAAATTTGAATAAAACGTCTGTAATCGTGGATTGCTGGATAATTTTACTACCCCTTGTGATTTGCTCATGTATTGCAAATCTAAATTACAATTATTGAAATGCTTTTCGTTTTGGCGCTGTTTTTTTTATTGATAACTCTTTTTTCATTTTGAGAATATTAATTTTTATTGCAATTTTTGTAAGTGAAATAATCGCTGTATTCTGCGTGCATTGCTACGTCTCCCAGAAAACAAATGATTTCATTTGAAACTTCATAGCGGGACAAATAGCAAATTTCATAATACAAAAACCTGCTATGGACAGGATGAATAACTTCATAGATTATTTGATGATAAAAACGCAAAAAAATTAAAAAAAATAAAATTAGATTATAAATATATCCGATTTATTCAAGTGCTTGTGGACACACAATATTTTTTGTGTTCCGTTCTTAAATCAAAACAAACAGATTTTTCAATTGTTCAATTTGTCAACATTGAACATATAACCCAACATGGATTTTGTAAGTTTATTTCACACATCTGAAGAGATTGACCTTGCGCTTTGTTCATGGTCATTGAAAATGTAGGACGAACGTAAAATTGTCGTCGCATGTCCTTGGAGGAATACAGCTACTCCTTTTAATTCTCCATTCCAAATTGTTGCATTAATTATATTTGGCATCAGTTTTTCGACGTTAGTCTAGTTTCCTTGCACGGTTTATGTGGATTAATGTTGCGTACAAAATCATTGGCACTCCAACGTCAAGTGCCAATCTGTAGTGTGGGATCCCTGAAATATCTATCAAATTTCAAAATTCAATTGAATAGTTTGCAATTTCTTTGGCACACGTAAAGGATAGTGTCAATGGACTAACATGACTTGGACTCAACTGTAATTAGTTTTTAAATTACGTAGTTGATTGCTTTGACTTCGGTGTTTATACACCGTGTTAAATTTGCACATTCGTAGAACCATTGATAGCTTTTGTAATTGGAGTTAATTTATAGGAAAATATTTTACATGAGTCTTCAATGAATGCAACAATGACACACGACTCTAGTGGAAGTGAAAATCGGTGTTTTTCCATTACCACACAATGCTTTATAATTGTTTTAGAAAAACAAAGTTCCTGATAAACCGTGCTGATGATATACACACATTATAGTTTTTAGGCCGTGTGCGAGTTCGAGTAATTTGATGGTAAATTAAATTACCACAATTTCGAATAGAGTAAATTAGATAAGAATTAGGTAAATTAGGTGTTATCATTGTGAAAATTTTATAAGATGTCTAATAAATAAATAAATAAATTTGAAAACTTTTACCAGAAAAATAATAAATAAGTACAATAAATAAATAAATAGGTATGGTGCAAATGTCTAGGAAATTTTAATTTACTTTACCTCAATTTACTCGAACTCGCACATCTCATAAAGGAATATACTCTTAAAGTCTCTGATTTCAAATGGTTAGATAGATAATAGTTCTTTATTTTAAAATAAGTAAGTATTATGCCTTAAACTCGGCATAACAAACTCGTTTGGAGTTACTTAAAAATATAATGAAAAAATTAAGGAATACGACACTGACTTGATAGTGTAAACGATAAATTTAAATGTCTGTAATAAGATTTATTTGCATAATGTTAAAATGATATCCATCCTGCCCTTGTCAAAAAATTTTAGAATAACGCAATCCATTATATGATCGATTTGTGTCTGCAAATCTGCGTTAATATAGTCTTCGTTCATTAACTTGCTCATCATCGTCGCTAATGAAGTAAATTTATAAAAAAAAAATGTATTTAGCGTTGAGAACTAGCAGATGTGATCCTAGACAGTCATAAATTGGTCTGCATTTTGGTCTGCAAGTACTTTATCGGCCCCGAAAAATATTATTTAAAATACAGAATTATATTTGCAAATGTTATTCAGAAAATTATTAGAAATGGTGGAGTTTGCAGAAAGCAATGACACCAATAGCTCAGGTGGACATGTAAAGACGTTAACTTAACTTTGGTGTTTCATTTCTGAATTTTTCTGCACTGCAATGAATAAACATATCTACTTTGCCGATATCTACGCTTGGATGCTGACTGCAGCAAGAATCAAATCCTCAAGCAGTTAAACTTCACTTCTTTTGCTATATGTAATTGAGAAACTCGTAAACAATCTCTTTTATTGCTTGCTATTTAATATTTTAGCATTTAAGCACTGTTTAGCATGCTAAAAAATCGTGAAGCTTTGAATTAATAATATCTCTTGTATTAATGATATTAATGGTATTTAATGGCATTAATGTAGTAACGGTGTATTTTACCTTATTTTGTAATGTATTGGTTTAAAAATTAAAGTAGAAAAGAACTGGTACTCCATAGTTTTTCCAAAACGAATTTAAATTTATTCAAATGTTTTCAACTCGTCTTTCAGGCAGAAGTAGTTTCGATTCACTACACAGTGATTTGTGTCATGGGCAACAGGATTCGCCATGTAAAAATAATAATCTTCTCGGATAACCAAGCTGTTATGAAATTTCTGGTAAACGCTACAGCTATATCCAATATAAATCGAAAATTCTAGACTTCTCTGAAAGAGCTAACGTGTCAGTGTTTAGATTCAAAATTTTAGGGCTCTATTTTCTTACTGACCTGACAGAGCTACCATCCTGGAAAATCAGGGACTTGACCCAGTTTATAAACTTGTCAGATTAATTCTCTTTCACTTAAATGGGGAGGACGTGCTTTTCAGCGTTGCGCTTAAGCTGGGCTCTGCGGTCCTTTTGAGAATCCTTTTGGTCTGTGTATATAAAACGGTAATTCGTGATCTCATAACTGGCATTATATGAACTCAAGTGGCCTTTAGATACCAGACCGCCACTCTAACCTTATCTAACCTATAAATTAGTGATTTAGAAACAGGTAGTATGTGCTGTTAAATTAATTAAGTCTGTCCAATTCTAAAACGAACAACGGTACTGCTCTCAAAGCTTGACAAACCATTTGGATATCATCTGCTTTTTGTGGTTGCTGTTTATATTACTTCATAAGTAATTAAATAACTTGAGCCTTCTAATTTTTTTAGGTAAGTCGCACTATTTGGAAAAAAACTGAACAGAAAGATAATTAGCTAATTTAAATTAAAGAATCTTACTGTAGTGTTAGCATTTTCACTCCTTTTTTCTTTGATAGTTGGCTAACAAAAAAATAATTAGATTTGATTGATTTTGCAGGTATTTATCCGTATGTCTGAACTTGAAAATAATATCATTGCTGTTGGCAAAAAATTTAGTAATTTTACAGATGATAAATTAGTAAAGAAAGTAGATATAATAGAAGATATATATATATACTTATATTGAATATATATATTGAAAAGTTTACATTTAATTTTTATTTATAAACTTAAATAAATCAAGAAAATAATTTTCTAAATTTTTCTATATATTATTCATAGATATTTATTAAAGGACGGATAGACGGACAAATTACTCAAGCCACATGATTATTCTGTACAAGTTCAAATATAAATATTTAAACAAAGTAGCAGTGCATAATAATATAAAATTCTTAAGCTATTAAATTTTGTATAATATATATATTGTAAATTAATTTTAAAAACTTCAACAATTTTAAGACTGCTAAAAGTTATTGTCGACCCCAATTGTACAATTTTTATAACTTGTGCTAAAATTATAAATAATTTTTATTGCTTGTTCCATAAATAAATTTAAGAAATTTGATATTTTATTAGTAAAGTAAATTCATTAATTCAAATATCTGTAGAGAGTTAATTTCTATTTTGCCGATACTTCTTCTATATATATATGTTGTGTTAGCAAATGACATCAAGAGACAAGTTTTAATACCTGATTTTAGCATATTACTTCGACCATGCGTAAGGAGAAAAATCCAAACAAGGTAAATGCAAAAACGTAATTATTTACAATAAAATTGTTTGAAAGAACAATATTATCCAGTAGTTTATAAAATATGCAATATTTATAGTACTACATTACATATTTATAAAATGAAACATTTTTTGTTACATGAGCCCATTTTTGCATACATTACATTTTTAGCTGCCTGGTCTGCTCAAATATTATTAATAAAATACACAACAGCTGCTGTCAAAATAATTACCTAATGTCAAAAACGAATAATCTATTACAATTATGCATGTCATGGTATTTTTAATATATAAAAATAATAATGTATAAATATATTAATTTAATACTTATGCATACTTTTTAAAAGTATTTAGTATAAACTTAAATATTTATATATAATTTATTTTATATATATTTTAATATTTATATATTTTCATTAAATTTAATATAATTAATGAATTGGTAAATGGTTATTGCTTTATATGATGTATCAATTAAAACACTTTGTCACATGATAGTCTGGTCTTTGAGCACTATAAAATGCCATTATTATAAATATATGTATATTATTTATTACTTGAGTAAAAGTTTTAGCCAGCACTGCAAATTTTTATAATATATTTAAATTTCTTTACGTATTTTCCCTTAAATACAAACAAAAATTAACAAAACAACTTGAGAACTCAAAATATGATAAACTTTTCAGCTGTTTTTCAATTCATTTGATTTATTTTTTTATTGATAATTTTTTATTTGACAGTTTTTATCAATAATTTTATTATTGTTAATAATCGATTAAAGTTTTTATTATCCTGCTGGAATTGGCGAAGTTTATTTCGCTTTCCACATATTTAATCATTATCCCATATTATTTTTAGAAAATACTAATACACATTATCATAAACTAATACAATATGATATTACAACCTTCGAAAATATTATTTTTCGAATTCACATATGCTATTCTCAAGTATAGATAATCTAAGCATTATAATCGCAGAATATAATGGCGTATATACAAGGGAATGTCTCCGTATACACTCCTAGTGTGATTTACCGTACATGTTTATACCATTTTAGTTGATTAATTTTCTCAAAATTCGAAAATATGCGAAATCATTTCTCTAAAATGGAATGGCTTTTTTATAATTATCTTCTATTAAGATAATACTGGTTGTAAAAGAGAATTTAATTTTAAACCCAAGCAACAATTTTTTAAAAAATTATTAATAACAAAAAGCACTTTTTTAAGTAGGATACAATTTTTAATAATTTAATTTTATTTAATTTGCTCTTTTATTTGCCATTGTGTAAACAGTTAATTTTAATTGTACTAAAATCGTTAAATGATGGTCAATTTTTGTGAAATATAAATATATATCATTAAATAAAAAGAGTTAGTACTTGACGTTTGCTGTATATTATATGTGTTCAGTTTTACTTTAAAATGCTTCTTTAATACTAATTATCGTAATATTATTTGGTTAATACCATCATACTAATTTAATTAATAATTTAAACTTTCTTATATCGCCAATACCATATTTCCATTACGTCAAACGTTGTTTAATATTAGAAATCAGGTTGTAAATCCTTTGTATATTCAACTGTTTTTTATCAGGAACTCTTTTATGTATAAACCCCAAAATTTGGTTTTTGATAACATCTCTAAAATCATATTAAAACGTTGAAATAAGTTTAAAAGATTATAAATATAATATAGATAGAGCTGGCTGATCTAGACCACACATCGACCTAATAGATTTGCAGCAATACCAAATTTGAATTCTGAAGGGCAAAAATGACGCTATACATTACTTAAGACGTGTAGGTCATTAACGAATTTTAAGAGATATCATACCAATATCAGGGATAAAGATTACACCATCTACACTGCAAACTCCAATGAAGTTTAGTTTAAACGGTCAGAAACAGAGTTTTTTTGAGGCCCATATCCTTTGTTAAAAGGTTTAACTACTTGATGTTTTTGGTTCTTCTTTATATGCAAGCCCCATGTGTATAGGAAAATCTGTCTGTTACTTCCTTGTACTGGTATATAATTCTTGCAGATTATCATTGAGAAGATATTGAAATTATAACAGTCAATTTATAAGTCAACTTGTAAATATGAACAATTTTTTACCTTTTTTATATAAAATTTAAACAAATATTTGTTAATTAGATTTAGAAGTTATAAATGTTAATATTGTAAGAGATAAACTTTATTCAATAGAAATTTCTAAATAACTCAAACTTAATTTTGGAAAGTTATTGAGCTCTAGCACTGCAGTTATCAATGCAGTATATATGTATAACGTACAATGCTTTGACTCATAGCTTTTTTTGTACAATAAACTTACGCAACCAGCATGACAAATCTATTAAATATTATAATAAATAAAAATTTTAATGTTACTATATTTGTATTACATTTCGTTTGCAAATTTATACTATTTAAGAATTAGTTTGATAACCTTATCTTTGCGAATAATAATTTTAATAAATCAATCCACATACATATATTATTAAATATTAGTTTTTGCAAATATATTATGTAGCATCTAGTACAATACCATTGAACAACAATTTTAAATTCGATATCAAGTTCGAAATAATTGCGAATTCCAAAATGGCGCTGGCGAGCGTATCGCAATCAGTACACTACCAAAGCAAACAAGTATCAGTGGCTTTATTAATAAAAAATGCTACTACAAACAATAAACAAATATTTTTTGCTGTTTTTTTAGTGCTATGTGGGGTAACTTAGTGTTTCCCACTAAAGTTTTATATTTATACATAAAATGTTAGTTAATAAATTAATTAACGGATCGAACTCACATATTTCTGCTTGCAACGGAGACGAAGTGAAATTTTATACGCGAAACACAAAGCCATACGAATTCGAATTAAATATTTCGTGATTGGCAACACTTATTCGAAGACACAAGATGGCGACCATTCGTACTTCGACAAATGATTTCTGAATGGGCAATTGAAGTCAACGGGAAAAAAATTTGTGCTGCGTTGGAAATTTTTTTTTTACATATTTAATTCTAATATTTTTAAATGTAGTGCAAAATATAATAATATTTATAAAAATTTTAACTTATTTAAATAATTTCATAAACGTATTAAGCAAAATACGCTTTAATGTTTTAAGTAATTATGAATCAGGTGAGTGCGAAAAAATATAATAGACTTTTAGTAAAAATTGAAATTTGACCGCCTTCAAATGTAAATATTTTGCTAAATTTTATAAATTATACTTTTAAATATTTGCTTTTATTCGTGAAATAAAAATTTTTGGAAATCGCGCTATGGGTGTGGCAATAAAAATGGGATATTCTTGGAGATGCATTTAGAGACTGCCCAATAATAAACAATTGCATGTAAAATAATATAGGTGCTGTTAAAAAATTTAATTTTCCAAATAAATTATCACTTGTTTCAATATTTTTCAAACGCGAAACGATTCTTAAAGAATCTAGCTAGCTAGAGAACCAAGAATTTTGAATTTTTATTGGGGACCCATTTTAGCAATTTCTATTTGAAATTCAAAATCTAAACGTTTTTCAGAGTATTTCTTATCAAAAATGCTTTAAAATGATGTCCTTTTTGTTTATTTTTACAGTTTTTACAAAAATTTTAATGGTTACGTAATCCAAGTTTATACACCAAAAATTTCACTATAAGCTTTGAAACAGTCCAAGCTGGGATAATTGGAGTTTTGAAGTAGTTTAATGATGGCCCTTGAGGTAATTAGTACACATTATTTTAAAAATAACAAAATTTTAAAGTTAAATAAGTGATTCGTGTGATTTATGTATGAATTTTTGGGTTTTTTATAATTTTTACCGGAAAATCTCAGAATTTAGACCTTTTTCTATGATTTTCAATGGTTATTATGACCAGGATGAGCTTTCCTTTAAGGGAATGTGGTCTTCAAGATGTGTATGCAAGATTTTCCGTACAGTATTTAAAAGGATTGATAGTAACGAGAAATAATAGCTTTAAGTAAGAAAAATTCTGTATTTAGCTCCATTTCAGACGTTTCAGCATGTGCTGAAAGTTTCTGGAGAGGATTCATCTTATCAACATGCTAACGGTTTGTTGTAAGGAAAACATTATTTTATATAATTTGGAACCCAGTGCTCCAGAAGGACTAACTGTAAGCGTTTTTCAGCAAATGGTACATTTTAATGAGTTTTAAACGATTTTTATAACTTAGCATTAAGTCTTAGAACGATATATATATATATATACATATATATATATGTATATGTATATACGTAATGATTATTATTGAATCAGGATTTTACAACCTCTTGTATGTAAAGACTATTAATTGAAAGAAAGAGAATTATGTTCTAAAAACCACCGTGTAATAAACTAGTGGATTATATGGTGTTTAAGAATATATATTAGTAATTAAATGATATCTGTTACCTACACATGCATTTTGTAATCCTGGTTTTTACTTATTAATACTGATCGCTACGATCGTTAGCTAAGCTTAAAGCTATAAAAGTGCAGGGATTGAAAGGTTTTTAAAATGATGTACAAAGATTTACTTTTCGAGTATAGATATACATACCACTGTTGTAGCAGTTAGAGCAAGAGTTTTGACTTCCAATGACATTAAAACATATATTGTAATTTCTCAATAAACTGGTAATAAAAAGGACTGTAACATTTTACGTTAGCATCAGTGATATTCTTAACCATCTGGTCCGTGCTTATGTCAAAGATCATATGAAATGATCTTTTATTTCATGATGAAAACGAGGTTTAAGGGTTATCTTTATGTTAAGGTTTTTTTTTAAAAAAGATCTATATAAGCTATTTTTAACTGTTCAATATATAGAACGAATGAAAATCGCTGACCAGACTTGTTGTTGATCACAAATATCAGAAAGTGATTTAAAACTTTAAGACTGGAACACCTTTACCGATTTTTTTTTTTACAACAAAGGAAACGAAAGTACTGTGATCTTAAGCAGTCTTTTATATCAACAAATAACTCTTCAACAGAAAAGCTGTATGCGAATAGTACTAATATTAATTAAGAATATTATTTATTATTTCCGTATTGTACGGAGACGACTGCATTAAGTGTAATTTAACCTAACATAAGAGTGCAAATTAAGGTCCCTGATCTTTATAGATATAAGATCAGGACCCTTATATTACATGCAGCATTATGAGAAGTTAGATGAACATTAAAATATGAAAGATGGATAATCTTATTTTTTATACTGTGTAAATAATACAAACAATGATTACTGGACTATTCTTTTTGTTTGGTATATTTTTAACGGAGCAAAAGTATAGTACCAATCTCGATTAGAGAATATTATTTCTGTACTACACATACGTATCTCACTACTCTGGGTCGAATTATTAGGTATTAATCTGACCTTAGAGTAAAACAAGAAATTCTTGGTAATTATAATTAAAATATACACTCATCTGAAACTTAAACCTTAAGTTTAGGTTTATATAGAAATAAAATAAATTTATAACTGAGGTTAATAAAATTTATTTTGTAATAATTAAGAACTAAGTACACCGAAGTCCAAACCAGATTTTTATAAAAAAGGAAAATTTTATTAACTTTCTATAATATAGTCTAAAGAAGTGTTATCTTTCCGATTTCAGATATGGTTTATTCATTTTAAAAAAAATTTAATCGGTTACTTAAAATTATAAATGAATTCTCAACTATATTAGATTCACTTTTATATATGAACGTAAAGTACGAGAACAAATTTTTAGTTAATCTGATTACACTCCGCTTCAGAAAACAGTTGGACGGTTCGAAACATCTATGCAATATTTTTTTTTCTATTGTGATCGAATAAAAAACCATACATTAAATACAAATACAAGAAAAACAATATTAAATCGCTAAGTTTCTTTTTTTTCGACGGTGATATCTTATTACCTGTGGTTCTGGTTTTAAAATTGCTGTCTTGTGTTATAGTTTTTCTGTTTTTATTATTTTTTAATTGCACATTGCTAAGTGAAAGTTTCTACTCTTTTCAATATGAAGTTCCATGAGGGTTTTGAGATTGATTCCTCCTCACTTTTTTTTTTTTTGAATAATATTTTTTTTGTTTTTCATAACTTAGATTTTATAGAAGTCTCCATTATGATAGTTTTCGTTCGAAAGTAGGTGAAGTGCTTTTGATTGTTATCTACTAGTAGATAATAGATAACTATTATGAAATAGTATTTGTATTTCATAATCTCAAACAACAATATATAATATAGAAAAGCTATTGTCTCAATCTACTAAAAGAGTGCAATGGAACAACAACAGCAAAACCCAGCCAGTTCAATAATGGTTTAAAGAGAATGTACATATGGTTTTAAAACCCCGAACAGCAATATATAATATAAAAAACCTATTGTCCCAATCTACTAAAAGAGTGCAATGGAACAACAACAACAAAAGCCAGTTTCTTCTACAACTGTTTAAAGAGAATATACATATGCTTTTAAAATAATTTATTGGGAACTTTACGTTATATGTTTTAAATGATTATATCTAATTACGGAACAATTTCAAAATTTGCAATAATGATCTGTTCTCTGTTCTATTGAAATTAAAATCACCAAATAGTATTTTATATTATATATTCCTTTGTTTTGTTAAATTATTGTTACTAACGTTTGAGTTAATATGATTGTAACATTGTATTGTACAAATATATATGTTGTGCTTTTTTTAACGTTATTTGTAAATTGAAATATCTTGTTAAATTTAATATTTAAGATTATAAAATATTTTAAAATTTTGCAAAAACAATTCATATTAAATGAAATATTTTTAGTTTTATTTAATTTCGTTTTTAATATTATATAATTTTAGCTACAAGATGAGTCCATGCATAGCATTGGTTCGGAAGAGAATGAAATGCCGGATGCAAACGCTACTGACAGCAGTGGTAGTTCCTCTGGATCTGATAGTGACTCGGATACCTCATCATCTTCCTCTGATTCAAGTGATGAACATAGTTCGCCAGAACCACCTGAAGATAATGATCATTTTAAACAAATATATTCTCACCAGCAACAAAATATAGCAGCAGTTGCAACAACAAATAATGCAATAGACGGACTGCCACCATTAGCTGCTGTTGTGCATGACGACACAAAAACGAATGGTTTTTCAGAGGACAATGACAGTGACAGTGATTCCGACAGTAATACAGATACAAATGACGATGATGAAAGCCAAGAAAGATCAGTAGCTAATGGTGCTGATAGCTCTGTTACAAATGCCTTACATAATACAACGCATAGTTCAATTACATCCGCAACTGATATGAATTCATCAAATACTACAAATGATGATAGTGATAACGATGAGGAGTCAAATGAAGACAGCAATGAAGACAGTGATAATGAAGCACAAAAGGAAAGCAATAAAACAATACCACATGGAGTTGTAACAGCGCCATCAACGTCATCCTTATCAGTAAATGCAACAAAAGATGAGGAGGATGATGAAGATGAATCTGAATCAGCTGAAAGTGCACAATCTGCTTCTTCTGCAGAATCTCAGTCTCCCAGCTCTTCCTCAAGTGTAAGTTATTTTAACTTATTATATATTGTTATTATTTTTAATAAGTTGGGGGATTTCGCATTTGGACCTATCTTCATGGATTTTGAGTATTTCTCTGAATCCAATTTCCTCAATAAATGGAAATTTAAAATCGATCCTAATTTAAACGCATAGTTTTTCTTTATCGAATATAAGATACCCACGTAGGTACTCGTTTTATTTCTGCATCAGTGCTGGGATAGTTTAAAGTATTTTATAAACCACAAAATTTAATATATTTTAAACTTATGTTAACACATATTTAACGAAATATTTAAAAATTTGTTAAGTTACATATACATAATACATATATATATATTCATCTATTATTTTTGCAATATTTGGTTAATATAGGAAGACGATGAAGACGACTATCAACCTAAACGTACCAGAAGACAAATTAAGAAATCATCCCCCGAAAAATCTAAAAAACCGGCAAAGAAAAAGCGAAAAAAACAAAAGTAAAACAAGTTTAGTAAAAATATATTCTTACTTATATTAAATCGGTATAAATTAACAGTTGGGACTCCGAAGAAAGCGATCCAAGTGATGATAGTGATAGTTCTACACCTCAAAGACGAAAACCAACATCCAAGAGTAAACAACAAAAACGAAACAAAAAGAGCTTTTCAAGTGATGAAAGTGAAGAGGATAGTAAAAGGTGCGAGAAGTGTTGTACACAAAAAAATATTTTTGTAATTAAGAGCAAATGGTTAAAACTATAGTTTTAATATAAATATATATATATATGTATATATATATAAATATGAATTATAATTTGCTTTTTCTCTTTCATACAGATTTGGAACACGGCGTAATGCTGCAACTGTTAGCTATAAGGAGGCATCTGAGGATGAAAAAACAGATTCTGAGGATTTACTTGAAGTTGAATATGATGAAAGTCAAGCAGCAGCTGCTGAAGAGGAAGAAAAATGTGAAACCATTGAACGGATATTAGCTAAACGGCAGGGTAAAAAAGGTTGTACGGGAGGCCAAACAACTATTTATGCAATAGAAGAGCACGGTGATCCAAATGAAGGTGTTGATGAAAATGATTTGGAGAATACAGAAGTACAATATTTAATTAAATGGAAAGGATGGTCGTATATTCATAATACGTGGGAGTCTAAAATATCGTTACGCGAACAAAAAGTTAAAGGCATGAAGAAATTAGATAATTTTATTAAAAAAGAACAGGACATCGAATATTGGCGTCGTACTGCTGGACCAGAAGACATTGATTATTTTGAATGTCAAATGGAATTACAAAATGATCTCCTAAAATCATATAACAACGTTGATCGTATAATAGCGAGAAATGACAAGTCGGACGGTACATGTGAATACCTTTGCAAATGGCAATCACTGCCCTATTCAGAGGCTACATGGGAAGATGTGGGCCTTGTCATGCGAAAATGGAAACGATGTGTTGATCAATTCGATGATCGAGAACATTCTAAATGTACACCATCTCGACATTGCAAAGTCTTGCAGCGACGACCAAAATTCTATAAAATCAAAGGACAACCTGATTTTCTTTGTGAAGGCCTGACATTGAGAGACTATCAAATGGATGGTTTAAATTGGTTGTTGCATTCATGGTGTAAAGAGAATTCTGTCATTTTAGCTGATGAAATGGGTTTAGGAAAAACTATTCAAACAATTTGCTTTCTTTATTCACTTTTTAAAGTGCATAATTTATATGGTCCTTTTCTTTGTGTTGTACCGCTAAGTACGATGACAGCATGGCAACGTGAATTTGATTTATGGGCGCCAGACTTGAATGTTGTTACATATTTAGGTGATGTTAAATCTCGGGAAATGATACGCCAATATGAATGGCAATTCAATGGCTCTAAAAGACTGAAATTTAATTGCATTCTCACAACTTACGAAATTGTGCTTAAGGTTAGTTATTAGCTTATACTAAACTATACATTTATTTTATTTTATTTTATTTTATTTTATTTTATTTTATTTATTGTTATTTATTTCAATTAGTTCTAGTTAACAATTTTCCTTAATAACCATTAACCAAATTTAATCTGATAGTGACATGTATACATATATATACATCTTATCATGCTGAGTAGTGCGATATGGATGTTGTACTTTAATTATTATCTAGCTTTTTAAGAAGTAAATTATAAGAGTACAAATTTGGTTTTTCTAGAAATGTCGAATTAAATATAATTTTTTTATTGTTCGACAAGTTCATATCCCTTTATTCAGACCCATTAATGAGTATGTAATGTTTTTTATATCCTATTTTTAAAATTTTGCCTCAAACTACAGAAATATTTAATATTTAATGTTGTAGTTTCTTGCTGCACTCGTCAGTTGTGTACAGTAACACAGTTGATGTTTAATATACAGTTTTTATTTAATGTTAGTAAGTAACTAGCTCCTTTCTGGATAAACTGTTATTCTGAAAAACCTTAAGGTCTTGGTATAAGTAATTAAAATGACAATATAACATATATATATATATATATATATATATTACATATATATTTATGTTGGAACTAATACTTTTCTGCGTAAGTATGTAACATAAATTAGATTATTGAGGGGCACAAATGTTTTAATTGACATCATTGCTCGATTTCTACATATTTTATCTTCAAAATTGTGATATCAGCATACAATTTTACGATACAACATATTTATTACAAATCTAATGTATAAATAATGCGTAGTGTCCCACCTTTTTAGTTATTCACCTTTTAGTTATTTATTTTATATATTATAGATTGTTACGTTGCTTTTAAATACATTTTAGTTAACAGTTTTATCGAATTCAATGTGTTCTATATTTATTTATTTATTTCTTTATATTTTTTTTTTATATCGTATTAGGATAAATTATTTCTTGGCACATCGCAGTGGGCAGCGCTATTAGTTGATGAGGCACATCGTTTAAAAAATGATGATTCATTACTTTATAAGTCTCTAAAAGAATTCGATACAAATCACAGACTGCTCATTACCGGTACGCCACTACAAAATTCTCTAAAAGAACTTTGGGCTCTACTTCATTTTATTATGCCTGATAAGTTTGTGACATGGGAAGATTTTGAGGTGGAGCACGGAAACGCAGCGGATAAAGGCTATACTAAATTGCATCAACAGTTAGAGCCTTATATCTTGCGACGAGTAAAAAAAGATGTGGAGAAATCGTTACCTGCCAAAGTAGAGCAAATATTGCGTGTGGAAATGACGTCCGTGCAAAAGCAATATTATAAATGGATTTTAACAAAAAATTTCGATGCATTGCGTAAGGGTACAAAGGGATCAACATCAACTTTTTTGAACATCGTTATTGAATTAAAAAAATGCTGTAATCATGCAGCACTTATACGTCCAACGGAATTTGATCTATTAGGTATGCAACAAGATGAGGCTTTACAAACTTTACTTAAGGGCTCAGGAAAACTAGTGTTACTTGATAAACTTTTATGCAGACTAAAGGAAACAGGACATCGTGTCTTGATTTTTTCGCAAATGGTGCGTATGCTTGATATTTTAGCGGATTACTTGCAAAAAAGACACTTTCCATTTCAACGTTTGGATGGTAGTATAAAAGGTGAAATGCGAAGACAGGCTTTGGATCATTTTAATGCGGAAGGTAGTCAAGATTTTTGCTTTCTATTGTCAACGCGTGCTGGTGGCTTGGGTATCAATTTAGCGACCGCCGATACGGTTATCATTTTTGATTCAGATTGGAATCCACAGAACGATTTGCAAGCTCAAGCGAGAGCACATCGTATCGGTCAAAAAAATCAGGTTAATATATATCGGTTAGTGACAGCACGTTCAGTCGAAGAACAAATAGTTGAGCGTGCGAAACAGAAAATGGTGTTGGATCATTTAGTTATACAACGTATGGATACCACTGGTCGTACCGTTTTAGATAAAAGTGGAGGTGGTTCATCTAACACGACACCATTTAATAAAGATGATTTATCTGCAATTTTAAAATTCGGTGCTGAAGAATTGTTTAAGGATGAACAAGAAAATGATGACGAACTAGTGTGCGATATCGATGAAATACTACGTCGTGCGGAAACAAGAAACGAAGACCCTGAAATGCCTGGCGATGATCTTCTTTCAGCATTTAAGGTTGCAAGTATTGTTGCATTTGAAGAAGATCCTGGTGACACAACAAAAGACAATGAAACAGCTGGTGCTGAAGAAGAAGACACAAAAGATTGGGATGATATTATACCTGAAAACTTTCGCAAAATTGTTGAAAATCAGGAGCGTGCCAAAGAAATGGAAGATTTATACTTACCTCCACGTAGAAAAACTGCAACAACAAGTCAATCAACTAAAGGTGCAAAGAAAGCCCAACAACAACCTGATTCAGGTGCTGACTCTGATTATGAAATTGGATCTGATGGAAGTGGAGATGATGGTCGACCGAAAAAACGTGGTCGACCTGCCATGAAAGAGAAAATAAATGGCTTTACTGATGGTGAAATCAGACGTTTCATTAAATCGTATAAAAAGTTCCCTGCACCGTTAATGCGTTTAGAAGCCATTGCCTGTGATGCTGAGTTGCAAGAAAAGCCTTTATCAGAATTAAAAAGAATTGGTGAAATGTTGCATGCACGATGTGTACAATTTCTTGAAGAGCACAAAGAGGAAGCTATTGCTACTCCAAAAACCGGTAATGTTGATGAAAAGAAACAGAGACGAAGCCGTGCGACGTTTTCAATTAAGCTTGGTGGAGTTTCTTTCAATGCAAAAACATTATTATCCTGCGAAGAAGAACTTACTCCTTTAAACGAAATAATGCCAAGTGCAGCAAATGACCGACTTAATTGGTCTTTAAATATAAAAACACGTCCTGCGAATTTCGATATAGACTGGGGAGTTGACGAAGATTCAAAACTACTTTGCGGTATATACCAATACGGTATAGGTTCTTGGGAACAAATGAAAATTGACCCGACGTTACACCTTACAGAAAAAATACTCTTTAACGACGATCGCAAACCTCAAGCTAAGCATTTACAATCTCGGGCAGAATATTTATTAAAAATTATTAAAAAGAACGTTGAACTCAAAAAAGGAACACCAAGAAAAACACGTAAACCTCGTAAAGCTAAAGAGAAAGCTACTGTCACAACACCTCCAACACCAGAAAGTAAACCGAAAACTGTATCTGAATCACATGGTGATGAAAACTCACAACCTGCCGATGTAGAACGAGCTGATCGTAAAACGAGAAATCGTGACACTTTGCCGAAGCCCGATATGGAGCACGATCCTATATCAAATGATGCAGATACATCTGTAAAGAAAAAATCCAAACGAAGCAGCGCTGCCAAAGAAACTAATACTGATAAACACAAGAAACCGAAGAAAATAAGTACTTCGGATACAACAAATAAACCAATGCATTTTACAGCGAATAACGAACCACGAGCGCTGGAAGTCTTGGGAGACTTAGATCCAAATATATTTAATGAATGTAAGGAGAAAATGCGACCTGTGAAAAAGGCTTTAAAAGCATTAGATAAGCCCGATTCTACATTATCAAATCAAGAGCAAGTAAAACATACCCGCGAATGTTTGCTTTCAATCGGTAAACAAATTGACAACTGTCTATTAGCTTATAAAGATCCTGAGAAGAAAGAATGGCGGAGTAATTTATGGTACTTCGTTTCAAAGTTCACTGGTAAGTGCAATAAAACAATATTCAGAGGCAAATAAATGACTTTTTATAATATTATTTGTTTATTTTTAGAATTCGATGCAAAAAAGCTATTTAAGCTTTATAAGCATACATTGAAATTAAGTGAAGAATCAGGTTCAGGTTCAGGTTCCTTAAAAGCAAATTCCAAAGTAGTTCCACAGACTCCAGTAAAAAAAGTAAAAAGCGAAAGAAAAGTGCAAGAAAACGGTTTAGTAACAACAGAAAAAGATAAAATTGTAAAGAAAAAGAAAAAAGAGAAAGATAGAGAAAAGGATAAACATAATAGATTAGATCATGAAAGAGAAAGAACTAGAGAGAAAACTGAAAGATATAGTGGATATGACAAAGCAAAGCAGAACGTAATGGCCGAATCACCAACAAAGCGAAAGCGTGAAGAGACTGATGTAGGTGGCGGGAATGCAAGTGGCAGCATGATTGGCTCTGAACAAAAATCATCGTACAAACGTGTAAATATGGATAATAATAGGTACGTTAGCAAATGGAAGTTATCAATGAAACAATTTCGCAAATGTTGCATTTAATAGTGTTTGGTTACAAATAGTGATGAGCATTATTTCGAATAAGTTTCCATTACGAGAAAATATCGGAAATATATCAATTTAAGTTTCCAAATTGAGATATTGTTTGGAAATGAATTTCTATTACACCTTATAAAACACTTTGCAAACTAAATACAAGGCAACTGTTCGTAATATTTGCATTAAAGATTATCAAAAAAATATAATTTATATATATTTTATTTGGTTAAACATAAAATTTATATACTATTTTGCACGGTGGATGTGTAAAGTATATTTAGATATGTTACTTAAATTTGATATTTAGCTATCAAATTGCCAAAGGAATACTTTTGCTTGCTAACCAGATTGGTTACTATTTGAATATACCTGTTATATGGCAGTTACAAGGGTTTGACCAGATCGATACACATTTAGCTATAGCTGCCATATAAACTGGTAATTTAATTAGCTCTCGGTATATTTAAAATACTACTCATATTATGCTTCCAAATTTTTAAAATTTTGTTTCATATAACAACCATATAAGATAAATACATACAAAATGGGCGCTGTTACTAGCGAGAGATTAATTTAAAATTTTAAGAACAAATGATGAATTACGGAATTTTATTGTTAAATTTATTATATTCCGTTCTATAGAAATCGTGATCGAAATGGTAGTTATGCAGCAGGCGCGGGTGATAGACGTGGTGAAAATCGTGAGGATGGTCGTAATATGTCTGCCTTTGCTGATGGAAGCGACCGTTGGGGACATGGACGTTACCGGTAAGCAGTTTTACTTTTTATTGATAGACATTTTATAAAATCGACTTTTATTCGTTTTAGCGGTTATGGTGGTGGATCCTCCGATTATAAACGCGATCGTTACGACAATTACAATAATCGTGCCAGTAGCGGATCTAACTTTCACCGCGATCGCGATAGAGACCGGCGACCACCAGATAAACGAAGGTAAATTGCCTTTTTGCTTTAGCTGTGAAAATTTTAATTTTAATTTTAAAAATCATAAAAAAATCCAAAATTTTTTAATATAACTATAATATATTTATTTATATCATTACAGATATGCGCAAGGCATTCCGCCTCCAATGGGTTATCCCAGCCATTATATGCCTCCAGGTTACTATATGACCAACGGTATGTTACCGCCAAGTCCTGCATTACCACACGGAGGATATCGAGACCAACGTTATCCTCACTCTGCCGATTGGGTACCGCCAAGAGATAATCGTATGGACTATGCTAATGAGTATAGAAGAGATTATGATCGACGCCAAACGTAATTTAGTCTTACCACTTAATTTTTTCATTACTAATTAGTGATTTTAGTTCTTTTTGGTTCTGATCAAAATATGAATGGTTTGCGTGCAAACATAATATGAAGTAAGGGGAGAATATGATATATAACAAGCAAGGCAAAACACAAAAATCAATAACCATAAAGTTCAATCAAGAATTATCTATTTACTACATACAAATACGTACATTTTAATCTTCTATTTATTAAATAATTCCAACGTGAACTTTAATATAAGCGAAATTCATATAACTCCGATCATATGAATAAATATTATAGGCCCCATTAAATATACAAGCAGCATACACAAAATTTTTTACTTATTGTAACTTCAATACTTGATTTAAATTTATTAAGTACCAGATACATTATTTTTTAGTAGTTAACTACAATTATTTAAATAAAAATAACGAATATGTTCTTAGGCATGATGCCAATTAAAACCAAACTCAATAATGTATAATTCTATTATATACATATATTTAATAAATTTATGAGGTCGTACAATATATACGTATATATTATGATTCACTTATTAATCAAAAAAAAAAACACAACGACGTACTTCGTGAACAAATATCCGACCAATCTAGGTACTTTGATTATACGTGTACAAGCATAATGACCCGCATAAATGACAACCACAATGGTATCTAAATTTCCATAGAGTTTAAGTGGTTACTGAGTGTGGTTTTTCATTTGGTGGCTGAATCTTCAGTCACCTGCGCGGGACATAAGTCAAAAAAATTTATAGATATTTATATGCCATACTTTGATTTGACTCAAACTGCTTAACAAAGCAAATAAGCAGTTCTGAATACAAACGTAATGCTATCACAAACTGCTCGTATGTAATATGGAGCCTATAAGGGTTTTCGTGATTTTGCTGCCTGCCTGAGAGTGTTGAACCGTTAAAAGTATTTGAATTATTTAATTGCAGTTAACCTGAATTTTATTGAATTTAAAGGTGTTGTAACACATTAATTATCTCCAAAACAATTTTTTTTCATTGAAATAATTTCCAAATCAATCATTATCATAATCAATCAAATCAAATTAAGAACCAAATTTCTGTATATGAATATGAAGTTGAAGAAGAGAAATATTTTTTTATTGAAATGAAAACTATTTATATTTTATAAATTGAAATCATTTAAAACATAAACTTTATATTTGTTCGATAATCTTGAAAATGTCCACTTTAACGGATTTGTGTCGTGTAATATGATAAAGTGATTATATTATATATATATATATATTATATATATGTATATATATTACACGATAAGGTTGCAAACAGTCTACGACAAATATATCGTTTATGAGAAATCCCATATAATACTGCCTACGGATATGCGTATATAAATAAAAAAAATAGCAAACTATGAAACTCGTTAAACGCGGGTAATGCGCATTTACCATTGCAACAAAAAAATTAAAAAAATTAAAACAAAGCAAATACACACATGAATTCACTTAATTATATTTAAAATTGTATTTTAAAATTAATTAACTTGTAATTTAAAACTAAATTAAGCTTTTTGTATGTATAAAAGTAAATTTTAAATTAAGCTATATCAATATCAATTTATATTAATATTAAGCATATTTTTATTATATTTATATGTATATTATACATATGCATGTTTATGTATGTATATATATATAAATATATATTTATTTAAAAGAAAGCAAGAATATAAGAAGATATTTTGTAAAGTAAGCAGAATGTATATATAACACATGTAGAAGATATTCATTATTTAATGTATTTAGTTTTAGTTATACATGTACAATTTTTATTTATAATTTATATATAAATATATTACTTTATATACACCACATTTATATAAAATATTAACGATTTTAGTTATATAAATTAGCTATAATTTTTATTTCTATTGTGATTGTATATTTCAATTTATTTTTAATTAAAAACGGAGGAATAACTTATTCATTAAAAAAAATCAATAAAGCTATAAATATATTATATAAAAAGTGAAGTAAATGTTTATTATTAAATTAAAACAAAATAAGTTATAAACTTAAGCAGAATGGACAGATTTCTACGGTCTTAAAGTTAGCTTATTTGATTAAAGATTGCTGTATTATAAACATTGGTATTATGTTAGTACCTTGAAGATAACCATAGACTGTAGTTGAAATATTAGTGACAATAACATATAATTTTTATAATAATAATTTATAAAGTTATGTAAAAATTTACCAATTAATCTGTTCAAAAAAATATAAATGAAATTTGATCATTAAAACAATTCATAAAGATTACCGCATTAAAAGTCGGAATTGCATCCAACGACGATGCTTAACTATTAATATCCAAACATTTTGCGGAGACGGGAAGATTCTTTGTAACATACAATATTTTGGGTACAATGGGAGAAGAAGTCCCATTCAATACGCGTTGTATGATCACTTTAGGTAAGTATATGCGTAATGTACATGATTACTTTGATGGATTTTATAATGCGTTAAAACTGTTGTGGTTAAAACGAAAGATTGGGTGCATGAGGACTTCGTGATGATTATGGGAAAATTTTTTTTTTTTTTTTTTAAATTTATTTTCTTATATTGCGATCTGTCAAATCGGAATAGACAATAAACAATATTTAAAAGTGACTATATACTTAAAATTTTTGTGAGCTTGAAGGGACTGTGCTCAATAGTACATCCGTCTGTTGGAGTCGGACTTATTAAAGTTCCAGTGGCGTTTCTTTGCGGAGGTGTGTGAACGTTCTTCCTTCTGCTATCATTCTGCTCATAAAGTGGTTGGGATGATGTAACATACGTTTTTTGTGCTTACTGGAATGTTGAGATCGCAATGTATACATTCACTTTTTATATATCTAGGAGCATTTAAGATTAATCTAAGGGTTTTTGATTGAAAACGTTGGATAACCTCAATATTTGAAGATGCAGCAGTTACCCAGAGTTCAATGCCATATATCCAGATTGGTTTGAGTATAGCTTTGTAGATAAGAAGTTTATTTTCGACTGAGAGCTTTGAACTTTTGTTCAGTATCCAATAGAGCTCCCGCAGTCTGATGACAAGCGCTTTTCTTTTTGTATAAATATGCTGCTTCCAAGTTAGTTTCGTGTCAAAGTGTATTCGTAAATATTTCGCTTGGGTAGATTGAGGGATTAACACATCGTTAAGGCGTACCGGTGGGCAATTTTTCCTTCTCAGTGTAAAGGTTATTTGTGAAGACTTAGACTCATTTGCTTATGGGAGAAATAAACAGGTTTGTGTTTTAAATAAATTTAGCTTTTTAAATGCCATAACATATAAGTTGGAATTGAAAACAATAACCTTAGAAATGAAAGTAATACTTAAAACATTCGTAGACAAGTATATACCTACATCATACGTAGTTATAACGGGGCAAAGCATGAATAAGTTGAGTGGTTCAAATATATATAAAAAAATCCTTCAATAGACAATAACTTTACATATCTAAAGTATGTGTTGCACTTTTATATCTAATTGAAAAAAATATATATAAAATAAAACTATATCAAAAGTGCAACATAAATATTAAATATATTTTTAACCTTGAACTGACTTATAGCTCGATAATATACCATATTTTGCTCGAATTAGCTTATTTCAATGCTTGTAGAAGTGCGAAAAAAACATTATTGAGAGAGATTTTATGACACGTTGGCTCTATCAATGTACATTAGATCAGTATCAGATCAAGATCTTTGAAGTTCTTTTAAGTAGTGCAAAATTGTTTACCATAAATTGTACAACACAACATTTTGCAAGTGCAACTATAAGATCCATGGCATCGCCACAATGAATATTAGAAAAAAGTATATAAAGAGGTATAATAATTTATTTTCACAAATATGGAATGATAGTAGTCTTTCTTGAGTACAACACAAAATTATAAGTAATATATAAATTATTAGCATTAAAAATAAAGCTGAGGCCTGACCATTGCAGCTTAAAAAAAATTGATGTTGAAAAACTAAATCTATATTTAAACCGTCTACAGTCCTGTTTAGAAATGGGCGGAATTTATTGGTGAGGGTATTTTCAGTCTTTCTAATTAGTGCTAAATCTGCAAAAGACATAGAAATGTTTAAGCTCCTATTACTACTTGATCGTATAGTATAGAGTATGGAGTAGTTATATGTATGTATAAATTCTTTATAATATATTTGATGTTTAAGGAAGTGAGACTGACTGCTCATACAATGTTAATACAACCATGGAATTCTAGATATATAGAAAAATTTAGTTCTACAAATTAATGTACTAGTTTCAATGAAATATATAGTTTAATAATAATGTTATATGTTTGTGGAAAAGCTTCGGAATAGTTTTACCGGCGAGACTTGTTGTAGAACCCTGAACTGAACTGATAATAATCCTTTTTTATTAATTCTATTACAAAAGTTCGAAGATTGTTGCAGAAGCTGATGCAGAAGGAATAAAAGACTATCAGATTTAAGTTTTTTGATCAGTTGAGAAATTTGTTCAACGAGGTATAATGTTGTAGAAATCCTACTGGGGTCATGTCAATATAGGAAATCGAGAACCACTCTAACCCACCTGTCTTAGTACCTATTTTGCAAATTTTATAATAAAAAAGTTGCTGGAAAAAAATTTTATTTTTGTAAAACATGAAGTTCTTAAATTATATACTAACTGCTTTAAAGTTCAACAATTTCTTTTATATACCACGCTAGAATATTGAATATCCCGTTAAACCTATCACAGTTGTGGAGAGTACGATAAAAGTGCCTTACATCTGCTTTGTTATTTTCCAGCATATGCGATTAACTATATTTGGGACTGTCTTTATCGAGGATCAACGATATGCAGAAATCTGTATGCAATTTGGCCACGTTCTGATAAAAGAATATCCAAAATTCCAATTAAGATGCCCCGTAGAGATATTAGTCTTTTGGTTGGCTTACTTATAGGCCATTGTAAACTAGGGAACCATGCTAGAGGATTAAATTTTCCTTTCAATCAAACCTGTCACAGCTGTGGGGAAGATGATGACAATGCCTCTCATCTACTGTTTTTGCCCAGCTCATGCACGACGGCGATTTAACACTTTAGGAGCCCCCTTCTTGAGAATCGATCTTTTACGAGACCTGACATTGAACAGTATTTTAGGCTTCGCCTAAAATTCTAGGTTGTTTTAAACCCTGAGTTATTCTTATATATACGCTAATTGGGCCAATAGGCCTAAGTGGATCGTCGGTATAACCTACCTACCTATCAAGGATCTTAACCAGTTTCATGACCTTCTTTTTAAGAGCATCTTTGGCTTTGCCGAAGGTCTAAAGTGGTTTTTAAGTTTTAAGCTATTATACAGTAACACAATGGGCTGATAGCCCTAAGTGCATCCTTAGGATCGCCAGTATAACCATAACTATACAGCTTATTTAGAAAGATTGGACTTATCTTTACCCATGAAAAAGTTGTTCGATTTATGTGATTTGAAAATATTTCCAGGTTACCTACAAGCATAGATTCCGCAGTTTATGGATTTTTTTGCGAACAGTTAAGTTTATATTTGTAATAAATATAAAAACTACTACTTAATATAGATGAATTCTGTATATAACCGGCTAACTCAAAAAAAAAACACTAATTTAGCTTTTTATAAATTACCTTTTTGCACAGTTACTCAAATTTGAAAATAATTGCACAATAAAAACACTTAAGCCAATTGGTATCATAGAGAAAATTTTAATGATTTTTCACAGGTTTCCGACAACTAGTTTTATTAAAAAATAAATGCAACATTTTTAAAATTTTTACAATATTTCACTTTATCACTTTAGGCCGCCAGTTACTTCGATTGCTGCGCCATTGATATAGGAAGCCTTTTCAGAGGCGAGAAATGCTATGACTTCAGCGATTTCTTCGGGCTTACCTAAACGACCCAAAGGACATCGTACTTTAACTTGCTCTTTGATTTTCTCTGGTACAACAGCAACCATTGGTGTGTTTATATAACCAGGTAATATAGCATTGACACGTATGCCAAATTTACCAAATTCTTTAGAGGCGACCTCTGTAAATGATATAACGCCCGATTTTGTGGCAGCATAATTTGCTTGCCCAATATTATTCATTTTAGCCACAATGCTGGAAAGATTGATTATGCTACCGCCTTTTGAATCGTTTGCAATCATAGCCTTGGCAAACTGTTGCGTTATCAAAAACGTACCCTTCAAATTGACACTGTAAACGTCATCGTAATCCCGTTCAGGCATTTTCAGTAAATAGCCATCACGTGTTATGCCCGCTGAGTTGACTACGATTGTCGGTGCTTTTTGAAATTTTGAAACAATGCTCTGAACTGTCTTGTTGACGCTTTCATATGAGGATACATCAATTTCAGCGGCTGAGGCAACGTCTAGTTATGAATTAAATTATGAATTAAAATTTGCATGCCATGTCAAGGTACTATAAATCTCACCTGTGCCAATTTCATTTGCGGTTTCTTCTGCTGCTTTTAAATTACGATCCGCAGCTATCACTTTTGCGCCATCTCTAGCCAGTACTCGACAAGTGGCACGACCAATGCCTGAGCCAGCACCTGAGTGTAATAAATAGAATTTTTATGTTAATTGTGTGTGCAGTACTTAATTAATTATAGTACTAATTAAGATATATACCTGTTACAATAGCTAGTTTACCAAAGAGCGGACCCGACATAATTAATTAAATTAATAAAATACGATCACTTTATTTATATTATGTAATAAAAAAAAACTAGATACTATGCCCTAAACATACAGAAACCAACAAACTCAACAACATAAACGTATGCACAAGAGATCATCGTAATTAGTTATCTACGTTGAAGCGAGTGGGGAGGGACTTGTTTCAATCACACTTTGAAGCTATCAGCTGGTTCACATTATCTCTCACGCCATTTTTTTGTTAGCGCGAGGCAGTCAACATAAAGAGAATAAAAAATAAATACTTTCTCACAAAAAGGCAAAATTTTATGAAATGTACACATATCTATATACATACGTCCAAATGAAGGTCATGTAGAAAGTAAAATAAAACCAAAGAAAATTGTCACTGATAACACAAAACACTCGAGTCTCCTACACACAATAGATTAGATTTACATGAAACGATTTTTATTTTGACATTGTGTCAATTTGAGTGTTATTTAAAATTTTAAGGCCGATCACAGTTTTGACGGATTTCGATGAAATTGGATATTCTGAGTATATAATTTAGGGCTCTAAATTGCAAATTTTGACTTTATGCATATAAGAACTGGACAAGCCATCTTACGGCGATTAATGTATAAAATTCTTATATTTATTTATTATAAAAACCACAATTGATAAGTAGATACGCCATCTGACGGAATTTTAAGTACGTAGTGAAAAAAGTTACTTAGGACGTGTGCGAGTTAGGCTAAGTTGATGCTAAACCAAATGGGAGATTTTTTGGGATTTTTTGCACTGCACACATTTTGCCATTTATCAACACGTATCGACACATCAATACATTATCGACACAACTTAGAATTTCCCTCATTTAGAACGCAACTTAGGACGTGTGCGAGTTAGGCTAAGTTGCGTTCTAAATGAGGGAAATTCTAAGATGAGCCGATAATGTAGTTATGTGTCGATACGTGTTGATAAATGGCTAAATGTGTGCAGTGCAAAAAATCCCAAAAAATCTTCCATTTGGTTTAGCATCAACTTAGCCTAACTCGCACACGACCTTAGCCTAACTCGCACACGACCTTAGAAAAGCTAATTTTATTGCATTTCATTGTCCCATCGTTTCGACTAAGAAATTGTATTCGTGCTAATTTTATTTAATCGAAATGTAACCAACCTACCAACAATAATAGAATAATAATAAAAGTAAAGATTTCTCTTGTTTGTTCGTACACAAAATCCCATCAAACAATAATGACTGAAATTACATTTGCGCGACAAACGTGCGACCTGAACCTATTTGTGTTGTCTTTCATTTAAATATTTAAGCATCAACTGTTATATTTTTTGCTACAAAACACTGCTTAATTATTACAATCATTCATAAATTCTACATTACCTTAAATTCTTTAGTCGTTAAAAAATTTTGACAATTTAAGACGGTATTTTATTATTGGATATAAGTAGGAAATATTCCAGAACTATTCCAATTTCTTAGGCAGTCCTGTTTTGCAATAGATTTCAGTAAAATCAGGTGTGGTGTGGTTTAAAGTAAACTTTTTTCATTGATTATAATAAAAAAAAACACACGCCATCTAACGTCAATTTTTGCATTGATTATACAAGCAAATAGTAATAATAAGTAGATGCTCCATCTCTTGTTGGCAATGTTCATGTGAAAATTTTAAACTTTAAAGACCGATATCTTAAAATTATATTATATGGCGTTTACATTGGCCGAAAATGGATCATTTTGTATGCTGCGTGAAGGTTTAATATACCTTCAAACCTTAAAATATATACTGAAAACATATTTTTTAACTTCGATTTCTTTTCGGGAAGTAGAAGTTATAAAAAGAGGTGCGTCGGTGTCAATAAAATCCAACCACCAAACATTTGTTTACTTTTTTTGTAAATATGTCAAAAATAGCTTTCTCAAACTGTCAAAATGCCATGAAGAGCTTTTATTTAGGGTGTGTTCAATGTAATTCTTTGTATTTGAAACATATTTGGAACGCATTCGAACGTATTCATACAGAATGTGATGAAATAGATCGTATTTGCGGTTGAAATTTTGTATGCAGGAATGAGCAATTTGCTTCTCATTCTCGATTTTTGACCAAAATGAGCCATTTTCGACCAGTGTAAATGCCGTATTAGGCGTCCTCGGTGGCACGCAAGTGTGGCAGAAAAAACAACAAGTTGCTGGGCTATACTGGCTGAAATGTACGCAACACAACAACACTATTTTCTCTATCTAACCTAATAGTTGTATACTAACCACACACTTCGGCCAGTAAATAAAAAATTGTTACTAATGTAATAAGCGAACTATTGTGAACCTTCATTGGAAATTCCAACTAATATTGCAATCATAAAAATTCAAACAAAATTCAAAAATTTTATAAATTTGAAAATAGGGAAAAAAGGAAAAATTTCAGCATTTTATTTTCAAATTTCAAAATTTTTCCATTCCTTTAAATTTTGTATTCATTTTAATTTTCAATTTATATTAATTTTTTTTTTATGCAAAATGTGATTTGCAATTTGTTAAAACATAACACTTGATAGATTGCAACAATAATGCAAATAGGGGTATTCAGGATGTCCGTGGTTCGTCGCATGTGCAAAATTATTTGATTTTACAAAAAAAATTCCTCTTCTTGTGATTCTGCACTTGATTTGCAAGACAAGATTCAAGACTATATTTTCAACACCAATTACCTTTTGCATATTTGATTTTGAAGACTCTATTGTGAATGATACTACTTTTTTTACTGTTCGCTGGGCAATACTTAAGCAAAACTGTCAAGTTTTGTTTGATTTTGTAATTTTGTGATTTTGAAATTTGTGAAATTGTTTGATTTTATTTTTATTTTACGTCCAACAATGTCAATATAATCTGCTTTCGATATTTTCTTGGCGTTGTTAAAATTATGCATATCGAATCGGAGTTATATTTTACAAGTAAATAAATACGTAAATAAAAATCAGCTGTTCTAAATATTTTCAAGACTAATATGCATATAGTGTATTCACGATTATTTAAGTGTGCAATGACACATTGTCGCGCTATGCAAATATAGGCTAGCATGCGTTTTTTGTCACATTTTCGATGTCTCGAAAATGATACAAATTATATAAAAATAATTATTTTTTGCCTAATAATACAAAATTATATATAATTTTCCACGAAAGTTTTTGTTTTTTAAAAACTCAAGACCAAATTTACAGTGAATAAAATTCGACAAAAGTATACATTTTTTGGCAGAAAAATTCATTATTCACAATTGCGAAGTAGCAAAATCAAAAATCAAAATATAAGCAAACTTTTGAGTACACTTCAGTTTGCATATTTAAAGAATAGATCTCAGGGAAAGTAGACATATTTTTGTTATTTTTTGTTTGCGTGTTCTATTGGAGCGCATTCATGTCAAAAAAAATACACCTGATATAAAAATAATTTATTACTTCAAAAAAGTAGCAGAAATAATAGCTACTACGTTTCTATTAATTTTATTTGAAAGTGCAACCCTAATAATAATTAAAAAAATTTAGAACAAGCTGATCGATAAAATTGTTGAATACTATTATATTTCATAATGTAATTAGATTTAAGTATCAAAAGAGTGGGATAGTACCAGTGTTAAAATGTTAGAATCGACTGCAAATGAAATAAAATCATTTGCTGTGTTCGATTTGGAAACAGCGAACCTGCCCTGTTATAATTATAATAAAGGAACCATCACCGAGATAAGCATTTATGGATTTTCCGCCAATGTATTATCGCAATGTAAACAGAATAAACCAACTAACAATGAGATACCCGCGAATCCGCGTGTTTTGCATAAATTGACTTTGCTTATCAATCCTCAGTCTTTAATAGCCCCCAAAGCTGAGAAACTTACAGGTAATTAATTAAGCGTTACGGAATTGACACAAACCGGATCTGCATGTGTAGCTAACATATAATAACTTTTAATTTTAAAAAAAGTCGCTATTTATAAGATATTTTGTAAATTTAAATTTAATTGATTAAAATTTGGCTATATAAACCAGTATTGTTAGGTATAGCAAATGTCGATTTTTTGATCTATTAAAATCTATTATAAAAAACATTTCTTAGAATTGAACATTTATTGCTTATTTGTAAATATTGTAAAAGCTACGGAGTCTATTGCTGTTTCTCATATAGCCAGGTTTCACTCCTAATACAGGTTACACTAATAACAGATACTTGTAACTCAGTTTGTCAAGAAAATAAGTAATGCGGTATCATTTATAATATCAATAGTAATTACAGATATTTGTGAAGTATCTATTAATGTTAATTTCAATGTAATTTCGGTTCTTATGAAAAATTAAAATCAATAAATGTATTTCCGAAGACCATTGATAATGGCAATTTGAAATATTTAAAATAGAACAAAAAATTAACTTAATTAAGAATTTATTTATATAGTCAGATTTCTTCCCTATTATCGCATTTTTCTATTCGAAATAGATTTGAGGTAATACACATAAAAATTTGAATTGAAGATTGATATAAGAGTACGATAGATAAAAAATATATACATATATTCTGAATGGAGATTCTTGTTTATTTGGGTACATGTTGATAGTTCTTACTTCATTTTAGTCAACCTCATCAATATATTTTCTATTAATATTTGAAATAGACACAGCTGCAATATGATATTATGTATAGTTTTTATTACGAAAACACTTAGCACATATCGAGCATACTTTTTAAACGTAGAGGCAATCTTTATAAACTGAACGGTAGAGAATTTAATCTACCTGAACGTGTTTGTTCTTGGTGTAATCGTCGTGAAATAGAAAATATGGTATATATATATGTCATTTTATTGGTGTATGTCCGATTTTCATAAAACGTAGACGTATTTTTTTTTGATAGAGCACTTCTGTCCGAAGAAGAAGTTTAAGTTTTGTTAAACAGTAGCAATACTTATAACCTGTATAAATTTATGAAAAGTGTTTTAAGTGACAGAACATTAATTATTGAAGAATTTATATGAATAATAATGTTTATATAATGCAACGCCTTTTGTGTACCAATCTGACACAGAAGAATAATAGTAATATTTAAAATGATAGTATTTCAAAATAGCAATATACCTACAATGTTACTTTTGTGCTATGTAGATAGAGCAATCCCGAATCAATTCTAATACTTAGTATTTTTATCTTCTCCGATACTACTAGTACTCCTAGTACTTTAAAAGTTTGAATAATAACTTAGTACCTTCAACTACAGTTCATTTTTAAACTTACCAAAATAATTTAAACTTCATTTTAGATATGAAAATAAACTTATAAACCAGCCATCCATGCTACCAATTATTTTTTCTAATGCTTTCATTTGTAATTAAAATCACGAAAGAACACTCAATACTTGGTTTTATATTTAGTGTTCTTATTAATATGTACTAAGTTCTTTTTTAATTTTTTTTTTAATTTTAATACCATAATTTGTTCTGTTATTGTTGTTGAGGTAATCCGCTGGGACCTGCTTGTGAAGTTCCTTTAGAAGGTGTTGAACGGTACTTGTTCGTCGCTGGCGACGAGTGGCTCCGGACCTAGACCTGGGAGTCGCGTCTTTCAGCGTTATTTGTACGCTGGCCACTGTGCTCCTTTCGGGTATCATTCTGTGGAAACTGATTGATACTATATTTTTTAAAAGTCTGTTACATTGTTATTATTATTATCTGACTGATTATAAACATAATTAGGATTGTATTCCTAATATTTAATTGTGAAAAAACTTGTTTATAAAATATGTTATTGTTTGCATTCGACAAGTCGTGCATAATCCTAGTAAACAGAAAGTATAATAACATTATCTTGTGAGGAGATTGAGTATTAAGGACTATTGGTTCAATTTGCTATAGAGAGATTATTTAATGATGTGGATGAAAGTAGATTTGTACTTCTAATTTAATCTTTCTTTACATCTGCGCAGAAGCTTCGTCATTTCGAAAATATGAAAGTTACACACAATTTTATCAATTTTGTGTGTATATGGAGACAGTTCAACATATGGAAGCTTATGGATGCTATAAAAACAATATGGACTTATGGTATCCAGCTATTTGGCAATGCTAGTGCTTCAAATATTGAAATTATCCAAAGAGCTCAGTCAAAAATACTGAGAACAATCACTGATGCCCCATGGTATATAAGGAATGAAAGTATTCACCGAGATCTAAAAATTCCCCTAGTTAAAACTGAATTTGACAATATAAGAAAAAAATACAATAAAAGGCTGACAGAACATGTTAATCTCCTAGCAAGAAATCTTACACATCTATCCACTACTTCCCGCCTAAAAAGAGCTGACCGTCCAGCCAATAATTTATATTAAATAGCTTGAAGTAAACATCGCATCTTTCTTTTAATTAATCTGATAAAGTTGAAGTGTTTTCTTAATAAACCACCTAACATTCACTCCAATGAAATTTAACCCATTGTTCTAAGTGAGGGTCGTGATATAAGGTATACTTATTTTATTTTATTTTATACAATGTATAGTTAAAATAAAATTTTGTAATATGTAATTAGTGATAAGATTTTAGAACTTATTGTTAGACTCATTCTAAGAGAAGATGCAATAAATAAGTATTCAACAAAAAAAAAATGGACTCTTATCTTCGATTTGATGTCGATGGGTAACTGTTCAGCTTCAGGCCTCTGACTTGAATTTAGTCAAAATAGCTTTGGCTGCTCTAGACAATTGTTTAAGGAATGAATTGTAAGGAAAATACGGTTAAGTTGAAGATACGCGATCAATGTGTTTTCAAAAATGAACAAACATTGCTTGTAATAAAATTAGTTCCAAATTTCATGATAAAATATTTAGTAGACAGCTTAAAGGAACAAATGTTACTCATAGTATTATATCTTTTAATAATTCAAAATAATATTATCATAAAAATACTACTTTTACAACAGTGAACCATAAACTTATGATACAAAAACAAAATAATTAAAAACAGAAAAATAAGAGTATTATAATGATGTATACTAATGATAGTGCTCGGTTCCTGTTGAAACTGAACACTTTGCGAGCAGTGTATTCACCTAATTGTTAATCATTCATAAGGAACGCATTTTGAAATTAGATGTAATTTTGTACTTTTCAACTTTGGAATAACTTTGGTGACCCCTAATTTAATAGAAATTTATTAGGAACACTGAACCAGTAAACTAAAACGGTTCCCCAACCTCAAAGGGATTTTAATCCCATTTTAAAAAAAATGTTTGTCTTTAGGAAAAAAATAAATACATACTTGACTACTCTGTTTACTTCTTCCGAACGCTCCTTGTGCTTTACTTGTGTATAAGACGTAGAAGGAGCATAGATTTTTTTTTACATTGATTCTTCCGTCGTGACATTTATAAAGCATATAAAATGAAAGAATTACAAAAACGTATGCATGGGTTAGCATGTGTTAAAGGTAATGGTAATGTGAGAGAGGAGGGGATTATTTAACAGTGAGAATGGATTGGGGATTGTTGGGATTAAAATTGAAGTTAACTAATATCAAAGCGAAGAAATCTAGCCTTTACTATTGTGAAAGACAGTTAGGATTTTCGGTTTATAAAGCAGGATAGCTATGATTCTTTTAAAATATATTGTTTAATTGTCTAATTAATTTAAAGTTTATTTAATTATTACAGATGTATTTTTATATACTAATAATTAATTTTTTCTTTCGTCATAGGTCTAAATAATTATATGCTTGAATATGAACAACCATTCAATGAAGATACAGCAAAGACCATTTTGAGCTTTTTAGGGCGCTTGCAAAAACCATTGTGTCTGGTAGCACATAATGGTATAAATTTCGATTTTCCCATATTGAATCAAATGTTCGAAAGGATAAATATGGTAATAACATTGCATTAAATTTGTTATTGTTTAAAAAGTAATATTTTGTTTTTACTCTTATAGACTTTACCTATTGGTACGCTTTGCTTAGACTCTTTAATAGCTTTTTGGGTGATCGACATTATGCGTGAAAGAATTGCAAAGAATGAAATAATACAAGCGAGAATGGAAACAGAAAAGGAGGAAGACTTAACACCACTTCCACTATTAGATGATAGTGTTATAGACACTGGAGAGTGTAATGATGAGCTTAACGAAAGTACAATTGTGTTGCAAGAAGCATTCAATAGCTACAATGCCGACGAAATGCGTACACGCAATGAAACCACACCTAATCGGCGAGCAGTTTCAATGCAAGGCAATTTCAAGAAGCGTAGACTTAGTTTTCAAGCTGAGGATGAAGCAAACACCGTTGCGAAATTGAGAAGTCCAGAAGTACGGCGTTCACTGTTTCGTAAATTTCCTCCTTCTGGGAAATACAAATTAGGCTCAATTTATGAAAGAGTCTTTCAGCAAGCGCCAATTAATGCACATCGAGCAGAAACTGATGTAGAAATGCTAACGAAATTAATGCTTTCCTATGGTGATGAGTTCTTACAATATGCACAAGAAAATGCAACTGAAATGCTAAATATTCCAAAACTAGGAAGTAACCTTAAATTCTTTTACTAATTGTGTAATTGTGTAATTGTGTATTTTAACATATATTAATGTCCCAGTTTATTTTATAATTATTTGTTTTTTACAGTGTGCGTAATTGTAATTGTTCATGTAGTATCAGTGAAGTCTCAGTGTTTATATACATAGTGCTTTTATATAAGCAAACATTTTTTAATGCATATTTTGATGTCTAATGGAAGATTGTATGGTTTTAATTGTAAAAATATATCTATTTATTTACATGTATTTATAACATTTTAATTGAATAATATTTTAATTGCACTGTATATTTTATAACGTTTGTTTTGTGAAATTTTTTTTAAATATTAAGAATATATATATATATGTTTAATATATTTTTTGTACATATCCGGAAGGATAAATTTTGAATAAAAACGTTTGTGTTTAATAAACGCAACCAAAATACTGTATATTTTCTAAGCAGAAATTAATATAAATTCTTTTTATAAATTGTGTATTTTAATACTTATGATTGTATGATTCAGTACTTATACTTATACTTATACTTGTCGTATTTATATAGTATCAGTAAAATCTCAGTGTTCATATACATAGTGTTTTTATATAAGAGTACAACTTTTATGTCTAAAAATAAATTTTTTAATTACAAAATAATATATACTTACATAATTTTTATCAAATGTATATTTAATTTTATTAAACATATAAAATATTTGTAAAATGGTTTGTAAAATGTATAAATTATATTTATAGTTTATATGTGTCCGGAAGAGTAGATTTTAATTACGATTTAGATTTTTAAACTTTATTGACTGTAATATTAGCTTGATTTTATATGATTTGATAATAAAAAAGTTATAAGATTTTTATATTTAAATTGAGGTTGTATTCTAGAACATTCGAAATGCTAAATAAATTCATATTAATGTAATTAAATTCGCAATTTATTATTCCGACAAAATTAGTTATTTGTTTTTGGCGTATCACTTTCGACATATCACTAAACAGAACATTATTAGCAGGCCATTGATGGTACTCGAGTTTGTCCATTAATAAAAATATATTGGTGCTATCATTAAATCACAAAAATATATTAAACAAAGAGTATATAAGGGTTAGTCACAAGTAATATCTACTAGACATTATAATAATAAAAGCAGTGTACAGTTAGTTATTCGCTAACAACTATTATACTATCTGTCACAGAACATCTAGTACATAGCCATCACATAACTTACAACATCTGATGGTTAACAGTATAATTGTAAATGAATTTACCACCTAAACATGGTTGGCATCTACTGTAAATTATTAAAAAGTATATTCATATACTCTCAAAAGATATCAGCTGTAGTCTTGGAGTATCGTCATTTTTCATGTATAAATTTAGTTTTTAGCAAAACTATTCTATATATATAATTATTGTTTACAGATTCTTTAATATGCATTATGTATTACAATATTACAATACAACTATTTATTAGGATAATACTAAATTGAACGACACATACCCAAGTACAGTACTTCAATCAGGTAGCTAGAAAATTAGGAACCTTCGATCAGCGAAACGATACACACAGCCTTAGATGTACTGCAAGAAAAAATGAACACTTCCATATAATAATGCGCCTTGTCAAAAACCAACGACTGGAAGCAAAAGATAGTGTACTATATGTTAATTAGCATAGATAATGCTAAATGATGAACCATTCTATATACTAGAGATAATTAACTAAATTGGAGCAATTCTATTGGAATTTATTGTGAAAGACTCATATTGTGAGCAATATGAATTCAAGAACAACTGTATAAGCATCAAAGGTCCAAAGCAGATAGAGATAGAGTTTATTCTTACTAGGTTTTTGATAAAAGATCTTAAACTAAGGTGTTATCTGAACAACTTGGGCCTGTCCGAAGTCAATATCTTCTGAATTTTTGGCACAGGTATTAAAATGTCTGAGTACATTTTTTAAAATCAATCATCTAAGGTGTTAACTTTCAATAGAAACCAAATCTTATTCGTTTCATTTGTTTTATACAACAAAATCCGCAGTTGTAGAATAATTTAAAAGAGTGTTTGGATAGATACGTATCTTATTTGCCTTAGAAAGCTGCTGAATATTTGTGCGATATAGAAAACTGTAGAATTTAAAAACTATATGGTTCAGTAAGACCATTCGGATTTTTTAGAGCATGCACTTTACAAAGTGATCTCGTGGCCCATAGAAATCTAAATTGGAATTATTTTTTGTTGTTGCCAATATTTCAATAGCGGGTTTTTAGCGATATTAATGGAATCGATACTATTTCCTAAATTAAGTATATATTATGTTTTTTATTTTTTACAACGTACCAATATTGAAATACATAATATACATAAAGTGAAATATAGTAGCTCTATTTATAGTTAAGCTTTGTCTGCAAAACTACGTCCGTACATCTGATTTGCCTTCATAACACTGCCTAAGAAAAAAAATCCAAAAAACTTTAGTGAGTACAGACTTATCAGCCTTATGCCACCCACTTGCACTAAAAATATTTATAAAAATCATACACGACAGAATATACAAAAATGCGCGGAATTGATGCGAAAATCGCAATTTGTTTTTAAAGAAGGACTAAGGACTCTGGAACTCGGGAGACACTATTATGTATTATTATGTATTATGATTATTATTAAGGGGCGCCGTAAAATATGATAAGCTTATAGAAATTTTTCAAAACATTGATATTGATGACAAGGAAAATCGATGCATTAAAAAATTGTACTGGTAACAAAATTCTCATATAAGCATCGATTTCGATATAACAGAAGGAATATCTATTTTACGGGGCGTTAGACAAGGTACAAATTATCGCCACTGTTATTCAATGTTTACTTCAAAAAAATATTTGAAGAATCTGTTAGCGATAGTCAACATAGGTGTAAAAGTAAACGGTGTTTTCATTAACCACATCAGATAATAAGACTGGCAGCACCCTTATTGTCGACAGTCTAAGCGACCTACAAGAGCTAGTAGACAGGATTAACACCACTAGCGAACAATATGGGCTACAAGTAAACATAAATAAAACAAAATATATGATTGTAAACCGAAAAAATATTTAGAGCAACACAAAATTAATAATTAACAATATTCCAATAGAAAGAATAAAACATTTTGAATATCTTTGAAGTTTATATAAATGAAAATTGGAATTGTTTCAAAGAGAGAGAGAGAGAGAGAGAGAGAGAGAGAGAGAGAGAGAGAGATCAAATGTCGCGGAGAAATAGCACATAATGCTTTTCTCAGATACAAAATAGTTCTTAACAGTTATGATCTCAATATTAAAACTAAAATCCGTTCTGTAAATGCTGTCTGATCTATACTCCTATACGCCATGGAAACCTGGACTTTGAAAATCTCAACTTTAATAAGCGTTTGAGTTATTCATTTTTTTAAGAAATCTCGAAATTCCTTGATTGGACCGTGTTGCAAATAATGAAGTTTTACGAAAAATGAACTGTGATCGTGAATTGTTAGCAACCATAAAGATAAGAATAAGAACCTACCTATGGCATATTATGAGAAATCCAAAATATACGCTACTCCAAATAATTATTCAGGAAAAAATCGAAGGAAAACGATATATTGGTAGGAAAGCATGAGAATTCATGGCTGCGAAACATCCAACAATAGACTAGAATACGAGGGGTACATTATGAATATAGCTAGGTACAGAGAACAATATGTAGAAATTGTAGAAAATTTGTAATTATGTTTATTCAAATTAAATTTAAACAATGTATGTATGTTGATCCTTTTTTCGAGTCAGCGCAACTGGGCACTTTTACTCTTTGATAGCTGGGGGTACCACAGGGTCCCACCCATCTCATTGACTAATTTGTATATCTCTCATAAGCTTCATAATTATTCAGTGATTGATCTAAGATCTACGTACCTCCTCGTACGAAGACTGATTACTTTAAGATTAGATAGTGCTAAGGAGGATAGCCTGTCAGTTTTCGCATATAACTTCAGGGCTCTGTCTTTTATGTATTTTTTGATCGGGTCTATTCTCAGGTCTCTTAGCATGTCGTTTGTGCGGATGTACCAAGGCAATTTAAAGAGTCTTCGGAGAGCCTGATTTTGAGCAACTTGTAGCTTTTGTATAGTAGAGTTGGCAGCTTTGCTATACGCGACACACCCATAAAGTAATGCTGGTCTAATTATCTGGCTATAGATCAGTTTTCTGTTCTTCGCGCTAAGGTTGTTGTGTTTGAAAAGTGATTGTAAGCATTGCAGTGTTTTAGCGCAACTACTTCTTTTGACTTGTATATGCTTATGCTAAGTGAACCGCTTATCAAACGTGACACCTAAGTATTTAATGCTATCCTCCCAATTAATCACGATGTCACCAACTCTCACTCTCGGTGGATGTTGCCTGTGTTTACGAGTAATAAACAAGACTTTAGTGTTCAGATTGTTAATTTTTATTTTCCATTTCTGGAAGAACCCCAGGATGAGATAAATATAACAAGCACGTATCAATGTAGTTTTATGCTATATGATCACCAATGTTGCAGAGCGATTTGGGCATAAAGAAAAAGAAGAATCTGATCCCTATTCGATAAAATTACAGCTCACAATAAATATAAAACATTTAATTGCTACAAGGAGCAGTAAAATAATTAAATCATAGTTTCATAACAATCAGAGTAAATTACGAAATTGGCAAATATATGTGAAATACAATATCTACTGAATAGACAGTAAACATTTCGCTTGTTGCATGGAAGCATTACTCTAATGCTGCAAAAATTTAAATATTTATTATCTACAATAGCTGTGCTGTTATGTGTTAAACATTTTTATTTATTAAAACTTATTGAGCATTAAATATGTGAACATTTAGTAGATAACATAATAATCGAATTCAATTACAAAATAATCTCAAAATACCAATAATATATATTTAAAAAACAAAAATAGAATAATATAAATATGAAATGTTATATAAATGGAAAATTTTTTGTTTGATAATAAATTAAAAATATACACTAGTGAGAATATTTAAAATAAAAAATAACACTATATTTAAAATAATTATTTATATAATAAAAAAAAAAGGTATAAATAAATATGGAAATAATATTTTTAAGGCAATAAGTTTATATTCGAAAACAAGTCTTAAAGTTATGTAACTTAATTTATTCGAATAAACCGAACAAATTTTTATGGCAACAATGTTAAAATCTTTTAAAACATTTATCTTTAAAATTACAGCATATCATATAAGATAACAGAAAATTTGTCTTTATAAATATAAGCATATATATATATAACACAAGCATATATAAATATATACGCTTATATATTTGTAAAAAATCTTGTTTTGAACTTTAATCAGCTACACGTTTTTTCACAGACCAATGCAAGTAATTTTGTTGCGTTGCTGCTTCGTATTCCTGAACCAAGGCGTCAACAATATCACGCGATTCATCCAATTCAGATAAATCGTCTTTAAACATATCCTCGCGTCGGAACTGGTCTAAAAATGCACCACGCTTCTTAAGTTTGTCATATTGCGTTAAGGCACGATCAAATAAGGAACAAATACTAGTATGGTTTGCAAGCATCAATCCGGAAACGCGATGGCTGCTCTGCACGATCGGAGAACTGCGAGAAAGAGCAACTTGTATGCTAGCTGGTCCCCATGGTATAAATTGTGCTAATTTTCGCTCACGTATTCGTTGCAACGATTTGTGTACTTGTGTTGGATCAACTTCACCCTAAAATAACATTTTATTATATTTATTAGGAAATTTTATTGTAAAAATGAAATGCTTAATAAATATTTTTAAACTCTTAAATAAATTTTTTCCATTTCAAAATAAAATAAATCAATATTATTACTAGCTTAATATATATGTAGATAATTTTATATCGATAATTATAAATAGTTGTTATATACTCAATTTTTATCAAATCTATTTACTTATTAGAATGACTTTAATAATAAACTATATAAGTATAAACGTTTACATATAGCAACAAAATATATAATATAAATTTAATATATAAAAATTAATTTTAATCTATTAATATAACTGTTCATTTAATAAGATACTTCTTGAAGATTTTAATTCTATCACCAACATAAAAGATAAAAATATATAATATGAATGCAGTTTAGAGAATTAAAATTATAACTTTCAGATTCATTACTCTATAAAATTACTTTATGTGTATAAGACTTAAACAAATTATAAATATAAATAATCATTAATAAGAATAACGTAAGATTAACAATTTTATTATATATTTACTTATTTACCTGTATAATATTTAGTATCGATATATAGCAATGATGATTTGTTTTATCAATTCCGGTAGAGACCATCATATTCTTTGGTTGCAATAAGCGTCGCATAACGTCTAATACTGTGGTTTTACGTATATTGCCAGTTTGCTGTTATATAAACATAATAAAAATATATTAAAAATATTTTTATGTATTCTTAATATAAAATGTACCAACATACATCACTATCTGTAGTTAAGGGTGTATAACCAGTCATTAAGAAATGTAATTGCGGTGTTGGTATAAGTGGAGCGGTTAGTCCAATGAGATTATTATTCATATATGAAGGATAACGTAATGTTGTTGTGCTGACAGACATTATGGTAGATACTAATGAGTTTATTTGTGTAAAAGTTGGATTTGAAATATGAAGGCGATCAGAAGCAATGCGATTCAGCGCAGTATTATCTAATACAACAACACAATCTGCAGATGTGGTCAAGCGACGTAGGGTTAACATTGAATTATAAGGTTGAACAACAACATCACTGATTTCATCTTGATTTGGAAATACACTATAAGTTTGAATCAGTTTTTTTGGAAAACGATCAGCTAAGCGTTCCATAATATAAGAGCCCATACCAGATCCAGTACCACCAGCAATTGAATGACAAAGCACGAAACCTTCCAATGAATCGCTTCCATCAGCCTCTCTATCAATTATATCGAATATTTCCTCTTGAAGCTTTTCACCTTGACTATATCCCGAAGCCCAATTGTTACCAGCACCTCCACCATGTTTTGATAAGTACACATTTTCAGGATTGTAAAGCTGAAATGAGCATTAATGAGGCAGATTTTTTTTTTTTCAAACTGATAAGATTAACTAAAATTGATTTAATGCAAATATAATTACCTTCGCATATGGTGAACTCATAATTGTGTGTATAACACGCGGTTCCAAATCGAGTAAAACAGCTCTGGGAATGTAGTGGTCATCATCGGCCTAAAATTGTGTTTAAATAATTTTATTTATTTTTACAAGCGAAGTATGAAATACAAAATAACTCTTAACAAATTTTCTAACGTAATCGTTACAATATAAAATTCGATAATATGACTATTACAGTAACTAAACTTAATAATGGTAAAAAGTATAATAAAAAATAAAAGTTGACAATATCAGATCTTAAACAAACAGATGTTATTAAATAAACAGTTGTACATTTTTTTGTAATTAACTAAATGGATATATACTTACTTGATAGAAGAACACATCCTTCCGATCGAAACCATCAGCGCTAAAATCTTCAAGGACACCATTTGGTGATATGCCATGTTCTAAACACAATCGTTTCCAAAATTCAAAACCAACTATTTCGTAATAATTAAAAATGACGTAATGTGGTTAATAATTATCAATCACTTTAATTAAAATATAAAACATACTTTGGTTGCCGCATTGACCAAGTTGTAGAGTAATTATTTCGCTTGGCATCGTCTTTGTGCGTTAATGATGTTTTTTGTATTATTTTTACTAAACAATTTGTGCTTGATTTATATTCCTCCTTATTGTCTTAACTTTTTATGTCACATATATAAATAAACGCTAGAATTATCAATATATTTTAAAATAAATACACACAAAATTCTGTAACTTGCAACAGCAGCATATAGTTTACAAAAATGCAATCAAGCGGCGAATATATTAGTTGTTAGTAAATTGACATATTGTTAAAAAATTATCGCATTAGGTACGTTCAATACAAGCCGTTTATTATGCTTATAAGATTTTATTTCATTGTTATTATTTGAAGTGTCAAAATTTTATGTGTTATGGTTTGGTAAATTTTGCATAATGCAAGCAAATCATATATTGTATAAAAATAAATATTTAATATAAATTGAAAATTAAAATGAAACAGAATTAAATGGAATTAAGAGGTAAAAGTGTGCAGAATATTTTTGAAATTTCCTTTTACAACAAAATTAATAATAGTTTAAAAAATTTATGTTTGAATAAGTATTAACTTGTTAGTAACTAATAAGTTAAACATTTTAAATCGTTTTTTAATCATACTTTGTTCACGTACTCCTAAAAATTTTTGTATATATTCATATGTATTTAATATATTTATTGAAACCCTTAATGGTATTGAGTCTACTACTTACGTAGAACTAAAATTTATGGAATAATAAATAAAAAATTTAAAAACAGAGTGGAACTCGTAACAATTTATTGCTGTTGTTGGTGGAAATATTATTAATAACAGCTTATTCATTTTTTGAATTTTTTGATAGCCATAACCATGTGTTCATATAATATAATACAATTATAAACAAACAGACATAACTTTGGTATATTTATATATTAAAACCGAATATTGTGTAAATAAAATTGTACACACTGATCTTAACTAATTTACTATTTATTTATTTACTATATAATATTTATATAAAACTATATATAATTTACTATAATTTAATATTTAATAGCAAAATTATAATATACAAATATTTTAGAAACAATGATAATAGAAATTTAAAAATTGTCAATTTTTTTTTATATTTTTATAAATGTCAATATATAATGTGTACAATTTGAGTACAATAATACAATATTTCAAACTAAATGCAACTCTGTGTTCTACTGTCAAAAGGGTTTGCAATTGGCGCTCATTAAACACTTTTTGAGTGAACGCGCACAATATTTGTTTTGCAGAAAATTAATTAAATATTGAATTTGCGTCCTTATTTTTAGAAAAACTATGTATAGAAGTTTTAAAAAGTATAAAATATTTTAAAAAAAAAGTGAAAAAAAATTTCAGATGGATACACATGTTAATGGCAGTGATCCGAACATAAATAACGGCAGTCATATGAAAGCAAATAAGCTGCTGGCGTCGCGTCAAGCATTTGGGGAACTTAAAAATGTCATCCATTTGCAAACAAGTCAATTAAAGAGCAACATGGAGTCGGATAGTGACCAAGACAAATCTGGTGATGGAAAGAAAAATGTTGAGAAGCCTGAGTTTAAAACACCGGCTGTACATGAAATTGAGGCTGCTATATCCGAAAACTGTGAAGATATCAATTCCAATGAATTCGATGAGAATTTCATCGATTCATTTGATTTCAGTAAATTCAATTGTTGCGAACTATGTAAGCTATGAATGACATCAATCACAAATATTTTATTTATGCTAATAAATGTCTTTACATTCATATGATATTTAGCTGATGAACAAGTATGGTCTGAAATGGGTGCATTAGATGATTCGTTCATCAACAAATTGTTGGAAGGTGTCAAAAATAACCTAGTCTCGGATAACGATGAATTTGAACCTGAAGCAAATTTTGAAGATTTCATCGATTTGTATTCAAATGCTTTGATGCCCGTTTTGTCGGTAGCTGGTAGCGATCAGGAATCGGATGAAGATTTTCGTTTACGTTTTGATATACCAGATTTGTCTTCATCGGATGACGAATTGCCACCTGAAGTTACAATTGTTTAGAATAAATTAAATATTTATTTTTTATATGTGCTAGTCTTACAATTAATATGTTTTAACCTTATAAGAAAGTAATGAAAATGAAATTGGTATGCACCAGCCGAATGTATGTTTAAACCGAATTTAGTATTCGGTAAACTTTCCGTATAATTTGAGTTTGTGTTAATATTAATTATTTTATATTAATTTAATGTTAACAATTAACGTAGCTTATATATAATTTTGAGTCGCCTTTATTAATGTACATGTCGATTTATATGTGTATGAAATACTTTAAAAAAAAAATACAAGAATAACAGCTCAATGTTTATAAATCTTCGACATAAGGAAAAACGGAATATGAAAGATAATAATATTAATTTTGTCACTATTATTGCTCTTGCACCAATTTTATTTTTATATCAGTAAACTTCGAATAAAAACTTAATTCTATTGTACAAATAATTTTTTTAATTCCCTCACTATTTAATACAGTGTCAATTATATAAAGTAACGCATATGTTTAGGTAAAATTATGTTATAAAATTGCAATCACATTTTGGCTAAACGTAGAGTATTTTGTGTTGCGAGAGTCGAGTGGCACTTGTTCGTTTTGAGGACATAGGGCTACTGAGACGTTTTTGTTGTAACATGTAAAAAATCGTTTATCAGAAAACATAAAAGGATTTCCAAATACAAATGCGTGGGTTATGTAACAGTTGTGTCAAGGAGCAGCCGGATCAACAAGCCATTCGTATTACCAGCGCCTTTCCAGAATCCTTTTGTGTTATCTGCTTAATTGATCGCGACGTTTATCACTCCCAATGCAGACAATACGAGCAGGTATTTGCTTTTGGACGTAGACACGAACATTACTAAAAGCAGTGGCACTTGTTTCTAATTATTGGTGAGTGACTTGCGTCACAGCTGTCCACCTCAAATGGTAGTCTAAATAATTCTATTGTATTAACATTGTTGTTATTGTGTGCAGCTCGAATAAATTGTATGTAGCATTAATTACTGCTTATGATTGGTGGTTCTTGACTTAATTATTTTAATGAAATGGTCACTCCCGGACACATCATATGACTTAAAATGCATTATGTTTGCTGGAGGCAATGATCAAAATCCTGAAGGGGACGCTGTGTGGCGTGGTGAAGCTTGTAAATATAATAATTTAGTGTGATTTCGATATCCAAGACACGCTCATGTGATAATGACTTTTTAGTAGACTCAGCTATTTTGCATAACTTTTTCCATTACGTCATATATTAATATAATTTTGTTTTAATTTCAGATATTGGAATTTTAAATTCTGAATTCTTTATAGATAGCACCAACCACAAGTAGACGCGCTGTTAATGTAAAATTAATCTAATTAATGCGAAAATGTGGCTTTGAGTTTCAATATCTCGAGAAGAAAGCTGTATCGGCATATAGTTTGGTGGAAAAAGCTGTTGGAAATTTTTTTATTTAAATTTAAAAGATTGCACCCGCCGTGATATGCGTTTCTCAGTATGAACTCCACCTACAGAAATCAACAACCTAACAAATATATTATGTTTTGTTCTTAGAAAAATTTATGATGTATCATCACCTATCACCTCAATGGAAAAAAAAACAATATAAATTACATTAAAATTCATTGCAACAAAATACTTTCAAGAAAAACTAATTTATATATACATTTGTGCAAAAACCAAAAATGAATATAAAATAAAAGACGCACAGAAATTGGGAACTTTCTATAATATATTGCAAAAGTTGATACGTTGCCCAACCCCGCTCTAACAAACCTTAAGTCCGTCATGAGTTAGAAAATAAATAAATGATAATGATTCTAGTATAGTTAAAGTTTAGTGTGGGGCAGGGATAACCCTCCCAGCTACAATAGGGTGGAAGTGCGCAATAGTACTAACTCAAATTACAACAACAATAACAACATAATAACAGACATATGTATGTACATAAATGAGGAGCAGATCTGGCAGATTAAAAATTTTATCGACATTTTACATTAGCATTGGCGCATATATCATTATGCAGTTAAGTCTTCTAACTGAGACTATAGTGCGTCAAGAATTTTCGAAAACCTAGCTATTTCATTAATGATTGCATACTTGAATGGACATTGAAGTAACATGGTTATCAGACGGGTGGTATGCGCACCACGTCAACACCGGCGTTAGAGGCAATGTTAGGTTTGCTTCCGTTGGATTTATAAGTAAACAACGCAAACATTTAAACGCTTAAGATTCACCAATAGTTTATGCAGTAGTGCTCATTTTAATAACTTATTGTATTCCAGACACTACGTCAGCATTCTTATGCTGAAGTACGTGCCGTACTTAAAAACCAATAAATTTAAAATCAGTTTTTAAAAGCGCTACATAGTGAGCGAACGTAAAACTCTTGTTTGATTTTTGAAACCAAGTCTTCATAGAAGACACTGAAATCATCAACTAACAATTGTAAGCCGGACAATGGTTAACTTATATATAAAGAAAACGGCGGCATTAGCAGCAATTCGCATGAACCGGAGCTCTACGTGGAACAACTTCGGAAAATTGGTGGGCCATTGGTAAATTCTTGACCTCATCCAGATCGTGGTCAAGTAAACGTAGATGCCATTGGAGACTATGAGGAGAGCTGTTGTACGGTTCGCTGTCCCAAAGTTCCACAATATATAACATTTTGTTGCCAGAATTTACCCTTATTATTTTTTACGATCTTCGCTACACAGCTATGTATGTAAACACAATATCAGCAGCAGTATTTCTCTCTGCAAATGTATTTCACATCACCTTACTATAAGATTATTATCTTGGTGTCTTCATCAGTTCACCGGTGCGTCCATTAATGTTATTTAGAAATGCGTTGGTTAATAGAGATAACGTAACCATCCAACGGCTTTAAACTATATTTCTGTGAAATCACCTTAGTAATACATTATCATGATTCAGTGGACCTTTTGTTTCAGTACAGTTCTTGTCTTATTGGATCACCCAAGTGGTCACAGACACCATTGAGTAAGTGTGCTTTAGACACTAACTTGTGTTTTATCTAACAACCAAAAAGAAGATAATTGATTTAGCATAACCACCCAATGGAAGCGTCCGATTGTGTTTTTGTTATTGACTCCTTGAACTTTCTAAGGACAAATGCTCACTTCTGCAAATTGTCAAAGGGAGCCAATGCTCAGTTGGGAATTGTGTATTTCCAATGAGTATTAAATAGTTAATGCACTATGACACATAGCAGACACACACACACACGTATACCATATTGTACTAAATAATTACGACGGGACGGTTTTTGTCTTTAGTAAACTCCGTAAAATTTTAACGTATTTCAAAACCGTAATATTACGTTCTTTCACATCTTTGCAATATTACGGTCTTCGTAAATAAAAGGGTTCTGGACTTTGGTGATTTTATTTAGAAAAATACGTATACGGTCTTTGTTTGACTATGGAATTAATTAGTTTTTAATAAAAATCTTTGGTTTGTGGTTTTCATTGATTTTAATTTTTTTATTTATTCATAAAGCATGCATGGATTTTGCTATTATATATTTTCTTAATTTTGACTTATATCAATTTTGTTTTTTATTTTGGACATGTAAATTTCATTTCATTCCTGTGCTGAAGTTCAAATTCTTATTCTACTTAATATGTGATTTGGCAAAATTAGTTAAGTTGGTTTTTACTAAAAACAAAAAATAATCCGTTTCAGGTGCACTTTTGAAAATGATAATACCAAATTAGCAAAAACGCCAACATATAAATTAAAAAATATGTTATTCACAACATTAAATTGAAAATTTACGAATAAAAGAAGGTAATAGGCAGTTTTATTATATTTTTAATTTTGCTAATTTTTTAAATTCGTTTTCATCCTAGAATGCCTGCTCGACTTTAAAGCTTTAAACACCGTAAACTACCACGAATAGCAAAATTGATACTCTTATGCTTGGTAAGTCCTAATTTAAAAACTAGGCATTAAATATGTCCATAGCGCTTCCATGTGAACGGGCTTACTTTGATATTAGTATACCCTTCATATAAATAGTGACGAATACTTTGTGTACAATGGTCGTGTGCGAGTTAGGCTAAGTTGATGCTAAACCAAATGGGAGATTTTTTGGGATTTTTTGCACTGCACACATTTTGCCATTTATCAACACGTATCGATACATCAATACATTATCGACACAACTTAGAATTTCCCTCATTTAGAACGCAACTTAGCCTAACTCGCACACGACCTTAGCCTAACTCGCACACGTCCAATATATCAGTTTCCAAAAATTTACAGGCAATGCATATGTTTTTAATTTGCATTATTTATTCAATAAAATGTATTTCGTACATACACAGAAACTCATAATTCCTAACATAACATCGTTGTTTTTGCCTTATTGCTTCTTGTTATCTTGTGCTCTGGAGCTCGACCATATCTAGAGCATATCGTGCTCGATTGGCATATCTAGATTAGCACTCCAAGTCTTTTTGCTCGAACATGTTTAGGGTAATAGCTATATGTTGTTGTTAAATAATAATAATCAACTGTTCATTTCAGATTAATTTTATTAATGTGACAAAATATCTTAAGTGTTATAAATTAATCTCGAGTGTTTCACATTTTGCCTAAATAGACAATAAAATGGAATCAATTTAGATTTCGGTCTGGTCTCGGTCTGTCAAATTTTGTTGCTCAATCGAGCATTTGCAGAGTAATCTGACGTTTTTGTAGTTCAGTTAATGGGTATTTATATTTTTCATAAATATACTTATATGTTGAATTAAATCGCATATTACCTGTCAAGTCTTATGAAATAGCTGTCAAGTGTTACACATTTTTCTCGAGATTTTTTCGAGATCGAAAATGAAAATTACACCAAAAGTGAATCTCGATTGAAAAAGTTAACCCAGATATAACAATCGAAAACTGCATAAAAATAAAAATCTCGTAAAAAAGATTTCCTGGATTTATCAACCGAAAACGACATTAATTAAGGCAACTCATCTTTAAAGTATACACTAAACAGCAAAAAGAAGAGTGTAATATAAACCAATAAATATAAAATTATCAATGGAGTCTATAAAAGTAAGCATTCAACTTAACAGTCTGCCTAAACCAGGTCTATTTGAAAGGTTTCATGTATGCGACGCTAACGTTTAGTCCAACAAATCTTTATAAAGCTCTTCGGCTAGCACACCTAAAAGTATAATTATTTGGCTTTAGTTGATGTTGAGTACCATGAACAGTGAACTACAAAAATGATACGCAACAATACTCAATCATCTTATACTTCCCTGAGGACATTAAGACTGAATGGTTTCCAATAGTCCTGTTCATATTATTCGGACATTTCTAACACCGAAGTTATTCGATTGATCCGATAGCAACGAAGTTTTCGGAGTTGAAAAAATATTGGATTCGGAAATATTGAATCCGGAGTCTTCGAATATTCGGATTTGCGATTATTATTCACAGTGAAATTATTCGAAGATTTCGTGAGCAAAAGTTAAAGGAAGAGCACCAAATGCAAATGAATGTGCAACACACAAATAAACACAAATTTTTTTAGGGATAACAGAATTTGTTGTTGTTTGTACGATTTTGTGTGTTTGGTATTTCACATAGAAAATTATATGTGTGTAATATTACATATACATTGTGAGATTAAGAGAACGAGATTAAGTTAATCTGCATTTTTAATCTCCTCCGTTGATCGACACATTGGGGTAAATGGTTTTTTATTTATATTGGATATTTGCTCATGGGGACGACGAAGCTCCAATCTGCTTATTGGGCGAGTGGAGTTCTGGACGTCAATACAAATGAAAAACGATTGATCGTTTTATGATGACCCCAAGGTGATCAAGGTAAGAAGAACAGTCGTTCTTATACCGACAGATACCATATTTATTACTCCAATTGCTGGTCGCTAATTGAACATCGGGTTCGACAGTAGGCCCAAACTGCTGTAATCATGCTTCACAATATCAGAGCATGATCTAGAGTAGAAGCTGGATACTAATCTCGAGCTAAGAGCAACGAGATTCCTTATAAGTGCTTAGACAGTTGCAGAGATAATTTAAAACGTGAAAATAAGATTGATAATTGTGTATTCTTTGAGGAACTCAACCTAAAACTATTCTTTTGACTAGTGGATGACTGCATAGAAGGCAGCAGTTTTTGTTATCTATTTCGTTTTAATTCACCACAATAATTAGCAGGATAATTTGCATTTGTAATGATAGTCAATAGGTTATTATGTTACGTTCCGTGTTGGTATTTTCAAAACATTAAAGCTTATACCGGAACACTGCACATCTCTGAGCAAATGTTGATTCAAAGAATTTGCGAGAAGTGGCACACGGTCTCCTATCAACATTAGTTGATATTTTTTTGACTTTAATGCTGCAATAGAACACGTGTCGCTTAAAAATTAACATACAAAGCAAAAACAAGATTCGCAAAAATAAGCCCACTTTCTTGAAACTGCTTAACAAATAAGTCTCTCGCTCTAAGCACTAAAATCACCTATTATTAGATGTGGAAATCCTTTTTGTTGTTTCAACTATTTTTTGTCAATTGTAGTAACAATATGAGTATTAGTAATAGTAGCATTATAGTATAAGTAATTAATATCCAATTTGGTTTTGTCATTCATACAGATAAAGTACCTCTATGTAGAAAGTCTCCAAAACAAAGTAACTGTATAATGAAAATGTGAAACTTGGACATTAATAATTGGAAGCTAAAATATTTTAATATTTATGCGTAAGTATTAAATTAAAATTATTATTTAAATATTTCATTTAATTTTGTAGTTTGTATTCTCTAAGTATTCGTTTTTAGGAAGTCTCCAAAAAAATGAATTCACTTTGTGAATGACACTCATGAATGAAAGTTAATATACAAATTTAACTTACATCAAGTATTTAATTTCAGTCACTTGCTATATGTCTTAATAAATTTTGTTTTCTTCCCCAGATAAAATACCACTTTCTGGAAAGTCTCCAAAACAAAGTAAGTTCGCTTTGTGAATGACATTTATAAAGGAAGTTTTACGAAGGCAAGCATAAGGTAAAAGTATTAAAGAATTAATAGATTATTTTATAATTTAAATTGACTTTTCTCATTCCAGAGATTTCTAAATAATTCCAGAAAACAAAATATCTGACCAAGATGTTCATTCTTCTTCTGAACTTTAGTCTGTTACGGGTATTATGCTTAGTTACGAAGCAACGTTTTTGCAGAAAAAAAAAAATAATTTGGTGAAAAAGTGCAGAGATGGAAGTGCAGTGAAATTTTCTTAAAAAATTATACCCGTAACTTAATATTAATATCTGTTTAAACTCAAAATTATATAGTATAAAAAACAAAAACAACCTCTTCTCTTTTTGATCAAAAGTTAATTTCTAAGTCCTCATGTCGATCACTACATTGCACAAGTAAGATGTTGATCTTGTGCGTAATCTATATATGATTTATATTTCATATTCTATGTTTAAAGCATTGTCGGAAAATCTCCTCAATTGGATTTTTCTTACTCATTTTATTATCCTACAACTATGTATTTTATTAGTTCTTGCAAATTAATAAATTAATTGTTACAGTGTAAACACCAAAAGATTGCCAAACCATTCCAATTTATCAATTCCAAGTTGTTAACTCTTTCTCAAATCAAGTCTTTTTTATTCTGATTAACAGACCTGTTCTGTATTTATTGGTACATTTGTTACCAGGTATAAGTAATTATCCGAAAAACTTTTTTCTTGTTGTTTTGTTTTGTTTCAGTTATTCCACAAAATAAGCAATACAAAAAAATAACTTTTTTCAGCACAACAACAAATTCACCACAATTATTTTATCAACTGTTTTAAATGCTCAAAATCAAAATCTCCTTGTTTTGATCACATTGAAATAATATATATTCGGGTTATGTGCTTATTAAAAAATATCTCACAAGAACTACAACTCCATTGTGAATTAAATTTAGTTTTTTCGAACAACAATAACTTACCGTGGACCTTTTGAAGGTGTGAGTGAAGAGTGCACTAATACTATGTTTCCACTACTTACTTAGTAAGCCATATAGTAACATTAAGCTTGCGTTCACATTATCACAAGTTACTTAAGGAGTGGGAAAGAGCTTTTGTGTGTCAAAAAGTTCTAGTTTTAGAGCTTTTCTGTGTTTATATTTTAATTGTAAACAGATGACATTAAATTTTGTATTGTTGGAAGAAAATAAATCAGCATGGAAATGAAATTTACTCAGTAAGTTAAGCTTACTAAGTAAGCAATGGAAACGTACTATAACACCAACTGAAATGACTAAAATTTTTCACCTTTTTCAAATTTAAATACTTTAAAAAAGTATATATTTCAAATATAAAGTATATTTCACCATTGTAAAACAAAAATAACCAAAAAATAATTTTAAATTTAAAAATGAGATATATATATATATATTGCATTAAGTGAAAGAAAAATTTAATTTCTTTTTATATTTCCGCACAACATTGACGTTTCTAACATAAATGATTTGTAAAAGTATTTTATCGTCTTTGTTAATATATTACTTACTTACTTAATGACTAACTCATTACAGACGTGAGTCGTCCTTGGCCGCGTCGAGTACCCTCTGCCAGCAAGTCCGATCAGTTGCTTGTTGTTGCCAGTTGGTAGTACCTAGCGCACCCAAATCGTTGGTCATCTGGTTCTTCCACGCGGATATCGTCTAACGCGTTTTCCACCTGCGAGTACTGAGTTAAACACCTTTCTAGCCAGAGCATATTCTTCCATTCCCACGACATGACTAAACCAGCGAAGCCGCTGAATTTTTACGCACTTAGCTATGTCAATGTCGTAGTATAGCTCATATAGCTAATAGTTACATTTAATTCGAAACTTGTCGCCAACGCGTAAGGGACCATAGTTCTTCCGAAGAATTTTTCTATAGAATACTCTTAACGCCATCTCATCACTGTTGGTAATTGTCCAAGCTTCTGCACCTTACAGCAGGACAGGGATGATAACAGACTTGTAGAGTATGATTTTTGTTTGTCGAGAGAGGGCTTTATTTCTCAATTGCCTACTTAGTCCGAAGTAACATCTGCTGGTAAGAGTGATTCTTTGTTGAGTTGACGCCATTTTTGATGTTTACGATGGTTTTCAAATAAACAAAGTCTTTCACAACTTCCAACTTATAATTGTCAACAGTAACGTGGGTTACAAGACGCTCTGAAGATTTGTTAGTTGACAGAAAATATTTTGTTTTGTCTTCATTTATCACAAGACTCATTTGCTTCGCTTGTTTTTTTCAGTTGGAAAATGCCGTACTGATGGTGCGGGTGTTCATGCCAATGATATTAATATCATTAACATACACAAGTATCATTACACTTTTTCTGCTGCTCGAATTATCGTTTCCAACACTAGGTTAAAGTGATCACACGACAAGGTGTCGCCCTGTCTGAAACCTCGTTTGGTTTCAGTAATAAACTTCTCGAAGAGGTTCTTCCCGATTCTAATGGAGCTGGTGGTGTTGCTTAACGTCATATTAGTTAAATATTGAAAATATTATTTTTTATTTTAAGTTCATATTAAGATAATAATAATATTTAAAAAATCAATTTATTGTTTTCTTATTTGTTTATTGTATTTTTTACATAATTTACGATCCCTTGGTGAACTAGAGTTTGCGTATATTACTTTATTAAATACTCGTAAAACTGTTAAGATTTGTACTCGTTAACTATCTGAAATTAGAACTCCTCTAAATTTGTGGGTAAATATTTATTTATATTCTATGCATATATAACATATGATTGGCATGTACGGGACTACCCAGTGGTAATCACCGCCTTATGAAGAATTACAATTTCTAGAATCTATTCGGCAAATCAGAAGTTGCGAAGCGTATTAATCTACGAATGTTAAAAGTATCCCTCGTTAGGCTAGCGGCAAGGGGGTTAGGGTGAACTATCAGTCGTGAGTGATAGTTGCTGCTTATCTGCTGTATTGACTCGTACACTGTAGAGATGCCAAGATCATGATGTAGGACGTTATTCGGAATAAACTATGGGGGCGTCGGAGCAGATACGTAATATTTTTGATTGAAACCTCTGAATCATATCTAGATTTGACTTCGCTGCTATACCCCAGATGGGTATACCGTATGTCCAGATTGGCTTTAAGACGACCTTGTATAAAAGTATTTTATTTTGTAGCGATGATTTGGATTTGGAATTAAGTAGCCAGTAAAGTGAGCGTGCTTTAGTCTTAACTGCTTCCGTTTTGTAAAGTTGTGGTGACGCCAATTTAGATGACGATCAAAATGAACTAAGACTCACGGAATATAACTTATTTTAAATTTGCATTAATTCTTTTTAATTTAATTAACTTCTAATAATTAAACTTAGTTAATATTCTTAATTCCTTTAATAATTGGTAATTCATTTCTAAATAGTAGTATTCTTCTTTGTTATATATAGGTTATTTAAATTTACAGATTTTGCTTTATAAATAAAATATAACCTATATAATATATATATATAAATAAATATAACCTAACATATCAATAGTTTTTAATTATTTATTATACGCTTATGGCTTTCGCCGTCAATCTGTAGTTTGGATTCATCTTTATTGACTATTCTTCATACAAGTGAAATATGGAGAACTTCAATCTATGAATCTTAAAATGCTTCTAATACGATATTTTCTCTATAATGAATTGTCAGCTTCACTTAAATCCATAAGATATGCCAGTTTTCACCATTCAGCAGCCTCATTGACTCGTTCATATTTAATTTTTGTTTTTCGAAATAGTGTACCCGTAACTCCATTAAAATTGGACATTTACTAAGAAAATGTCTAAATTAAATCTTCATTTTCTCCAGTATTGCATAGTGTGCAACTCGGGTCTAACGAGTTCGTATATTTCTATTACATTTCGTCTCTCTCCTTTTAGCATTAGCACCCACGAATTTTTGCCGTTAGCTGTGCGGAGTAGTTGGCCGCACATTCATACGTTGCAAGTGCGTTCGATTTTGTTTGATCACTGTACCTATAAACATGTATGGTTCTGAGTACAGACTCTTGTATCTTCATTTTCTCCAGTACTGCATAATGTGCAACTCGGGTCTAACGAGTTCGTATATTTCTATTACATTTTGTCTCTCCCCTTTTAGCATAAGCATCCACTAATTTCTGCCGTTAGTTGTGCGGAGTAGTTGGCCGCACATTCATACGTTGCAAGTGCGTTCGAAATAAGCGACTTTAACGTAGTTACTTCTAAAGTTTCTTCAGATTATACTCCAATAGGAAGATCAAATGCTTCAATTATATTCCTTCCATTAATAAGTACTTTATGAACAGTGATAGTCATTAAAAACCATATGTAGTTTTTAAAGTAAATCGCTCTAGTCTTTTTAAGATGCTCTTCAAAATGAATGGTATTTATGTGATATCCATTAAGTTACTAAGTTTAAAATCTATAACTATTTCTAATGAAATAACCTACTTCTAGGTGCTGATCCACTCTAGCGTGTTTTTAATTCTTTTATAAGAAATTTTAGTTTTTCTGTTGTTTCATTTGGGTTAATTGAAACAGACATCTTATTTTTAATAAAATATCAAAGCTTTATTAATATCTCTAAACAGAAAAGACTTCCAACCATTACAATTCTTTTTTAGAGCAACTAGCAAATGGAGGCTAAGCAATAAAATCTTCGTAGTTATCTTAGAAAACTAAACTGCTGGACGACATCTTCAAACTTTGATGTCGTCCAGCAGTCAAATTTACACACATATTTATAAAATCTTCTTTGATTATTCTTAGTGGAACAATTGTTTATAAAACTGCATTTAAAGATGGTTCAGTTTTCAGCTGTTATTTTATTGAATTTTAGCCACACTCGCGACACTGTGCGATGCCATCTGCAGATTTATATTTGAGCCTTCAGATAGATGTGTAAACACATCGTCTATATAAAAAGAGAACAAAATCGGACTGAGTACGCAACGTTGATTAACTCCTGAATTAGTAGGAAACCATGCGATAAGTGTTCTCCATCCCATACAGCTGCACGATTTTCGGTATGTAAACTGCTTAGAATCGTAATAAATTTGGTTGACATTTGGTTGTTAATACTACAGAGTTTATATAGTAAAGCGTTTCTGTTTACTGAGTCAAATGGTGCTTTGAAGTCGACGAAAAATACATATAGTTTTTTTACCTTTTTCCGCATAATATTTGGCTATACTTGTAAGACAAAAAATATTATGGATTGTTGAGTATTATATTCTGCTACCCAAGCCTTTAGACTTTTAAGGAGTATTACTCTATTCACAG